CCCGAGTTCGTTTTTGAGACTCGTCTCAAAAACACTCTCATTTCACGTGGGGCAATGAAAACCCAGAGTTCTTTACACCGTGGAAATAACCCAATCATACAGCTCATAGAGAATACTGACCTGTGCTTGTAATGAATACTGACCTGTTCTTGTAATGAATTCTGACCTGTGCTTATAATGACCACTTCTACCACCCCTCACCCCACTTCTTTGTTCCACAAGAGGGCGGCTTCCAGCCGCACACGCTCTATCTCCTCGTCTCTGACACCCCTGGCGTGCTTTTAAGAAAACTAAAAAATAACACGAAACCCCTCCCCCACCCCCATCACCACCCCCTCCCAACCTTTCTGTCTCACAGGAGGGTGGCTTCCAGCCGCACACGCTCGCTCCTCGTCCCTGATATTCCTGACGTGCCGTTGTAAACTCAGGAATAACCCTGTACCTCCCACTCTTCCCCCTTCTCTCAACCCTCATTTCTGTCTCACAGGAGGGTGGCTTCCAGCCACACACGCTCTCTCTCCTCGTCTCTGGCACTGCTAGCTCGCTTTTAAGTCAACTCAAGAATAACCATAAACCTCTGCCCCATCCCCATCACCACCCCCTCCCAACATTTCTGTCTCACAGGAAGGAGGCTTCCAGCCACACACGCTCTCTCTCCTCGTCTCCGACACTCCTGGTGTGCTCAACCACATCACGGGTGTCTTTGCCCGCCGCGGCTACAGCATCCAGGTGTGCGCCTCCTCCCTCCTTCCCCTCGCTTCCCTCTCACTCGCTTTCTGAGTTATGGTGGCTGCAGCTCCTACCTTCCCTCACCCTCCCTCCCTTCCGTTCCTGGTTGCTCCTCGTCTCCGACACTCCTGGTGTGCTCAACCACATCACGGGTGTCTTTGCCCGCCGCGGCTACAGCATCCAGGTGCGTGCCTCCTAGCACCTCTCTCCCTTTCCTTTCTCCTGCTCCCTTCCCTCTCTCTCCCCTTCTTCCTTAAATAACACATCACCACCAGTGTGTTGTTTAAGGAAGAAAACACATCGCCAGTGTGTTTTCTCGCCATGGCTACAGCATCCGAAACTCTTGCTTTCCAACTTTCGTCTCTTCCCCTCCTCCACACGTCCCGTCCTCCCCTTTCGTCTGGCAGAGTCTGGCGGTGGGCCCGGCGGAGAAGCCAGGGGAGTCACGCATCACCATGGTGGTGCCGGGGACGGAGCAGTCCATTCATGACCTCTTGACCTTTGTCCTCTCCCTTGTTTCATGCTTCCCCTCCTCCCCTCTTCCACTCCTCCTGTCTCATCTGGCAGAGCCTGGCGGTGGGGCCAGCGGAGAAGCCGGGCGAGTCACGCGTCACCATGGTGGCACCGGGGACAGAGCAGTCCGTTGGCAAGCTCTATTCCCTTAACCTCTCTTCCTTGTTACTCATCTCTTCTTCTCCCCTTTGAACTTCCAGAGTCTGGCGGTGGGGCCAGCGGAGAAGCCGGGCGAGTCGCGCATCACCATGGTGGTACCGGGCACAGAGCAGTCGATTGGCAAGCTGCTGCGGCAGATCCTGAAGCTCATTGAAGTCATCAGCGTGAGTGACATGATCAACTAACGCGCGTGCGATGTGAGCTGGGATAGTGTTTGAATTGACTCACATGTCACTCGGCTCGGGCACAGAGCAGTCCATCGGGAAGCTGTTGAGGCAGATCCTGAAGCTCATTGAAGTCATCAGCGTGACTTGAGTGGCAACTGGCATGCAAGCTTGTGTATTGGTCATTCGGCTGGCGGTTGGCTGTTGGCTCACTGGTGTTTTCTTAAAACCCAGGGTCCACAGGTTTCAAAGGTAGGAAGGTTGGTTGGACTTTGTGCCAAAACCAAAGGTAGGAAGCTTGGTTGGACCTTGTAACCCAACCAAAGGTAGGAAGGATGAGGCAACTTCGGGAAACTTGAGACCCCGGTTTTAAGGCCGAACAGAGCAGTCCATCAGCAAGCTGCTGCGGCAGATCTTGAAGCCCATTGAAGTCATCAGCGTGAGTGATGTGGCGAGGTGGATGAATGCACCCATTCTGGACTCATGAACTGCCTTGCACCCATATCTGAGCTGACGTGCGAGTCACCTTGGGCACAGAGCAGTCTATTGGCAAGCTGCTGCGGCAGATTCTCAAGCTCATTGAAGTCATCAGCGTGAGTGATATGATCAACTAACGTGCATGTGATGTGAGCTGGGAGAGTGTTTGAATTGACTCAAAGGTCACTCGGGCACAGAGCAGTCCATCGGGAAGCTGTTGAGGCAGATCCTGAAGCTCATTGAAGTCATCAGCGTGAGTGGCATGGATACGTGATGTGCGCAGTCTTGAGCTGACTTACAATTCACCTTGGCGACAGACAGAGCAGTCCATTGGCAAGCTGCTGCGGCAGATCCTGAAGCTCATAGAAGTGATCAGCGTGAGTCGTGCGTATGTGATGTGAATTGGGATAGATCAACTGACGATGCGCATGTAACTGAATGACACTTGGGCGCCTACAACCACAAGAATTCCGCAGTTTGCCTGCTTGCACCCTGCATTCTCCTGACAATCTTCCGTTCATCATATCGTTGAGCCTGAGTTTCTGATCTGACCTGCAACCCCCATGTGCAGCGTGACATCATGCTGATCAGGAACTGGGGAGCAAAGCATACTCGTCTTGCACTCGATTCCTCTTCCATTCTCCTCCTCCGTATCCCAAATTGCTCACTTTCCTTTGTGCCCCCCTCGCAGGTGGAGGATCTGACCTACATCCCCTACGTGCAGCGCAAGCTCATGCTCATTGAGGTGGCGGCGGGGAGAGGGGAGAACCGAGCCAACCATACTCACTCCCTTTCTCCCTCGCTCCTTGTTATATCTCACCCACTATCCGGTTTTCCTACATCCTCCCAGGTGGAGGATCTGACGTACATTCCCTACGTGCAGCGCGAGCCCGTGCTCATCAAGGTGGTGGCAGGGAGGGGGGAGCAAACCGTTCTCATGTCCCATTGCCTTTTCCCAACGCCCTGTTGCTCCCTCTCCCTACTCCCTCTCGGGTGGAGGATCTGACCTACATCCCCTACGTGCAGCATTAGCTTATGCTCATTAAGGTGGCAGCAGGGAGAGGGAGCATTCGTTCTCATCTTTCACTCTCTTCTCCCTTTCCCTTTCTCCTCATTCCTTTATTTTCTCACAGGTGGAGGATCTGACGTACATCCCCTACGTGCAGCGCGAGCTGATGCTCATCAAGGTGGCAGCGAGTAGAGTGAGAGTGAACCTTCAGGGTGGCAGCTGATTCTCTTTTCCCTAAGCCTTGTTACTCCCTATCCCTTTTCTGCTCCCTCTCAGGTGGAGGATCTGACCTACATCCCCTACGTGCAGCGTGAGCTGATGCTCATCAAGGTGGCCGCAGGGAGAGGGGAGCCGCGCCGGGAGGTGATGGACATTGCGGCTGTCTTCCGGGCGCGGGTAATTGACATCTCAAGGCGGACCATGACTCTTGAGGTATGACATATGGTTTAAGATGTCCCAACAGCTTGTCTTCCCCCTCCTTCACTCCCTCATCCCGCGGCGGGAGGTGATGGACATAGCATCTGTGTTCCGGGCACGGGTGATTGACATCTCAAGGCGGACCATGACTCTTGAGGTATGGGACATCACACCCTCTCTCACCTCCCTCCCACTCGCTCACCTGCTCCGCGTCGAGTCGGTAGGTAATGGCCATTGCATCTGTCCTCCGGGCACGGGTGATTGACATTTCTAGGAGGACCATGACGCTTGAGGTATGGGACATCGCAAGCTTGTGAGATACTAGTTTGGGATGAAGGACTGCAGCGTTCTGTTCTTCCTCCCTCACTCCGGGCTGGGATGGACATTGCCTCTGTCTTCCAGGCGCGGGTGATTGACATCTCCAGGCGGACCATGCACTTGAGGTACGAATAGTCTCAAGGAGTGAAGAACCAGTGTGTTCCTTCTCCCTCATACACTCTGGTCGGGAGGTGATGGATATTGCCTCCGTCTTCCGGGCGCGGGTGATTGACATCTCATGGCGGATCATGACTCTTGAGGTACGGGACTTGTCAAAGAGAGAAGCACCCTTGTCTTCCCTCTCCTCGCTCTCATTTGCTCTGGCCGGGAGGTGATGATGGTACATTGCTGCTGTCTTCCGTCTCGTGCCACCTGACCATGTTGTTCCTCATCCTTCCGTCTCACACAATCCTCATTCCATTTCTTCCCACCTGACCATGTTGTTCTTCTTTTGAGTCGACTCAAAATCGCCTTCCTCGCCATCCCCTCCATCCTCTCAGCTCACGGGCACGCTCAAGAAGATGGCAGCACTGCAGGGGCTTCTTGAAGACTACAGCATCCTCGAGGTAAGCTGACTCGTTTCCGGTATAATAACTCATTTCCAGGGTCAGTTCAGTTTTCGGGGTTAGGAGCCATCACGTTGCCACCTCTCCCTCTCACGCTTCTTGATTCCTTCCTTTCCTTCTTGCTTCCACCAGGTGGCCCGCACAGGGCGTGTGGCATTGTCACGGGACAGCGGAGTCAGTACGGAGTACCTGGGGCAGATGGAGCCTCAGCACTCCATCTTCTGAAGCTCGCAGTGCAACACTTAGTTTGGAACATACATCTGTCGAAAAACAAGGGACCCGGACTAGTATTTTAGTTTATTAGACTGGCGTGGGACATGCCAGGAGATGCCAAGTCTGGGAAGAATTGCCTCAAGTGAGATGTACCACTACTGCTCTTGTCTTGCACGTCAATTATCCAGTGGGAAGGAACTTAGCATGGGGAGGGAGTGGGCCTCGAATTGTAAGGTTTGCAGGTACAACCACGCCACTAGCACTTCAGTTGCGTCCAGTGCTTCTATCTGCGTTTGAACCAGGTCAGCTTTGAGATAGAATTATGAAAACTCTCAAAACAAGCTCACGAGATCAGCATCACAACATCTGTACTGTCCATATGCTGCTTCCGTACACAAGATTGTGAGTTTGAAATTGGGGTGTACTGCATATTATCTACTGTAGCATCTGCTTTGTCTTATCAAACACCAGCCGCTTGAAAACAAGATGCAGAGGCGCACCAGCTATGGCCTCCTTGGGTAGTGCAGACTGGAACACCACCTGTGCACCAAAAGGTAGTCACGTGGGTGATACAACAAGCAGGGAGGGAGGAGTGAGAAAGTGAGTGGGAGGTGCAAAAAGCGTGCAGATGCAGAGGCGCACCAGCTATGGCCTCCTTGGGTAGTGCAGACTGGAACACCACCGGTAAAGGAGAAGAGGATAGAAATAGTAGGGCACCTGAAGTGAGGAGCGAGAAAAGAGGTGGGTGTTTTAGCTATCGCCGCTCTTACTTCCGTCTGGAAGTAAAACAGACACGAAGGAAACAGATACGGTAGTTTTTGAGAATTCTCAATAACGAAGATGAGAAATTGACAATGCAGGGTGGCACAGATTCGTGCGAGCTTGCCTTGAATTTGCCTGACTTGCCAAACGGAGACTGAATTGTTCCTTGTGCTCCTGCCAAAAAAAACAAAGGAGCGGTAGAGGTGGAGGAGAGAGGAGGCAATATGTGCTGTTGTGCAAATTTCCCATATTGTGCACCTATTCATATAATCTCTCCTGTCCTCTCCTGACCCTTTCTAATCTCTCCTAATCCCTCCTGCCAACATTATGATCCACCCACCTTCCACTGTGGTGATTCGGAGCCCCACGAATTTGGAGATGTCGGTTTCCTTCTTGAAGAGCCCTCGGCCAATGAGGGAATGGAAATCAACCACCCTCCCAGGGCATGTCCGCCCGTTTACTGATCTACACCCAACGTGTTTACCCAACGTGTGTCCACCCGCTAATCCACCCACCTTCCACTGTGGTGACTCGAAGCCCCACGAATTTGGAGATGTCGGTTTCCTTCTTGAAAAGCCCTCGGCCGATGAGGGAATGCGAGTCAACCACTCGGTCGATTACTCCCTCCCTGCTCTTCAGCTTGTAAACACGCAGAGGCTGAATGGGAACGAGGGGAGGAAGAGAGGCGAAGTGGTGGGGAATGATGAGTGGAAGGGTGAGAATTTACTAACTGATCAATTGCTTCCTCTGTGCTCTTCAGCCAGAATACACGCAGAGGCTGGAAGCGACAGAAGGGATGAACGAGGGAGGACAGGGAGTATGCGAGGGAGAGTGGAAGGGAGCGGTGAAGGGAGTGGCAGAGAAGGATGGGAAGGAGGAATGAAGAGGAGGGAAGTGAGCATGGTGATGAGGGTGGATGGGAGGAATGAGGGTTACTGGGATGCTAGAGTGAGTGAGAGGGAGACAATACGGAACGAGCTAAACAGTGATTTAGGGAGGGTATCAATTAATGGAAGTTGTCATACCTGTATCATTCCTATTGCCAGACCTGAGTGCCATACCTGTGTAACATACTTATTGCCGAACCTGAGAGCTCCACGACCACAGTCCATACGTACCTGAGAACCTGAGTGCATGGTGGTGGGATCAATGGGGGAGAGGATACGACCATGGAAGTCCATGCGCCATACAGTCACCGTACCTGTGTGCCAAACCTATGTGCCAAACCTATGTGCCGTACCTGGGAACCTGAGTGCATGGTGGTGGGATCAATGGGGGCGAGGATACGGCCGTGGAATGCCATGCGGCATACAGTCACCGTACCTGTGTGCCAAACCTGTGTGCCAAACCTGTGTATCGTACCTGAGAGCCTGAGTGCATGGTGGATGGATCAATGGGGGCGAGTATACGGCCGTGGAAAGCCATTCGACATGTGTTGGTATCTGCATGTGGGAGGAGGAGGGAGGGAACTTGGTTGGATGTCAAGGAGAGACAGATGGCCGGATAGCGAACACACATCATAATAAGGATGCGCACCTACGAAGAAACATACAGAAGGGCGACTTTTGAGTCGACTCAAAAGTCACTACGCACACACCATAATAAGGGCACTCACGAAGAAACATACAGAAGGGCATGCTTCAAGGGCATGCTTGCAACTTACGAATGTCAGAATCGAGGCGAGATGCTATGAGCAAAGCGTCACTTGGACATGCGATCTGCATGCACATGCCAAGCCATGCCATGACATACCGTGCCATGCCATGCCATGCCAAGGCGCATGCAAGGAAAGTGTTAGGTGGCTGTTGAGAATATCTTGGCTCAGCATTTTTGCATTGAAAAGAATTTCAATTCGATTGACATAGAGGTATACGTACCCCGAATTCTAGCACCAGGAGGGCGAAGAGTGGCCGTGATGAAGCCTAGGAAAACCAGCGAGATGAGACAATTTCCGTGGCGACTCCAGAGCTTTAGGCATACATACCTCGGATTCAAACACTAGGAGGGCGAAGTGTGTGCGTGATTGAGCCTCAGATGCGTGCTCCTGGTGCTGCTGCTGGCTTGGTGATGGTGCTGCAAGGAACAAGTTAGAGAAGGTTGAAGAAGGGCGGGTAAGGGATGGGGAGGTTGAAGCAATGGTGCTGCAGGGAACACCAGGCTGAGAAAGGACGGAGAAAAGGAGGCAGCACAGCAGCAGCTTAGTGCAATGGCAGCACAGAACTCTCTGGCTTTAGAGTTGGTTCAAAAGTTACCACGATTACAGCATAGTGCAACGAGACCTTTGCACAAACTCATAAGTAGCTTTCACAGCAGCTTTCACTGTAGCACAGTGCCTCAGCAGCACATTGGCAATGGCAAAGCATCAACCTACCAGTGCTTAGATGTTGCCCGGCGCCTGACAGTGCTGAGAGCGACTCACTGTCTTGTAGATTTTCCTGTAAAGTACACCCACGCGAAGCACATGCACGCAGCAGCAGACGCAAGAGGAGTCAAAGCGCTAAAGCAATCAGTCCAGGCGGACGAGTTGACTTTTGAGTTGACTTTGACTCAACTCAAAAATTGAAGGGCTAACGTGATCAGTCCAGGTGATGCTCTTACTTAAACGTTTGTCCAAGGATTAGAAAAACGTCCAATAACTTGGGTTTCTTCTCTCACCAAGTAGGGGTAATTGAGAGCGAAATCAAAAGAAGAGCCTGCAATGGGGAAAAGTCGAGGGGCAAGATCGGAGAGAGGCAGTGTAGGGTTGAGATCTGTAAGCCGACTTAATAGTTTTCTGCCCGCACAAACATAGATACACACGAATATTCAATTTTATAATGGATTGTAGAAATGATGTTCAAATCATAGCCATGCAAGAAGCGGGTTAGAAAGAGAAAGATGACAGCTCAATCAGACACTGACGTACTGACAGGTAACAAAACCTGTGGATTTGAGGAGGGAGGATGTGAAAGAGAGCAGCAGCAGAGGAGCAATGCACCTGATGATGCACCTGACGAAGCACCTGATACTGCAGCTGATGAAGCACCTGACGATGCACCTGATGAAGCATCTGATGATGCACCTGATGTGAGAGTTGTAGAAGAATGTGGAAAGGGATGAGCGAAGAAGGTTACAGTTGTCATCACTGTGGAATGACCCACCGTTACTGTGTTGGGGGAGGGGGAAGGGGGAAGGGGGAAGGGAGGACAGGGAAGGGGAGGAGAGGGATGTGAGACATGGAGGCAGGGTCTTTTGAGTGAGAAAGGGCGGGAAGGGGAGAGAAGTGAGAGTGGGAGCGAGTTTTTGAGTCGACTCAGAAGGAGAGGGATGTGAGTGGGAGCGAGTTTTTGAGTCGACTCAGAAGGAGAGGGATGTGAAATGTAGAGGTGACTTTTGAGTCGACGTACCATGAAAATTAGAGTCAATCAGCGAGTCAACCTCCTCTGCTACCTCTGCTTCAGCTTGCTGCTCAACCGGGTGCTCATTATCCGTGCTCCATGATTGCGCCTCCTCGACAGTCAGATAGTGAGCAGGGGAGAAAAACAGAGCACGACGCTGTTCCTGCACCAATGCAGCCCGTTTCTGCCAATGGCTCAAAAGCTCGGCAAACGTAGGGTATTCAGCAAAGAAGGGATTGGAGCATGACGCTTCATCTGCAGCAGCACATCAATGTTCTCTCAAAAGGCCACAGAATCAGCGAACGAGAAAGGTAGTCAGCCATCAGGTACAAGAGTGTGATTGGGAGGAAACGAAGTGAAGAAAAGCACTAAGGCTGTGATGGCTGACTATCCCTCGTTCGCTGAGGCTGTGACCTTCTTGGAAAACATTGGTGTGCTGCTGCAGATGAAGCGTCATGCTCCAATCCCTTCATCTTTTGAGTGCCCTACATTTGCTGAGCTTTTGAGCCTTTGGCAAGAATGGGGGTTATATTGGTGCAGGAGCAGCGCCGTGCTCTTTTTTCTCCTTAGTTCACTATCCGACTGTCAAGGAGGCGGACTCGTGGAGTGGAGCACGGATTATGAGCAACAGGTTGAGCAGCAAGCTGAAGCAGAAGTAGCAAAGGAGGTTGACTCGCTGATCGACGCTGCAGAGGAGCTGAAGAGCAGGACATACCATGAAATTTAGAGTTTGAGGTGAGGGCTCCTTTGAAGAATCGGATGGGATGGACGGCTGCGATTGCAGCAGAGAGCATAGGGACTGAACCAGGTGCAGCCTGCTTGCTACAAGGGGGGCTGTTGTGAGGAAAGCAGGGTAAGATTGAGGAATTAGGTGAATGTAGCAAAGGGTGCAGGGACTGAACTAACTGCAGCCTGCTTGCTCTCCCCCACTCTACCCTCTCCCCCCCCCCCTCCCCATCCCCATCCCCCTTGAAATAAAAAAGCGTTGAGCAGCACAGCACGTAACTGCAATTCCTCGCTCGATGAGCTTTGGGTCGAGCTGGGTGACACACAGACCCACTCGGTCGCCCTGCCAACACATGAGCGAGAAAGACTTCTGTAAGTTAGAAAAACCTGCATTTATAAGAAAACCACTCTGCAAGGGGAAAAAAAAAGCCAACACATTTTCTTTTACACCCTGCAGCAGTTACAAAAAGCACCCTGCAAATCTTCACAAAACCCCATTACTTCTCAGCAGTAGCCCACAAACGGATTGGAAACCCTGCAGAGAAGCACACGCACCTGGGATGCATGAGTGACTGGTGTGTGGGAACATCTGCTTGCACATCACCTGGGATGGAGAGCAGGGAGAGCAGCTCTGCTGCACCCCCAATGAAGCACACGCACACACACGCACCAGTCACATGACTGACATGCATGGACGGACGCACACACCTGAGAGGCGAGACTGACTGGTCTGTGAAACATCTGCATGCTCTTGACCTGCATGCATGCAGGAGGAAGGGCATCACATCACATGGTGGGATATAACATAGCACGATCGATTATCACATGTTCACTGGTAAGGGAACTGGGAGGTCAAGTGCTGTGAAACATCTGCATGCCCTTTACCTGTTTGCAGGAGGAAGGGCATGGCATGGGATGATGGGACGTCACATGCCATGATGGGCACATCACATGTCATGATGACACATGACAATGCATGGGACATCACATGTTCAATCCATGGTAAGGGGCATGGTAACTGAAGTGCCGTGATGATGAGTCATGCAGTGCTGTGATGCTAAGCCGAGCTGCGAAAGGAAGAATTCCTGTGCAACACAAAAGCTGAAATTAGATAATTACCAACTCGTTTAGGTAAACTCCGAGCGAGAATTGCCCTGCGTGTAGAAAAAATACCATGTGACATTATACCGAGTTGACTTTCGAGTCGACTCAAAAGGTGTGTTGTGATGCTAAGCCATGCTGCGAAAATGGTGTCCCTGCCAACCCAACCACAAGCTACATCTGCACTGCACAACATCTGATTCTTGAGTACAGTGCGGATGCAGCGACACAAGAGCTGCACTTTTCTTGCGCCTTGAGATCTTCTGACCAACCTTTTTCTGCAGCTTGAGGAGAGGGAGCTCCAGCAAATCATTCACTGCCACGTGGCCTCTCAGCACTGTACCTGTCATCACTGTTCCCTGCAAACGAGGGTGTGACAATATTGGGTGTGATAATCGAGGGTGTGACAATACTGGGTGTGATAACGAGGGTGTGACACGTGGAGGCACCAAGGCACTACTTACCTGTAATAGGCGAATACAAACATGGGGACAGGAGTGTCCTCATTTTGAGGCACCTAAGCATCAGAATGACCTGGCAGCCTGCTGAAATCACCTGGCAGCTTGTAGAAATCACCTTGGCTGGCAGCTTGTAAAAAGCACCTGGCTTCTTGTTGAAATCACCTGCCCTTTGATCGGAAAGCAGTGGTCGATGGCAAAAAGGAAAGGCCCCTCTGATGACCGAGATATGGCTGGGAAGGTGAGAGGTGGGGTGTGTGGAGTAAGGAGGGAGAAGGGGAGGTAGGATCGGAAGGGAGGAAGGGGGGCGCAGTGGTGCTTGATTGGAAAGTGGGGGTGGATGGCAAAGAGGAAAGGCCGAGTTTTGAGTCGTCTCACAAGTTTGAGGCACTCCAAGGATCATTCACAGGTACACACGCCGTTAGCTCATTAACGACGTCAGCTATGCCCTCTGCTGCTGCTTTTGAGTTGTGAGGCGCCTCAGGGGTTTTGAGTTGATTTTTGAGGCGCTACAAAGTTTCACTCACAAGGTACCCGTGCCATTAGCTCATATACGACGTCAGCTATGCCCTCTGCTGCTGCTTTTGAGTTTTGAGGCGCCTCAGGAGTTTAATTTGAGGTACTCTAAGCATCACTCACAAGGTACCCGTGCCATTAGCTCATTAGCGACGTCAGCTATGCCCTCTGCTGCTGCTCCTGCTCCTCCACCTGCTGCTGGTTGTGCTGCTGCTTCTGTTGATGGCATGGCTGCAGCTGCTGTTGCAACCATGGAAGCATCGGCAAACTTGGTGCCTTTCAGCGTGGCCCGCAGCCTCTTCCTCATCTGCAAGTGTGTGATGGAAACACGACGCAAGACAAGGCACAGAGAGAAGGAATCATGGTGCTGCTGGTGGTGCTGTTGATGGCACGACTGCTGCTGCTGTAGCAACCATGGCAGCATCGGCAAACTTGGTTCCTTTCAACGTGGCTCGCAGCCTCTTCCTCATCTGTGAGAGTGAAGGGAAAAGGAGGTGTAAGTGAGTAGCCGTTGCTGTTACTGTTGCTACCGTTGCTACTGGTGCTGCTGATGGCACAGCTGCTGATGTTGCCACCATGGCAGCATCGGCGAACTTGGTGCCTTTCAACGTGGCTCGCAGCCTCTTCCTCATCTGCAAAAGTGATGGTGGACACGAAATGCAATCCTTGGTGCAATACAAGTTACAGTTAAGTTAGTTTGAAAAACTGCAGGTGGCTGACTGACGAAAAACTTGGTGCCTTTCAACGTGGCTCGCCACCTCTTCCTCATCTGTGAGAGGGATGGTAGAGAGATAAACAGAGAAAGATACATGCTTATTAAGTTTGAAGTGTTTCACAACGGAGCAACCGTCATGTTTAGAAGCAGCGGGAGTGAGGGGCAAGCAAGTGGTTGGTTATTGTGCCATGATCTGTGTGATGTGTGGATCAATCCATATGAATCTAGAAGAACCACTTTATCCATTTCTATCCCTAACGATTTAATATAAACCCCTTGGTTCAAATTAATGACAGCAATGAGCCAGGGTAGAGAACGCATCAAAAGCCGAAGTACTGTCCTCCTGCCTTTGAGATGCCTAAAAAACCAGAATCCACCTTTCAAGTCAACTCAAGATACTCTTACAGCTGTTTTGAATGGCGCTTTTTTTTGCTTACCTTTTCGATCTGTGCTTGCTTTGTAGCAGCAGGCAAAAGGTCCTGGGGCCGGGGAACAGAAAGAATTTCAGGAAAGAGCATGCAAGAGGGGGAAAAGTACAGAAAGGAGGAAAAGCGTGATCCATGTGTGAGGCGTGGCATGTAAAGCAGAGAGGGTAACGGCAGGCGCGGCATGGCATGCATGCCATGGCATGGCATGAGTCGAGTGTTAGCAGACTGTTAGCATGCTGTTCGCTGGATCATGTCTAACAGTCTGCGGCCGCCGCATGGCATGGCATGGCATGGCATGGCATGGGTCGAGTGTTGACTTACTGTTTTGTTGAGCACAACAACCATCTCCTTGGTGGGGGACACCTCGCCCACCACCAAACACTGCACATGCACGTGAGAGACAAGGAGCGGGAAGAAGCGGGGAGAAGAAGGGAGAAGCGGGGGCAGAAATCTTGCGAAGAAATGATATGAAAGTGAAATAGGGGTTGGCAAGTATGGAAGAAAAAATCGTGGCGGAAAAAGAAAGCTCTAACCAGCTTCGGGAGCATACATTCATCCATTCACTCCACGCCTCCTCCTCCTCCTCCTCACCTCTGCCGTCTGTGCCTGAATGCTCTTGGTGATGTCCGTTGTTCGGTTTTGAACCCACCCCCCCCCCCCCCCCCCCCCCCCCCCCCCCACCACAAAAGAACAAGAAGAAAAAACACCTCACAAATCTCCGCCCTTGGTTTTGAGGCGCCTCAAAACTGCCCTTGGTTTTGAGGCGCCTCAAAACTAGAAGAAGAAGTAACTCCTCACAAATCTCCTCACCTCTGCCGTCTGTGTCTGAATGCCCTTGGTGACGTCAACCACAAGCAGCATCATATCAATGATCTGTGCACCTGATGGGGTGAGTGCGGGGACCATAGAGGGGTGGGGACATGGGGGTTAGGGGATGACAGGTCATAAAGGGGACATGACGGAAAGTTTCCTCTTGGTGATCTGTGCTCCTGATGGGATGGAAACATGGGGATGGACATTCATTGGCAGTCTTAAGGTGTTACCAGAGATACCTGACAAATCATAAAATCGCGATTAGAAGGACACAAGGGGCGGACCTCCGATGATGGTGCGGATGAGGGAGGCATGGCCGGGGCAGTCGACAAGGGTGAATTGGACCTTGACGTATGGAAGCTGATGTGCTAGCGAACTGGGCACATCCACCTGGGCGTGAAGGGAGGGAGAGTGAGAAGGGGGGGAGGTAGGCTGCAAGTGAGAGGGAGAGATGAGGGAGGCGTGGCCGGGGCAGTCAACGAGGGTGAATTGAATCTTGTCGTATGGAAGCTGGTGCGCGAGAGAACCGGGCACGTCCACCTGGGTGTGTGTGAAGGAAGAGCGAGAAGGGGGACGTCCACGTGAGTGAGAAGGGGGGGAGGTAGGCTGCAAGTGAGAGGGAGAGATGAGGGAGGCATGGCCAGGGCAGTCGACGAGGGTGAATTGAATCTTGTCGAAAGGCAGCTGACCAACAAGGGATGGAGGGACGTCCACCTGGCAAACGGGTGCGAAGAAAGGAGTGGAAAGGAGTGCAAAGGAGTGGTGTAGTGAGACAGGACAGGGCACATGGGATGCACAAAACCCACTTGAGAAGCTACTTGGAAGACGCGCGGATCCAGGAAGCTGCCTGGAAGGCACGGGGAAGGCACCTGGAAGGCGGAGAACCCCAGGTCGAGGGTGATCCCCCTCTCCGCGCTCTGCGGGTGTTTGTCCAACGCCGCTGTGCTCAGCAGCGTGCTCAGCGCCCGGGCTGGGGGCATGGAGGCATGGCATGGAGATACAGCATGGGGGCATGGAGGCAGACATAAGGCAGTGCTCCTCTCTCCCCTTCTCTCCGCGCTCTGCGGGTGTTTGTCCAACGCCGCTGTGCTCAGCAGCGTGCTCAGCGCCCGGGCTGGGGGCATGGAGGCATGGCATGGAGATACAGCATGAGGGCATGGAGGCAGACATAAGGCAGTGCTCCTCTCTCCCCTTCTCTCCGCGCTCTGCGGGTGTTTGTCCAACGCCGCTGTGCTCAGCAGCGTGCTCAGCGCCCTGGCTGGGGTGGTGAGGGGGAGAGTATGGGGTTGGTATGGCGGGAGTGTGGGGGTGCATGGGGGCATGGGGTTACACTCGGGCATGCTGCCCCCCCTTTCCCCCCCCCTCCCCCCCCCCCCCCCCCTTTCTCTCCGCGCTCTGCGGGTGTTTATCCAACGCGGCTGTGCTCTGCGCCCTGGCCGGGGTGGGGGAGGGAGGGGTGTGGGTTGGGGAAAGGGAGGGGTTGGGACGTCATATGGGGGAGGGGGGGTGAAAGAGGGGGGCCATACTATTCCGGCTTACAAGCGTGTGCGGGACGAATTCCGAGCGATTTTTTTAAATTCCCAAAACTCCCTCACAGGGAAAAGTCGACTAAAAAATCGACTTTATCACACAGGGACCATACTACTCCGGCTTGGGTGGCACGAATTTCCGGGTGGTGCTGCCACGTGTCGGCTCCGCTCACCGAGGCTCGTCTTGCCGCTGTCGATGTGCCCCAGAATGCCGACATTCACGTTGAAGACACGTGGCGAGGTGTTACTGGCTGAGACACGTGGCTCGGTGTTACTCGCTAAGACAGGTGGTGGATCGCTCGATGGCGACGGCGGCTCCATCGCACGGAGGTCGTCGCACGAAAGAAAGTCGTCGCACTAGGGTTGGTTGTTGCAAAGTCGTCGCATGAGGGATGGTCGTCGCATTAGCAGTAATTACGGTCGCAGAGTCCGATTGCCTGTCATCGCTATCTGCAGGTTTGGGTGAACTAGCGCAGAGTGCTGCTCGTACGCGTTAGTGCAGCGAATGGGAAGATAAGATGACACCACAATACATAGCTTAGCTAACCAATAGCAACATCTTATGGATTGAGAATGGAGTGTACATCCACTGAAATTGAGCCTGGTAACGGCAAACCAAAAAAACTACACACATTAGCTTACACACACACATACACATTATATTTGTAATGTCCAACACGCAGAAAAAAGAAAAGCTAAGGTCAGGCTCAGGAGGAGCATCCATTCGGAGAAAGTAGAGTGGGGATTTAGGAATGTTCCATGAAGCACGCGAAATACTTCCAGCTTTTGTGACGCTATCTAATTTCGAGTCTCGATTTGTGTACAAGGGAGTCTCACTATTGAGGCCCCTCAAACAAGAGAACATCTGGCCTAATCTCCCCTGCTCCTCCCCCCGCCACCACAACTCACGCCCCCAGTCCCACCAGCACCAACAACTCGCGCATATCACCCCTTCTTCCCCCCAGTAGCTGATCGCCGCAAGGGCCCTCCTTCAAACTTGTCCCTCGCACCACCACCATCATCACCGCCCCCCTGTCACGACACCATCATCACCATCCATCTCACCCTATCCCCCAGGCAGCTGATCGTCATATGGGCCCCCCTTCAAACTTGTCCCTCGCACCGCCACCACCATCCTGCTCCTGTTCCTGCTCCTGCTCTCGCGCCCATCTCACCCCTTCTTCCCCCACGAAGTTGATCGCCACACCGGCCCGCCTTCAAACTTGTCCCTCGAGCCGCCGCCAAACCTGATATCCAGCCTTGAATCTCCCCCACCCCCTTGCCCTCTTCCCCCTCCTCCACTCCCTCCTCCTCCTCCTGCGCCTCCTACTCCTCCTCCTTCTCTCTCTGCTCCCCCTCTGCTCATGCTCCCAGCACCTCCACCTGTGCTCGACCCAGCCTCAGCCCCTTTAAAGCTGACAAGCTTTTTAAACAGCCCCTCTGGCTTGATTATCGGTCCCTGCTGCATCTGCTGCTGCTGCGGCTGTGACTGCTGTGGTTGCCGCTCTGATATCCCACTCCCCTCCTCTCGACTGCTGGCAGGGCGTTTGAAGCTGGGAGCTCGGAGTGAGCTGCCCGATCTCTTAAAACTGCCCGTTTTGCTCAAGCTGCCCGACTGAGCCAAGCCCGCTCCTGCACCCACGCTCCCAGTCCCATCCCTCTCTTGAGAACCACCAGACCCAGGCCTCTTGAAACTCTCCGCTTTCATAAAGCTTCCTTTCTTACTCTCCAGCCGCACAAACTGCTTCACCCCCCCTTCCTGCCGAATCTCCTGCCTCTGCTGCTCCCGCTCTCCCACTGCCTCCCTGCTGACCCCCTCACCTCCGGGCACAGAAGCGCTTCGGAAACCCCCCGCCCGGGCCACAGGCCCCCCTTGGAAAGCCTCGGACTGTTTGAACGAGGCTGACCGCATTGACTCTGCTCGGAACGACCCTGCCCTCCTGACTGGCGTTGACTTGATTGACTCTCTCGCGTCTCTCGCTGCCTCTTTGAAAAGATTGGACCTTTGCTTTATGAACGCATCTGCTTTCAGCGAGGCGGACTTGAAAGAACCTGCCCGGAAATCATTGTTCTTGAACGAATCTGCCCGAGAAGAAGCGGCGGCTCCCCTGGAAAACCGCCTCTTGAGGGATTTGCCTGACTTCGAGCGATTGCCGCTGCTGCTGGTGGGTCGGTCCGCATTGCTGAAGCTCCTCCCACCCATGCTTCCAACTCGGTCGAACGCTCCTCCCCCTCCTCTCTCCCCTCTCTCCCCTCTCTCACCTTCGTCTTGTCCGAAGCTTCTGAGTCGCATCACAAGACGAGCTGTGCTGCTGGCGGTGGTGCCTTCAGTGTTCTTGAAGCTCCTCCCACCCATGCTACCAACTCGGGCAAACACACCCCCTCTCTCCCCTTCCTCTCCAGCACCACCGCCAAACCCACCTGCAGCATCAAACCCACCAGAAGCACCAGCAGCAGCACCACCAACATCACCACCAAAATCACCACGAGTGCTGTAATTGCCCAGGTCAATGTGCTGTAGCTGGTTGGCGACCAGAGCAGAGTGCACGTCAGGGGGGTCCTTCCACCCCAGCCCCACGAAGAGAGCATGAAAGAAGTTGATCTCCGCCATCGTCTGCAACCCGGAACGAATGCTGCCCCACACGCCACCTGCGCCCTTCGCTCCCTTGCTGCCTTCCTCTGCCTTGCCCTTCCTGGAGGACCTGCAGTGAGAATCATCAAAGGGGAGGAACATGAAAGAAGTTGATCTCCGTCATTGTCTGCAGCCCGGCGCGAACGCTGCCCCAAAATCCCTCTCCCTTCTTTGCTCCCTTGCTTTCCGTGCTTCCTTCCTCTGCCTTCCCCTTCCTGAGGGACCTGGAATGGGCATCAGCGTAGGGGAGGAAAGGGGGTGGGGGAGAGGGACAAGACAAGGGAGGAAAGGGGGTGGGGGAGAGGGACAAGACAAGGGAGGAAAGGGGGTGGGGGAGAGGGACAAGACAAGGGAGGAAAGGGGGTGGGGGAGAGGGACAAGACAAGGGAGGAAAGGGGGTGGGGGAGAGGGACAAGACAAGGGAGGAAAGGGGGTGGGGGAGAGGGACAAGACAAGGGAGGAAAGGGGGTGGGGGAGAGGGACAAGACAAGGGAGGAAAGGGGGTGGGGGAGAGGGACAAGACAAGGGAGGAAAGGGGGTGGGGGAGAGGGACAAGACAAGGGAGGAAAGGGGGTGGGGGAGAGGGACAAGACAAGGGAGGAAAGGGGGTGGGGGAGAGGGACAAGACAAGGGAGGAAAGGGGGTGGGGGAGAAGGACAAGACAAGGGAGGAAAGGGGGTGGGGGAGAGGGACAAGACAAGGGAGGCACCATACTTAGGATTCTGTACTCCACATCCTGCACCATTCTCAAAGGCCCCACGTAGCTCAGGATCCTGTACTCCATATAAGCCAACTCGGCACAGTGCAGTACACCTTTTTCCTCACCTTGCCAAACGCAAATCACCCTGCTTTGCCTCCCTCCAATTCCTCCTTCAGCTCCTTCTCCAGCTCCCGGCAGTAGCTGAAAATCCTGTACCATATATAGACTGACCCGGCACAGTATACAATACACAGATGTGAACCCACCTGCTTTCTTGCCTTTCCCCAGGCGGATTGCAACTCACCCTGCCTTGCTTCCCTCCAACTCCTCCTTCAGCTCCTTCTCCAGCTTCCAGCAGTACCTCAGGATCCTGTAACCCGTATAGGCAAACCCAGCACAGTGCACACACGTGACTCCCTTTTCCTGCCCACTTCATTGTCAGCCTACAATCGCAACTCACCCTGCTTTGCTTCCCTCCAATTCCTCCTTCAGCTCCTTCTCCAGCTTCTTGCAATAACTCAGAATCCTGTACCCCGTATAAGCCGACATGGCGCAGTACACAAGGCAGCACAGCACCGCCACCGCGCTATAGATCACAAAGAGCGTCCAGAAGTTTTCAGGGCCGAGGCTGGTAGAAGAAACGGAGGGCCCGAGGGAGCAGGAGGTGGAGCCCTTGATCCAGAAGTCGTGCATGCTCTGCAGCTGCCCCGACTGCGCCAGCTTTGAGATTGCTATTGAGAGATCGTAGGGCACGCGCATGTCCTTGTGAAAGGCCTGGGTGGTGAGGGGAAGGAGGGGGGGTTGGAAAGGGGCAGGGGGGAGGGGGGGCAGGGGAGGGAAGGGGGAGTGGGGAAGGCTTTGAGATGGCGATGGAGAGGTCATAGGGCACGCGCATGTCCTTGCGGAAGGCCTGGGGGGTTGGGGCCAGGGGGAGGGGAGGCAGGGGAGTAGGGGAGCAGGGGAGCAGGGGGGCAGGGGGACAGGGGAGCAGGGGAGCAAGAGGGAGGGGAAAGTGTCAGCAGCGGGGAGTGTAAGGAGACGGAGGGCCCGAGGGAGCAGGAGGTGGAGCCCTTGATCCAGAAGTCGTGTATGCTCTGCAGCTGCCCCGACTGCGCCAGCTTTGAAATGGCGATGGAGAGATCGTAGGGAACCCGCATGTCCTTGTGAAAGGCCTGGGGTGTGAGGCAACAATGGCAGGAAGGGGGAGTGGGGGAGGCTTTGAGACGTGTTCAACTCGCGCTACTGCAGCACCAATGGCACCAGCGCACATGCATTACACACAGCAACCAGAAGCACTCACGAAGCCCCAGTTGAAGGTGGAGAGCTGCTCCTTCACGCGGGTGTGGCTGCAGAAGCGAGAGTTGAACACGTCCAGATACGGCGCCTCATCAATCACTGCCTTCACCTTGCCCGACCCCATCCATCAAGCCACATTCACCACGCCCTATGCATCAAGCAGGATAGGCAGCTCCACTTACGAATCCCCAGTTGAAGGTGGAAAGCTGCTCCTTCACGCGGGTGTGGCTGCAGAAGCGAGAGTTGAACACGTCCAGATACGGCGCCTCATCAATCACTGCCTTCACCTTGCCCGACCCCATCCATCAAGCCACATTCACCACGCCCTATGCATCAAGCAGGATAGGCAGCTCCACTTACGAATCCCCAGTTGAAGGTGGAAAGCTGCTCCTTCACCTGCGTGTAGCTGCAGAAGCGAGAGTTGAACACGTCCAGATACGGCGCCTCGTCAATCACCGTGCCACACCCCAGGGCAACAAGCCACACATATACACCACACTACATGCACCAAGGCAGGCAGCAGCACTCACGAATCCCCAGTTGAACGTGGAGAGCTGCTCCTTCACGCGTGTGTAGCTGCAGAAGCGCGAGTTGAACACGTCCAGATACGGCGCCTTATTGGCCTTACACCACATGCCGTAAGCCCCAACACCATGCCAACCAAACCCACTTACAAAGCCCCAGTTGAAGGTAGAGAGTTGCTCCTTCACGCGCGTGTAGCTGCAGAAGCGCGAGTTGAACACGTCCAGATACGGCGCCTCGTCAATCACCGTGCCACACCCCATACACCAAGGCACTTGCATGCGCCACACCCCAGGGCATCAAGTCGCATACACCAAGGCAGGCAGCAGCACTTACAAAGCCCCAGTTGAAGGTAGAGAGTTGCTCCTTCACGCGCGTGTAGCTGCAGAAGCGCGAGTTGAACACGTCCAGATACGGCGCCTCATCAATCACCGCCGTGCCACATCCCATGCATCAAGCCATGTGCACTAAGACAAGACAACCAGCAGAACTCACGAATCCCCAGTTGAAGGTAGAGAGTTGCTCCTTCACGCGTGTGTAGCTGCAGAAGCGCGAGTTGAACACGTCCAGATACGGCGCCTCATCAATCACCGCCGTGCCACATCCCATGCATCAAGCCATGTGCACTAAGACAAGACAACCAGCAGAACTCACGAATCCCCAGTTGAACGTAGAAAGTTGCTCCTTCACGCGCGTGTAGCTGCAGAAGCGCGAGTTGAATACGTCCAGATACGGCGCCTCATCAATCACGGCCTTCACCTTGCCTGACCCCAGGGCGTCCGCGAATTCAGCCATGGATTTCAGCGGGAACAGCACTGACTGGTGGGGGCAGGGAGGGGTGGGGCATGGGTGGGGGGTTTCAGGCGAGGGGAGGGATGGGGTGGGGCATGAGTTGTGAGCCTCATCAATCACCGCCTTCACCTTCACCTTGCCCGACCCCGGGGCAGCCATAAACTCAGCCATGGATTTCAGCGGGAACAGCACTGACTGGTGGGGGGAGGGAGGGGTGGGGCATGGGTGGGTGGGAGCAACATGAGTGAGAGTGAGAGCCTATCAATCACGGCCTTCACCTTGCCTGAGCCCAGGGCGTCTGCAAACTCAGCCATGGATGTCAGCGGGAACAGCACTGACTGGTGGGGGGAAAGGGGGTGGGGGGGCGCGCATTGAGGTTTGGGGGTGGGGAGGGAGGTATGGGGGGGGCAGTGTGAGAGTGAGATTCGCCAAGCACAGCCTTCACCTTGCCCGACCCCAGAGCATCCGCAAGCTCAGCCATGAAACTTAGCGGGAACAGCACTGACTGTTGGGTGGGGGCAGGTTGGGAGAAGACAGAGGGAAAGGGGGAGCCAATAGCGGTGGAGAAGGGTGGGATGTGGTTGGCATGATTGAGCTTGTGAATGAGACTGCATGCATACAGTGGGGATTAGACAGCACAGCCTGCTTACAAAGGGGATAAAGAGAGCTAAAAACAAGAGATGGAGGGAGTGGATTGTGGGCCTGCTTAGAGCGGGGATAGAGAGACCGCTTACAGCGGGGATAGAGAGACTGCTTACAGCGGGGATAGACAGACTGCTTACAGCGGGGATAGAGAGACTGCTTACAGCGGGGATGCCGATGGCAAGGAGGTAATTGTAGGTGAAGGACCCCTCGTGGTAACCGAGAGGAAGCTTCATAGAAATTGCAACAGCAAGGCTCTGTGTGGGGGTGGAAGGGGTTTGATGGGCGGGGGGAGGGGTTGATGAGGATGGATGGAGGAGAGTGAGGGGTTGTGGCATGGGGATGTATCGTGGATGGACCAGGAATACAGGTTGGGGTTAAGGGTTTAGAAATCTGGGTGCTAAGGGGTGGGGGTAGGTGCCAGAGATGCTCACATCAGGGGTTGCAGCAAGGTTCTGAACGGTGAGGATGGAGGAGAGGGAGGCGGTGTAACTGGCAGTCACGATGAGCACGAGGAAGAGCCAACACATCATGGCTAATCGCCCCATGGTGGTCTGAATGGGCTTGTCTGCTCACATGGCAGCACATTGCATTCCATCACAGCATACCATATCATGACAGGTAGTGGGGTTGGAGAGATGGGGAACAAGACAATGTCACGATGAGCACGAGGAAGAGCCAGCACATCATGGCCAGCCGCCCCATGGTGATTTGACTGGTAGCATATAAGCAGGAGCCAGCAGCATGCCATGGCATAGCACAAACACACAGTGTGGCTATGTACGCTGATGGTGATGCATGAGTGCTATGAGGGCATGAAGTCGTACCTTGCGCAAAGACGATCGTGGTGAGCGCATACCTGTTGAGAACAAGAGTGGACCACAAAGGAACACGGGGGAAAGGGTACACGGGGCATCATTTGACGCTCAACTGGTTGATGGACGAGGTCAGGCGAATATCTCATATAGAGGTACAAGTCAGCCGAGAGTTGTTGCTAAGCTATCTAAGCTCCCTAAGCCAAGAATAAACAGCTCCACTTGAGCCTCCACAGCAGCGCCTCGATTCCAAAGTAGCTTGAATATCTTCTTATCTTCTCATCTTCTTGATTGCCTCTGACGTTACGGGAGATGAAACGGTCAAAATTAGTGGCGGGCAGATGAATAAACACATCGGGTGGGACGATAGGTTCCCGATGTGTGTATTCATCTGCCTCTGACGGCCAAGACGGGTCTAGAAGATGAGAAGATAAGAAGATATTCAAGCTGTTTGGAGTCGAGACGCCGCTGTGGAGGCTCAAGTGGAGCTGTTTATACTTGGCTTTAGGAGCTTAGATAGCTTAGCAACAACTCTCGGTTGACTTGTAACTCTATATTTAATTAATACATAGATGTTGTAACAGTTTATAATCGCTCAACAAGCTGTTGCTTATTGCGCTTCTGAACATCCGGTAGGTTGAATATTTGTCAGATAGTCCAAGTTTGCCAACTGAACCTACGATTCACTCACCAATATATTGATGTTGCTTCTGAAAGTTCTCAAAAGCAACATCGTTCATCGATATATTACCCAACAGGCAACAGATACCAGACGCTGACGATGATCCGGCTGGAGAGCTGCCGTCGGCAAGAAAGTATTGAGAGTTCTTAAACTATGAGACAGTCTCAAATAGCTGAATTACCAGACACTGTCGATGATCTGGCTGGAGAGCTTGCCGTGGGCATAAAAGTCCTCGTTCTGGTTCTTCTCGAGGAACCACACGGTGACGACGGTGAAGGCGGTGGATGCCAGGATCACCAGCCACATGGTCAGCGAGAAGGGCGACAGGAACGACCACGCGCCCGTGCTCGTTGGCTCCTGAGCCACTGCCATTGACAGGCTTGCAGACTGGAGAGAAGAAGGGAAGGGTGTGAAGGGAGGGTGTGAACTGACTGATGAGTGGCTGCAAAAGCCACATGGTGAGCGAGAAGGGCGACAGGAACGACCACGCGCCCGAGCTCGTTGGCTCTTGTGCCACTGCCATTGACAGGCTTGCAGACTGGAGGTAAGGGGGGAATGGGGTGAACGGGGTGAACTCACTGATGAGTCGCCACAAAAGCCACATGGTCAGCAAGAAGGGCGACAGGAGCGACCACGCCCCCGTGCTTGTTGGTTCCTGGGCCACCGCCAATGACAGGCTTGCAGAAGGAAGGGGGTAGCTGCGGGGAATCAAAGCAGAGAAATGCGTTTAAGTATATACACATATATACATGTATATATGTATATGTATATGTATGTGTATGTGTATGTGTATGTGTATGTGTATGTATATGTATATGTATATGTATATGTATATGTATATGTATATGTATATGTATATGTATATGTATATGTATATGTATATGTATATGTATATGTATATGTATATGTATATATGTATAGGAAAAGCAGCGAGGGAAAGGATGTACCTGCACTGGCTGTGTGAACTGAACGAGCTGCTGGCGCTCCTCTGTGATGGTGATGTCCCCGACTGCCCCGTCAAATGTCTGCACGCACAGTGGAAGATGAGAGGACACGCAGGGTGGGTGGGAGCGAGAGGAGGAGCATTTGGGGCGCCTAAAAAATCGAGCTGCTGGTGCTCCTCTGTGATGGTGATGTCACCGACTGCCCCGTCAAATGTCTGCACGCATGGTGAGGACAAGAAGGCAGGGAGGGTGGGAAGGGAGCAAGAGGAGCAAGAGGAGCAAGAGGGACGAGCTTTTGACGCGCCTCAAAAGATCGAGCTGAGCATGAGCATATCTTTGTAACTCAAAGACAGGTTGCCGACGCCAAAGGGCAAAAACTCGTAGTCCAGCGTGTACGGCAGCAGCCCCACTGCCGCCCGAACGACTCAAAGTCAGGCCCTGCCCTGGTTGGTTTGGCTACTCATCCCACCTTGTTCGCAACGAGTCGGAGCATATCCGTGTAACTCAAAGACTGATTCCAGACGCCAAAGGGCACGAACTCGTAGTCCAGCGTGTAGGGCAGCAGCCCCACTGCCGCTTGAACGACTCAACCTACCCAGGCAAATGCCACTCTCCGTATACACACCCACCTTGTTGGCCACGAGTCGAAGCATATCAGTGTAACTAAGAGACAGGTTCCCAACGCCAAAGGGGACGAACTCGTAGTCCAGCGTGTAGGGCAGCAGCCCCACTGCCGCCCGAAAGACCTCCACGCAGAAGCCGGTGATGGTGTCGTTGGTGGCTATCTGCACGAATTGTGTGAAATCCTGTTGTGGGTGAGAGGGAAGGGGGAACGGTGAGGGCGCATTTAGAAGGCCTCAATGCGAAGCCGGTGATGGTGTCGTTGGTGGCGATCTGCACAAACTGCGTGAAGTCCTGTGATGGAGAGAGGAGTGCGAAGGGAGAGAGAGATGGAGGAAGGGAGTGAGTGGGGCATTTGGATTGGAAGACCTCCACGCAGAAGCCGGTGATGGTGTCGTTAGTGGCGATCTGCACAAACTGCGTGAACTCCTGTGATGGGGGGGGAAGAGGATGGCGGGTGGGAGAGGGCGACGGGGCAAGGGAGGGAGAGAAGGTATTCAAATGGAAAGACCTCCACACAGAAGTTGGTGATGGTGTCATTGGTGGCTATCTGCACAAACTGCGTGAAATCCTGTTGTGGGCCGAAGGGTTAGGGTTTAGGGAGGAAGAGGGGGAGGCAGAGGGAAGGAGGAACAATGAAGGGGCATTTGGACCTCCACACAGAAGCCGGTGATGGTGTCGTTTGTGGCTATCTGCAAAAACTGCGTGTAGTCCTGTCGTGGACGGGAGGGGATGGAGGGGGATGAAGGAGGATTGGAGGGAGACAGAGTGAGATAGAGGAAGGGAGATAGAGGAAGGATGATAGAGCAAAAGGAGGGGGCATAGGAAAGTCCTCCACAGAAACATCGCTTTGTAGCACAGCAAAGCTGCTTGTCCAATGGTGTTACCAGGGAGGGGAGACATCACCCGTTTGAACGGCCAGCAATCTTTAAGGACGTGTGTGGGCACGTGGGAACCAACCACGCGAAAACCGACCAGGCAGCAGCTGGGCAGAACAGATGAATGAGCAAAGCAAATGAGGAGCAGAGAGATTCTACTCTCTGTGCAGGTTTAACTGCTTGTAAGGCACGGCGATCTTCAAGGGCGTGTGTGTGCGCACGTGGGAACCGGTTTTTGAGACGTCTTGAACATCACACTGTGCACATCAAATCAGAAGTTGCCTGACCGATGCTGTTACCTGTGAGAGGTTACCTGCTTGTACGGCACGGCGATCTTCAAGGGCGTGTGGGCACGCGGGAACCAACCACGCGGCAACTGGGCAGAACAAATAAGGCGAGCAAGAGAAGCAAGGCACTTATGCTGAGCAGGCTGGTTTAGGATGGGCAGGGAATACCCTTACATCGAACAACAGCACCATTGCATAACTCGAGCAAATTGATTAAAAACGTATATATGCCCGATAATAATCTGTGTCGATCAGCAAGGAATGTATGTAACTCATTTGAAGCTGTGTGCAACTGCGACTTACAAAGGACACCCCGCCCGGCCAGATGACGCCTGCCAGCACTGATTGGCCCGAATCCTTGCTTGTCGATGATGGCTGGTGTGGGCGGGTGTGACACGGAAAAAGAGTTGGATCATTGTAGAGAGGGAAAGCTGACTCGAAAACAATCAGAAGGTTTGGAAAATGCTTGCAGGATGGTCTGTGAAACAAAATAAAGTTCTGACAAGGAACACTGCAGGTTGGTGTGAGCACCGCTAGCTAGTATCACTCCACTCCTCCTCACCTCAAGGGAAGACGAGAGGCCACCCTCTCTGGTCCAGTAGAGTTGAGCCGTTGGAGCGGTGTGGAGGAGTGAGTGCTCTGGATGGACACGATGGGGTGCGCTACTGCAAGTGCTTCTCACTACCTTGCGGGACGATGTAAGGCCGCTCTCTCTGGTCCAGTAGCCAATGGCGTATGAGGCGCTTCAGGGGGGTTGAGACGCTTCCAAGTGAGTATGCTAGCAAGCTCATAGAGCACCACTCCTCGCTTCCTCACCTCGAGGGACGATGTAAGGCCACTCTCTCTTGTCCAGTAGCCGATGGAGCGCAGCCGGCCGTTGACTGCGTTGACTATTTCACTCAAACGACATGGCATTATGATCACCCAGTGCTACCAGTGCCATCAGTGCAATCACTGCTACCAGCGTTACCAGTGCAATCAGTGCCATCAGTGCTCCTCCTCACCTCGAGAGAAGACGCGAGGCCGCTCTCTCTGGTCCAGTAGCCAATGGAGCGCAGCCGGCCGTTGACTGCATTGACTATCTCAAATGATGTGAAAATGCGGTCGCCCTGTGCGTCCAGTGACACTCTGTTAAGGGAGGTGTGGGAGGGAGGGAGGCAGGGGAGGGGTGTGCGGGAAGGGAAGGAGGTAAGGGAAGGTAGAGCGCAGCCGGCCGTTGACTGCGTTGACTGCATTGACTATCTCAAACGACGTGAAAATGCGATCACCCTGTGCGTCCAGTGACACTCTGTTGGTGGGGGAGGGAGGTCGGGAATGGACCAATGAAAGCAGGAGTTAAGAGATCTGTAGAGTAGCCGGCCATGAGCCGTGTGGAACGGCCGATGGTCGTTCGTTCGTATGATAGCCGCCATGAGCCGTGTGAAACATCAATGCTCGAACCCTCTAGCACAGCACAGCGCAGCACAGCACAGCACAGCACAGCACAGCGCAGCGCAGCACAGCACAGCACAGCACAGCACAGCACAGCACAGCGCAGCACAGCACAGCACAGCACAGCGCAGAGCAGCGCCATCACCAACATGCACCGCTCACTCACCTCCCTGTGACCCCGTCGATTGTTGTGCGTGTGACAGCCGCCATGAGCCGTGAGCAACCATCAATGCACGAACCCTCTGTCTGGAGCACAGCACAGCGCCACCACTAACAACATGCACTGCTCACTCACCTCCCTGTGACCCCGTCGATTGTCGTGCGTATGATGGGGGCGGTTGCTGTGACTCCTCTATGAGCCTGGCCGCCATGAGCTGTGTGGAACATCACTGCAAGAACCCTCTGTCTGGTGCACAGCACAGCAAAGCACAGCGCCACCACTAGCAACATGCACCGCTCGCTCACCTCCCTGTGACCCCGTCGATTGTCGTGCGTGTGACAGCCGCCATGAGCTTTGTACCGTCTGGGAGGAGAACAGGACAGGTGACGTGAAGAGAAGAGACAGGGAGCAAGGAGACCGGACTGGCATGGCATGTTACTGAGCAACCACAGCAGGCAACAGCAGCAGTGCAACCGCAGCAGTCACGTCCAGCGAGTAACCATGCTCACTTGATGGCCGCCATGAGCTTTGTACCATCTGGGAGAACAGGACAGGTGGCGTGAAGAGATAGGGCGCAAGGAGACCTGACTGGCATGGCATGTTACTGCGCAAGCACAGCAGGCAACAGCAGCAGCCGGGCCACAGCACAGCAGGCAGGCAACAACAAATCGCAGTGCGACCGCAGCAGTCACATCCAGTCAGCAACCACGCTCACATGATGGCAATGGCATACTCATGTTTACCACGGCCATCATGCAAGCTCGCATGATGGCAATGGTGGGCCATGAGCTTTGAACCTTCTGAAAGGACCCGCTTCAGAAGGAGAGAGGAGTAAGCACACATAAAAGCCAGAATGGGAAGGGAGTGTGTGGTCATACACTCACTCACGCTCCCTATCATGCACTCACTCGCACTCCCTATCGCGCACTCACTTGCACTCCCTATCACGCACTCTCTATCACGGACACTCTCACACTCCCTATCACGCACTATCTCACACTCCCTATCACGCACTCTCTCGCACTCCCTATAATGCACTCACTCGCACTCCCTATCACGCACTCACTCGCACTCCCTATCATGCACTCCCTATCACGCACTCCCTATCACGCACTCCCTATCACGCACTCACTCGCACTCCCTATCACACACTCCCTATCACGCACTCACTCGCACTCCCTATCATGCACTCCCTATCACGGACTCCCTATCACGCACTCCCTATCACGCACTCTCTCACATTCCCTATCATGCACGCACGCACCAAGGTTCTCCAGCAGCCGTGCCAGGTCAGTAGAAGCCCCTCCTCCCTTTGGCAACTCCACCGCTCGCCACCGCTCTAAACCCACCACTCCCCCATTTGTACCCCCTGCCCCTGTCGCTGATTCTGCTCCTGCCAGCCTCCCGGTGCTATTGGCGCCGCTGCCACTGTCACTGGCGTTGCCGTTGGCGGCAGGAGGGGCGTTGATGGGGGGAGGGGAGTTGGGGTATAGGAGCGCGTGGATGGAGTGTGCGATAAGGGAGAGGGCATCGTAAGCAAAAAGCGTGTAGAGTGTGGTCTGCAGGGGGAAGGGGCAGGTGGGGAAGGGGCAGAGGTTGAAGGGACAGGGGGAAAGAGAGGTGAGCAGGGAACAGTAGGAGACTTGGGATAGAGGAGCGCGTGGATGGAGTGAGGCTTGTGAGGCGCCTCAAAAGTCACCCTCCCTACCTCCCTCACTCGTCAAAGCTCCCCTCCCCCCTCTCCCCCTCTCACCGTGTCAAACGTCCCACCGTCATTCGTTGCATTCCCGTTCCCATCCGCCTGCCACGCGCGCTCAAACTCAGACAGCTGGGGGCTGGGCGTCTTGTGAGGCTTGTGAGGCGCCTCAAACTCAGACAGCTCTCAAGGCGCCTCAAGCCCCTGCCTGCTGTACCTTTCTCACACACCACCCCCCCCTTCCCCCTCTCCTTTCTCACCGTGTCAAAAGCCCCGCTGCCATTCGTTGCATTCCCGTTCCCATCCGCCTGCCACGCGCGCTCAAACTCGGTCAGCTGGGGGCTGGGCGGCACGAAGATGCGCGTGCCGATCATGCCTTCCGTGGAGAGCTCCGGCAGATTCTCCAGCTCCGACACCACTCCCTCGGTTGCTATCCATACGTAGCCCGGCGTCATCATCCCCACTTCAGACGCTGCTCACGGCACGGGTGCGGAAGAGAGCAGGCATAGAGAGAGAGGCACGGAGGTGTTTGTTTGTTGCTGCGCTTTCCGTTACTAAAATGGTTCTCCAGCTCAGACAGCTGCGGGCTGGGCGGCACGAAGATGCGCGTGCCGATCATGCCTTCCGTGGAGAGCTCTGGCAGATTCTCCAGCTCGGACACGACTCCTTCTGTGGCTATCCATACGTAACCTGGCGTCATCATTCCCACTTCCGATGCTGTGAGGGGGAGGAAGAGAGCGGGCATAGAGAGGCACAGAGGTGTTTGTTGCTGCGCTATCCATTAAAGGCTCTCCAGCCCCGACGGCTGGGGGCTGGGCGGCACGAAGATGCGCGTGCCAATCATGCCAGGAAGAAAGATGAGCAAGGCAAGGGAAGAGGGGAGGAGGAGGAAGGGCATGGGGCGGCACGAAGATGCGCGTGCCGATCATGCCTTCAGTGGAGAGCTCCGGCAGGTTCTCCAATTCGGAGACCACCCCCTCGGTTGCGATCCACACGTAGCCGCCGGGAGTCATCATTCCCACTTCAGACGCTGTTGTGACGGAGAAGGGAAGAGGATAGAGCACAGGCACGGTGAATTCGAGGTTAACAGTGGGGCAAGCATACCAGAGCTTGCACTCAGTGTAGCAGCAGGAAGCACCCAGTGTCAGGCAGTGAGCAGGGGGCAGTGAGCAGGGGGCAGTGAGCGAGCACGGAGCAGCTGGCAGAAAACAATCGACCCACCAGCAGTGAGCACAGGCACGATGAGCTCCAGGTTGAGCTGGAGAATGAAGACCGTGGACTCCAGATTCCGAGCCGCGCAGCAGCGTGGCCCTAGACCATGGCACAAGCATACCAGCACTCATCCTACCAGCACTCACCTTACCAGAGAGCACTCAACTCAACCCACCAGCAGTGAGCACGGGCACAATGAGCTCGAGGTTGAGCTGCAGGATGAAGACCGTTGACTCCAGCTTCTGAGCGGCGAGCAGACGCACGATGATGTCTGAGAGGGAGGCGTCGAGCGGCACAGCGATGCTCTTGACCACGTCCACTGACGCCTGGTGGGTATGTGGGGAAGGGGCGGGGGATTGGGCGGATAGGTGGGTGGGGACCGTGGGGTACAAGAGCAGGCGCACAATGATATCAGAAAGAGAGGTGTCCAGAGGCACAGCGATGCCCTTCACCACATCCACTGACGCCTTGTGGGAAACGCATCACTGCCAGCTCAACTTATCCACCAGCACCCTATCCACCAGCTGCCAGCTCATCGTATCTGCCAGCCAGCTCACCTTTTCCAGCAGCACTGCTCAGCTGCCAGCTCATCTTATCCAGCAGCACTGCCAGCTCATCGTATCTGCCAGCCAGCTCACCTTATCTGCCAGCCAGCTCAGCTTATCTGCCAGCTCACCTTATCCAGCAGCACTGCCAGCTGGTTGACTCCGTTTCTGCCATAATCATCGTCGCTGTAGGTGGTGATCACCTCCGGCCAGCTAACCGAATCCAGCCGCACTGCAAACCTGCTCACCCTATCCGCACACTGCCAACCAGCTCACCTTATCTGCCAGCCAGCTCTCACCTTATCCAGCAGCACCGCCAGCTGGTTAACTCCGTTTCTCCCATAGTCGTCATCACTGTAGATGGTGATCACCTCCAGCCAGCTGAAATGTGTCACCAGGTCTGCAAGTGGGATTTGGGGAGGAAGGCGGAGTGCAGGAAAATGGGAGGAAAAGTGGAATGCCTTTTAATGCTGTAAGAGTAAGACCACCCATGGCACCACTCACGCGTCACACACACGTATTGTTTGCGTCACGTTTGATAATTCTTGAAATGGAGCGAAGGCGCTATGGCACCGTCCATGAAATGAGTGCGCGTGTAATGTTAGTTGGACGCGTGTCACTCATTTAAGTGGACGCGTGTCACTCATTTAAGTGGACGCGTGTCACTCATTTAAGTGGACGCGTGTCACTCATACGAGTGTCACTCATTTAAGTGGACGCGTGTCACTCATTTAAGTGGACGCGTGTCACTCATTTAAGTGGACGCGTGTCACTCATTTAAGTGGACGCGTGTCACTCATTTAAGTGGACGCGTGTCACTCATTTAAGTGGACGCGTGTCACTCATTTAAGTGGACGCGTGTCACTCATTTAAGTGGACGCGTGTCACTCATTTAAGTGGACGCGTGTCACTCATTTAAGTGGACGCGTGTCACTCATTTAAGTGGACGCGTGTCACTCATTTAAGTGGACGCGTGTCACTCATTTAAGTGGACGCGTGTCACTCATTTAAGTGGACGCGTGTCACTCATTTAAGTGGACGCGTGTCACTCATTTAAGTGGACGCGTGTCACTCATTTAAGTGGACGCGTGTCACTCATTTAAGTGGACGCGTGTCACGCGTGTCACTCATTTAAGTGGACGCGTGTCACTCATTTAAATGGACGCGTGTCACTCATTTAAGTGGACGCGTGGAACCACTCACCCGCTATGGCCTGCATCTCGAGCGCATCGCTGCGGATGGTGCGCGTGAAGAAGGGGTAGGAGGCGGCTGAGAGGGAGGGGTCCGTGGCGGAATAGGAGACCATGGGGACCTGATGGGGGCAAGGGAGGGTGGAAAGAAGGAGAAGACAACGAAGAGTAGAGAGGAGGCTGAGAGGGAGGGGTCCGTGGCGGAATAGGAGACCATGGGGACCTGATGGGGAGGGGGGAGGGGGTGAAATGGGGAGGAAGGAGTTGAATGGGAGAGTCATGGCCCAACGCGAGTGATGGAGGGGTGGGAGCGGGGTGAGAGGGAGGGGTCCGTGGCGGAATAGGAGACCATGGGGACCTGATGGGGAGGGGGGAGGGGGTGAAATGGGGAGGAAGGAGTTGAATGGGAGAGTCATGGCCCAACGCGAGTGATGGAGGGGTGGGAGCGGGGTGAGAGGGAGGGGTCCGTGGCGGAATAGGAGACCATGGGGACCTGATGGGGAGGGGGGAGGGGGTGAAATGGGGAGGAAGGAGTTGAATGGGAGAGTCATGGCCCAACGCGAGTGATGGAGGGGTGGGAGCGGGGTGAGAGGGAGGGGTCCGTGGCGGAATAGGAGACCATGGGGACCTGATGGGGAGGGGGGAGGGGGTGAAATGGGGAGGAAGGAGTTGAATGGGAGAGTCATGGCCCAACGCGAGTGATGGAGGGGTGGGAGCGGGGTGAGAGGGAGGGGTCCGTGGCGGAATAGGAGACCATGGGGACCTGATGGGGAGGGGGGAGGGGGTGAAATGGGGAGGAAGGAGTTGAATGGGAGAGTCATGGCCCAACGCGAGTGATGGAGGGGTGGGAGCGGGGTGAGAGGGAGGGGTCCGTGGCGGAATAGGAGACCATGGGGACCTGATGGGGAGGGGGGAGGGGGTGAAATGGGGAGGAAGGAGTTGAATGGGAGAGTCATGGCCCAACGCGAGTGATGGAGGGGTGGGAGCGGGGTGAGAGGGAGGGGTCCGTGGCGGAATAGGAGACCATGGGGACCTGATGGGGAGGGGGGAGGGGGTGAAATGGGGAGGAAGGAGTTGAATGGGAGAGTCATGGCCCAACGCGAGTGATGGAGGGGTGGGAGCGGGGTGAGAGGGAGGGGTCCGTGGCGGAATAGGAGACCATGGGGACCTGATGGGGAGGGGGGAGGGGGTGAAATGGGGAGGAAGGAGTTGAATGGGAGAGTCATGGCCCAACGCGAGTGATGGAGGGGTGGGAGCGGGGTGAGAGGGAGGGGTCCGTGGCGGAATAGGAGACCATGGGGACCTGATGGGGAGGGGGGAGGGGGTGAAATGGGGAGGAAGGAGTTGAATGGGAGAGTCATGGCCCAACGCGAGTGATGGAGGGGTGGGAGCGGGGTGAGAGGGAGGGGTCCGTGGCGGAATAGGAGACCATGGGGACCTGATGGGGAGGGGGGAGGGGGTGAAATGGGGAGGAAGGAGTTGAATGGGAGAGTCATGGCCCAACGCGAGTGATGGAGGGGTGGGAGCGGGGTGAGAGGGAGGGGTCCGTGGCGGAATAGGAGACCATGGGGACCTGTTGGGGGGGGGGGGGGGGGGGGAGGGGGGGAGGGAAGAACAAGCTGAACGGGAGAGATGGAACAACGGTGCGAGTAACGGAAGGGTAGGAGGCGGCTGAGAGGGAGGGGTCCGTGGCGGAATAGGAGACCATGGGGACCTGATGGGGGACTGGGGGGAGGGGGGAGGGAGGAGAAGCGGAAGAGCAGGGTGTCTGGAAACACTCAAGATGAGATGAGTGGCTCCTCAGCTCACCAATCCTTGGGTAATGCGCACGCGCACACAGGCAAGCACGCACCTGCACTTGTGTATGGATGGTTGAGCTGAGAGCAGTGCGCCTGGGAGGAGGTCATCAGCCCCACCGCTTTCGCCCTTGCTGCCAGCACTGGGACATTCTGAGTCGACTCGACTCATCTCATCAGCCCTGATACACGCACACACGCACTTCAAGCACGCACCTGCACTTGTGTGTGGATGGCGGAGAGCACGTGCGCCTGAGAGGAGGTCATCGGCCCCACCGCTGCCACCACCCTCTCTGCTAGCATTGTGCCTTCTGGGTCGACTCAACACACCAGCTTCTGGAGGTTGGATGCGCGCTCGTAATGCGAGCACGCAACCACACACGCAACTGAAGCACGCACCTGCACTTGTGTGTGGATGGCGGAGAGCACGTGTGCCTGGGAGGAGGTCATCGGCCCCACCGCTTCCGCTCTTGCTGCCAGCACTGAGACATTCTGAGTCGACCCAACTTATCGAGCCCCATACACGCACACACGCATTGCACGCACGCACCTGCACTTGCGTGTGGTTGAGAGAGCATGTGCGCCTGAGAGGAGGTCATCGCCCCCACCGCTTCCGCACTTGCTGCCAGCACTGAGACATTCTGAGTCGACCCAACTCATCAGCCCCGGTACACGCACACACGCACTGCACGCACGCACCTGCACTTGTGTGTGGATGGCGGAGAGCACGTGCGCCTGGGAAGAGGTCATCGGCCCCACCGCTGCCACCACCCTCTCTGCTAGCATTGTTTGCACCACTGCAGAGAGGATGGGGATGGGGGCGAGAGGAGAGGAGAAAGGGAAGGGAGAGGGGAGGCTCACCGCTGCCACCACCCTCTCCGCCAGCTTGTTTGCACCACTGCAGGGGGGATGGGGAGAGGAAGCGGGGGAGAGAAGAGGAGGAGAAAGGGGCGGGGGGGGCGTGGCTCACTGCTGCCACCACCCTCTCCGCCAGCATCGTTTGCACCACTGCAGGGCGGATGGGAGAATGGCAATGTCAAGAGGGGAAGGTGGGTGGGAGAGAGGGAGGGCTCGATGCTGCCACCCACCACACTCCCTGCTAGCATTGTCTGCTCTGCATCACTGCAGGGCGGATGGGTGAATGGCAAGAGGGGAAGGTTGGTGGGGGGGGGGGAAGCGGGGGAGGGAGGGGACAGGGAGGGCTCGCTGCTACCACCACGCTCACTGCTAGCATTGTCTGCACCACTGTAGGGGGGGTGTGAAAGAGCCTCGACAACAATGGCATGGAACGAGTGCGGGAGAGAGGGCTGTACCTGAGGCGGCAGCCTGTGTGGTGGAGACACTCGTGGTGACTGGCACGACCTGAATCGTGTAGAGTCTGGTAACAGCTGGCCGTTGGTGTTCGCCCCTGGCCACCTGTTTGTATTCCCGGCACTGAAGGAGAGGGATATTCGTACCTGAGGCGGCAGCCTGCGTGGTGGAAACACTCGTGTTGACTGGCACGACCTGAATCGTGTAGTCCGGCAACAGCTGGTCGTTGCCGTTGACCTGCGCCTCGGCCAATCGCACGGCTACACGTGGACAGGGAGGGGAGAAAGTGGAGCGAAGGGAAGCGAAAACAGCGAAGGTGAGAGTGGTGTATTGGAGCAATAAGAGGGTTGTTGAATCTCCTGGGACAACTATGCGGCTCAGCTTTAAACGTAAGCTTTCAGGTTTGACGACTAAGAGTAACCGACGGATGCGCATAAAGGGACCGCACGCAACCGTAACGGCCTGCTTCCCGCCATTTTCAGCAGAGCAGCTGCTGCGCTGTCGACTGCTGCATTGTTGACTGTCGCACTGCTACCTCTGAAGGCAAGACACACGCGCTTATCCCTCCTACTACCCCTCCGCACGGCATTTGCTGCTACACTGGTGGGCGCATAATATATCTTATATACATCATAATACTAATCACCTTTGTATATGGCCTGGCCGAAAGGAATCTCCAGCGGAACGAAGCAAGCCACTTTGATAATCTGTTTCCCGCCATTATCTGCTGCAGCTGCTATACTATAGACAGTTGACGGAGATACTGTTAACGAGGAGGCTTCTGACGAGGCGACAGGAGCAAGGGAATCGGCTGTAGCGGTGGCTGGTAGTCCTAGAAAGGACAATGTGAGTGCTAGCCACAACATAGCTGGTAACCCTACTGTCATGAGCAGCTTACGCTGATGACATGAACACGAATACATAATACGGTTCATCTTCCACAGCTTTCGAAACCTGTTCACGAATAGCGGGAAATGCTGGACGGAACAGGAGTCGTGAGGGAAACGCAGGAAGAGTAGGAGCCTGATAATAACTTAGCCGGCTAATCTGCCAATGAGAAAGCTGTACAGCCTATGCACAGGGGACTACCATCACTTTCAACTATCAAGAGGCCTGGCATGGTTGCCTAGGAACAACTGAATAGGCGATTATGCCAGTCCCAGTGGCAGTCTCGGAGCTCAGCACTCTCGGCAGCACGTCTAGCAGGCTGACAGAAAGTTCGTGAAACCCTAATTTCCTGGTGCTGCTGACCGAGGCCTACCCAACCCAACCCAACCCAACGGCTATATTTGAGGAATAGGTCGGTCAGTCGGTTGACGAAATTATCTGTGCCATTGTTCGTCAGTCAACAGTGCTGCGACAGCTGCGTTCCCTTTGACCTCGAGTTCGTCGTCACTCGCAAACGTTCGTCGTCGAGGCCACGTCGACCGCAGAAAATGTGCGCCATCGATGTTGTCGATTAGGCGGGCGACCGGTTTCTGTTTGGTGGCGGTGCGCAAAGCAGAGGGGTACAAATGACTACACTCTCTGTCTGACTAGCATACATAGCATAACTTGTCAAGTTTTACTCCTAACATAGACATAACGTTTTATGTCTTGTGTAGGAAAAATACATCATACAATTTCCCTATATTAATCAACGGAACTTGCTGGCTCCTCATGATTTCAGGGGATGTGTTAAAAACATCCATGTTTGTTTGCCCATCTAGACTAGCCCCATATCATCTATAGGTTGCAACTGACTCATCTGCCATCTCAATTTTCCCCATCGTGACAGCTGATTCATTCGGGCTCGACATATCCACTCTATGCATCCCGTTGTATCGTATTTCACTAGTACTACATTCGGCATTAAAACAAACATTATGTACAAGTCACAATATTTGCAATGGCTAACAAATGCTACCCAGGTTTTTCTACCAAAACAATGTACAGTAGGTCAGAACACCTACAACCCAGCTGAGCGCAGCAGTGCCCACCACTTCATCCACCCATTTCCCACAATGGCCCAGACGACTCCCACGGACCAGCCACCTGAAACCCTGTCTGGTGCGATCAAAACCCAGTAGGCGGCCTCTCATCAGTGACAACTATGGGCCGCGGCTCGATTTCCCGTGGCCTCAGGTAGGGTCCCCTGCGCACTGCCTCGGCCAACTGGAAAGATGCATGCAATGAGTGGGAAGAAAACAAGAAGAGAGGAGGAGGTGTGAGTGAGTGTGCCGGCATCTCATCAGTAACAACTATGGGCCACGGCTCGACTTCCCGTGGCCTCAGGTAGGGTCCCCTGCGCACTGCCTCGGCCAACTGGAAAGATGCATGCAATGAGTGGGAAGAAAACAAGAAGAGAGGAGGAGGTGTGAGTGAGTGTGCCGGCATCTCATCAGTAACAACTATGGGCCGCGGCTCGACTTCCCGTGGCCTCAGGTAGGGTCCCCTGCGCACTGCCTCGGCCAACTGGTGTGATGCAGGGAGGGAGAATGGGTAGGGAGAGGGAACGGGTAGGGAGGGAGAATGGGTAGGGAGAGGGAATGGGTAGGGAGGGAGAATGGGTAGGGAGAGGGAATGGGTAGGGAGGGAGAATGGGTAGGGGGGGGAATGGGTAGGGAGGGAGAATGGGTAGGGAGGGGGAACGGGGGCAGACGTGGTCGTTGTTGGATGCAGAGCGAGGAGGAAGGGGAGTGAGGTAAGATATCCTGTGCACTGCCTTACGAGTCTCAGCTAGCCGGTGTGATGCAACGAGGGATGATGGGGGCGAGGGACGACAAGGGAGAACATGGAATGGTGACAAGTTGTATGTGCATCAACCAAGCACAGTAACAGGATGGAGTGACCGGAGGGAGTGACTGGAAGGAGCAGATGTTTGAGTCGACTCATACATCGACGAGAAGGGAGAAGAGGGAATGGGACAAGTTGTATGTGCATCAACCAAGCACAGTGACAGGAGGGGTGATGGAAAGCGGGAGAATGGGGCGGGGTGATGGAAAGCGGGAGAATGGGGCGGGGTGATGGAAAGCGGGAGAATGGGGCGGGGTGATGGAGAGCGGGAGAATGGGGAGGGGTGATGGAAAGCGGGAGTATGGGGCGGGGTGATGGAAAGCGGGAGAATGGGGCGGGGTGATAGAAAGAGGGAGAATGGGGCGGGGTGATGGAAAGCGGGAGAATGGGGTGGGGTGATGGAAAGCGGGAGAATGGGGCGGGGTGATGGAAAGCGGGAGAATGGGGCGGGGTGATGGAAAGCGGGAGAATGGGGCGAGGTGATGGAAATGACCAGAGGGAGCGACTGGAGGGAGCAGATTTTTGAGTCGACTCATAAATCAACGAGAAGGGAGAACATGGAATGGTGGCAGGTGGCAGACTGACAGGTGGCAGACTGACAGGTGGCACAGGCTGACCTGCGCAGTGCAGTTGAAGGAGATGGACGCGTGCTGTGCCTCTGCTGCTGTTGACATGGCCACACAGCACGAATGCCTCCAATCCATGGCTGCCACGTGGCAGGGGAGGGTGAAGCAGGGTGGGTAGAGTAATGTGGATTCACAAAGGGCGTTGCGTGAGGATCCGTCAATGCCCCCCAACGCCTCAAGCACCCTCTCAATGCTCGAGAGGGTGCGCGTGAGGGTGCTTGAGGCGTTGGGGGGGCATTGACGGATCCTCAAGCACCCTCTCAATGCTCGAGAGGGTGCGCGTGAGGGTGCTTGAGGCGTTGGGGGGGCATTGACGGATCCTCAAGCACCCTCTCAATGCTCGAGAGGGTGCGCGTGAGGGTGCTTGAGGCGTTGGGGGGGCATTGACGGATCCTCAAGCACCCTCTCAATGCTCGAGAGGGTGCGCGTGAGGGTGCTTGAGGCGTTGGGGGGGCATTGACGGATCCTCAAGCACCCTCTCAATGCTCGAGAGGGTGCGCGTGAGGGTGCTTGAGGCGTTGGGGGGGCATTGACGGATCCTCAAGCACCCTCTCAATGCTCGAGAGGGTGCGCGTGAGGGTGCTTGAGGCGTTGGGGGGGCATTGACGGATCCTCAAGCACCCTCTCAATGCTCGAGAGGGTGCGCGTGAGGGTGCTTGAGGCGTTGGGGGGGCATTGACGGATCCTCAAGCACCCTCTCAATGCTCGAGAGGGTGCGCGTGAGGGTGCTTGAGGCGTTGGGGGGGCATTGACGGATCCTCAAGCACCCTCTCAATGCTCGAGAGGGTGCGCGTGAGGGTGCTTGAGGCGTTGGGGGGGCATTGACGGATCCTCAAGCACCCTCTCAATGCTCGAGAGGGTGCGCGTGAGGGTGCTTGAGGCGTTGGGGGGGCATTGACGGATCCTCAAGCACCCTCTCAATGCTCGAGAGGGTGCGCGTGAGGGTGCTTGAGGCGTTGGGGGGGCATTGACGGATCCTCAAGCACCCTCTCAATGCTCGAGAGGGTGCGCGTGAGGGTGCTTGAGGCGTTGGGGGGGCATTGACGGATCCTCAAGCACCCTCTCAATGCTCGAGAGGGTGCGCGTGAGGGTGCTTGAGGCGTTGGGGGGGCATTGACGGATCCTCAAGCACCCTCTCAATGCTCGAGAGGGTGCGCGTGAGGGTGCTTGAGGCGTTGGGGGGGCATTGACGGATCCTCAAGCACCCTCTCAATGCTCGAGAGGGTGCGCGTGAGGGTGCTTGAGGCGTTGGGGGGGCATTGACGGATCCTCAAGCACCCTCTCAATGCTCGAGAGGGTGCGCGTGAGGGTGCTTGAGGCGTTGGGGGGGCATTGACGGATCCTCAAGCACCCTCTCAATGCTCGAGAGGGTGCGCGTGAGGGTGCTTGAGGCGTTGGGGGGGCATTGACGGATCCTCAAGCACCCTCTCAATGCTCGAGAGGGTGCGCGTGAGGGTGCTTGAGGCGTTGGGGGGGCATTGACGGATCCTCAAGCGCCCTCTCAATGCTCGAGAGGGTGCGCGTGAGGGTGCTTGTGCCTCACCTGTCTTGTGCCTCACCTGTCTTGTGCCTCACCTGTCTTGTGCCTCACCTGTCTTGTGCCTCACCTGTCTTGTGCCTCACCTGTCTTGTGCCTCACCTGTCTTGTGCCTCACCTGTCTTGTGCCTCACCTGTCTTGTGCCTCACCTGTCTTGTGCCTCACCTGTCTTGTGCCTCACCTGTCTTGTGCCTCACCTGTCTTGTGCCTCACCTGTCTTGTGCCTCACCTGTCTTGTGCCTCACCTGTCTTGTGCCTCACCTGTCTTGTGCCTCACCTGTCTTGTGCCTCACCTGTCTTGTGCCTCACCTGTCTTGTGCCTCACCTGTCTTGTGCCTCACCTGTCTTGTGCCTCACCTGTCTTGTGCCTCACCTGTCTTGTGCCTCACCTGTCTTGTGCCTCACCTGTCTTGTGCCTCACCTGTCTTGTGCCTCACCTGTCTTGTGCCTCACCTGTCTTGTGCCTCACCTGTCTTGTGCCTCACCTGTCTTGTGCCTCACCTGTCTTGTGCCTCACCTGTCTTGTGCCTCACCTGTCTTGTGCCTCACCTGTCTTGTGCCTCACCTGTCTTGTGCCTCACCTGTCTTGTGCCTCACCTGTCTTGTGCCTCACCTGTCTTGTGCCTCACCTGTCTTGTGCCTCACCTGTCTTGTGCCTCACCTGTCTTGTGCCTCACCTGTCTTGTGCCTCACCTGTCTTGTGCCTCACCTGTCTTGTGCCTCACCTGTCTTGTGCCTCACCTGTCTTGTGCCTCACCTGTCTTGTGCCTCACCTGTCTTGTGCCTCACCTGTCTTGTGCCTCACCTGTCTTGTGCCTCACCTGTCTTGTGCCTCACCTGTCTTGTGCCTCACCTGTCTTGTGCCTCACCTGTCTTGTGCCTCACCTGTCTTGTGCCTCACCTGTCTTGTGCCTCACCTGTCTTGTGCCTCACCTGTCTTGTGCCTCACCTGTCTTGTGCCTCACCTGTCTTGTGCCTCACCTGTCTTGTGCCTCACCTGTCTTGTGCCTCACCTGTCTTGTGCCTCACCTGTCTTGTGCCTCACCTGTCTTGTGCCTCACCTGTCTTGTGCCTCACCTGTCTTGTGCCTCACCTGTCTTGTGCCTCACCTGTCTTGTGCCTCACCTGTCTTGTGCCTCACCTGTCTTGTGCCTCACCTGCTCTGTGCCTCACCTGCTCTGTGCCTCACCTGCTCTGTGCCTCACCTGCTCTGTGCCTCACCTGCTCTGTGCCTCACCTGCTCTGTGCCTCACCTGCTCTGTGCCTCACCTGCTCTGTGCCTCACCTGCTCTGTGCCTCTCTGCATGAGCGTCTGTGACCGTCTGCACCAGACCCCAGCCCCCACGAAGCTCCACTGCCGCCTGCTCACCTGAGGAACAATCCCCCATCCCCTCACCCACCCCACTGACCAGCCCAGCACAGCACGAGGAAGAGCACAGCACATCCCCTTCCTGCCCCTCACCTGCTTTGTGCCTCTCAGCCTGTGCGTCTGTCACCATCTGCACCAGTCCCCAGTCCCCACACAGCTCCACTGCCGCCCACTCCCTCTCCACCACTGCTGCCAGCAGCCTATACACCTGCAGGCAGAGGAAAGCAGACATGGAATTAGCAGAGAGGAGAACACGCACTGCCAAGCATGCTGGTAGAAATTGTATGAAATGAATGTGCCATAGCAAGTAAGTGTGGAAGTGGGAATATGGGACTCACAGCAACTCGAATCTCCTCAGAGCGCTTGAGCAGAGAGACGAACACGCCCTGCCAGGTGCAAGGCACAATGTCATGTGCCATGCAGCACCATGCCACACACCCACAACATGCCATACCATGCCATGCCATACCACAGAGGGATCCGAAAACGAGACCATAACACATGGGTTATGATTCTTAAAACAAACAAAGGATACATCTGAGACGCTGGTGTCAACCATGGGGTACTTAAGCCATTAACCCGCCAATGACTGGGTAAAGACCATAATAAAGAAAATTCACCAAACAATAATCCTACAGGTGGAAAGTGTTTTTATGAGCGCCGTAAAAAGCAGAGGCTACTCACTCACCGCCAGTGTAGGTCCGCCTGGTGCTTTGGCCGCAGCAACAAATGTCTCTTCCTTGAGCTTCGTCTCCCCATCGTCACCCACCTCTAAATCCATCCCTGCACCACCACCCCAACCCCCCCAGCACCCCCACAGCACCCCACCGGTATTGTCAGAACCTTCTACCCATATCACCCCAACCCTACCAGCACTCACCGCTAGTGTGGGTCCGCCTGGTGCTTTAGCCGCAGCAGCAAACGTCTCTTCCTTGAGCTTCGTCTCCCCATCGTCCCCCACCTCTAAATCTATCCCTTCACCACCCCCACCAGCTCCTTCTCCCCCCCCCACCGGTTCCTCTCCCAGTCTTCTACCCATTTCCCCCCTCATACCAGCACAGCATAGCACTCACCGCCAGTGTGGGTCCGCCTGGTGCTTTGGCCGCAGCAGCAAACGTCTCTTCCTTGAGCTTCGTCTCGCCATCATCCCCCACCTCCAAATCCATCCCTTCACCACCCCCACCGGCGCCCCCCGCTCCTCCCCCCTCGTCCACCCCGCTGATTCCCGAGTGGGTGGCATGCACTGGCACCATCTGCACAGGCTCGCTCCCCTCCTGCACCCCCCACTCCCCTTCCTCCTACCAGCACAGCACTTACAGCGAGGGTGGGTCTGCCCGGTGCTTTAGCTGCAGCAGCAAACGTCTTGCCTTGAGCTTCGTCTCCCCATCGTCCCCCACCTCTAGATCCATCCCTTCACCACCCCCACCGGCTCCTCCTCCCCCCCCTCGTCCACTCCGCTGATTCCCGAGTGGGTGGCATGCACTGGCACCATTGCTTCTTCTTCCAGAACCTTCTTCCCCCAACCCCCCCCTCCTACCATTGCAAAACTCACCGCCAAGGTTGGTCCTCCCGGCGCTTTGGCCGCAGCAGCGAACGTCTCTTCTTTCAGCTTTGTCTCCCCATCGTCCCCCACCTCTAAATCCATCCCTTCACCTCCCCCACCGGCGCCCCCCACTCCTCCCCTCTCGTCCACCCCGCTGATTCCCGAGTGGGTGGCATGCACTGGCACCATCTGCACGGGCTCGCTCCCTTCCACGCGATCTGCCCCGAATATAGAAGCCAGTGCATACAGAGACGCCTGCGGAGAGAAAGGGGAGTGGAGGCAGTAGAAAGCTAAACGCTCAATGGACTTGGGAATTTTAGCACGGGCACGCTCCCCTCCACCCTGTCTGCTCCGAAGATAGAAGCCAGTGCATACAGCGACGCCTGCAGCAACGGGGTAGAGGAGTAAAGAAAGAGCGTGGAGGGATTGGGATGGCACCATCTGCACGGGCTCGCTCCCTTCCACGCGATCTGCTCCGAATATAGAAGCCAGTGCATACAGAGACGCCTGCAGAGACGAAGGGGAGTGGGGGGGAAGTAGAAGGCTAAACGCGGCATGCACTGGCACCATCTGCACATGTTCGCTCCCCTCCACCCTGTCTGCTCCAAAAACGGAGGCCAATATGCATGAAGAGAGGCCTGCGCGTGGGAAGGGGAGTGCAGGAATGTGGGGTGGGGTGGGGATGGAGTGAACATAGGGTGGCATGCACTGGCACCATCTGCACAGGGTCGCTCCCCTCCACCCTGTCTGCTCCAAAGATGGAAGCCAATGCATGCAGCGATGCCGGCAGGAATGGGGTGGGGAAGTGGGGAGATTTGAAACCTAGAAGAGGTGACCACTTACACTGGTTCTTATGGCGATTAAAAAAAGTGGCACCACCTGCACTTGCTCGTTCGCATAGAAACACTCACACTCCGCAGGATATGCAGGAGCAGGGAGCACAGAGGGAGAACTCACGGTGTGCAGGGAGGTGTGAGGGCCGCAGCCCCCAAAGGCACGCTTGAGAGGAAGAGGGAGGAAAGGGCGAGGAGCACCCACGAAAGACTAGAAGTGCGTGTGCAGGAGCGAGGAGCAAGCAAGAAGCACTCACGGTATGCAGGGAGGTGTGCAGGCCGCAGCCCCCAAAGGCGCGCTTGAGAAGGAGGGAGGAAGGGGCGAGGAGCAGTCACGGAGAGCAAAGAGCGGGTGAGAACTCACGGTATGCAGGGATGTGTGAGGGCCGCAGCCCCCAAACGCACGCTTGAGAACGAAGCTGATGATGTGGCGACGGGGGTTGAGCAGCAGGCGAGTACCGTGTGTGGCTGGAGGTGAAAAAAGGAGTAAGGGAAGGGGGAGGGGGAGGAAGGAAAAGAAGTGTTGGATGTGGGGGGGCAGGCAGTCAGGCGAAAGGGGGAGAGGGGGAATTGCAGAAGGCATTTCCGAATTAGCAGCAACTCACAGCGACCATAGGAGGCGAGATCTTTGTAATAAACTTTTACACTGTCTCAGCCGGCACGTGCTCCTCACATACCCCACAAATACCTCACAGATGGGCATAGGCAACAACTCACAGCAGCAGTAGGCAGCAGGCAACTCACAGGGTGCATATGTGGCGAGAGCATCAAAGAATCCCTCCACTGTCTCAGCCGGCACGTGCTGGTCACTGCAGCCTCACGCCCCAATCATGCCTCACCCATGCCTCACAGCAACTAACAGCTGGTGCATTCATGCACTCACAGCAGCAGTAGGCAGCAACCAACTCACAGCGAGCATAGGTGGCGAGAGCATCGAAGAACCCTTCAACTGTCTCAGCCGGCACGTGCTCCTCACTGCGCCCCCACACCTCACACATGCTGTTGAATAGCGCTGCTACTTCGTCCGCCTCTGAAGCACAAGGGAGGGCACAACAGGCATGGAAAGACAGGCAGCAAACGGCGGGCAGGAAAAATAAGTTAAGTACTACAAATCAGAGTGAGAGTAAAAAAAGAGGGGCTTGCGTATCAAGGTAAGGGGAGGGGCGTACGGATGAGGGTGAGAGGAGCCATGACTCCTGGTGTGGCAGGCGAGGTGAGGCGAGCAGCGCACTTGAGAGCAGCTGGCAAAAGCAGGTCCATCCCCATGTCTAGCGCCGCTGCTGCTGGTCGTGCTGCTGCTGCTGCTGCTGCTGATGGTGTTGCTCCTTCTGCTGCTGCTGGTGGTGCCGGCGTTGATGCCTTGGTGCAGATCTGCACGAGTGCCTCGTGAATCTCGTCGATGCGAGGCTCTAGTAGCTCCACACCCACTCTGCTGCTCGTGAACTGACATTTGCGGGGACAGCGGGAAACATACAGTGGAGGGAATGCAGCGCAATGCAACACCAGACACCAGGGATGAAGGGACACAGGGAGAGGGATTGAAGCCTTGGTGCAGATATGCACGAGTGCCTCGTGAATCTCGTCGATGCGTGGTTTAAGCAGGGACCATACAATGGACAAAACCAAACACCAGGGACGCAGGGACACAAGGAGTGGGATTGATGCCTTGGTGCAGATTTGGATAAGTGCCCTGTGGCTCAAGCAGCTACACGCCCACTCTGCTGCTCGTGAACTGGCAGGCACGTTTCGAGGGGCGGAAGCAGAATGCAATCAGGCTTGCACAGATACAGATGACCAAGAAAAAAGATGGAGCAAAGATGGAACGATGACAAGAGGTGGAAACTGCACCTCCGAGACGAGTTCACACGCTGCAAGAGCTGCCAGAGCATCACCTCCCTCCTCACTTGCACCTCCCCCAGTACCACCTCCCCCTTCTGTTCCACCTTCACTCATCCCTGCCACTCCTTGCAGCTCTGCGACCAATGGCTGAAGCAGATCCAGCTTCTCGACTGCTGACATGGCGTGCTGCGATTGGTTGGCCAGACGCAGTGCTGCCTCCACCACTCGCTGCTGCACCTGGCGAGAAGAAGAAGAGGAGGGAAAGAAAAAACAGGAGGGAAAAAAGATCATTCGGAAATGAGAGGGGGAAAAAAACATGAAAGTAGACTGTACATATACATGTATATATATGTATAAATATATAAATTACTGGTTCCCCTGGTATACCTGTGAGTGCGACGAGCGTGTAAGCTTGTACAGTTGATCACTACTGAAGATTAGGCTCTGAAACGAGCGAAAGGCAGGAAGGGAGGATTGCGGGACAGAAGGGTTGTGGGAACTGCAAAGACTAAACCACTTGAACGGTAGCATGAGAATGGGTGAGTGCATTACCATGAACCGCATGCACTGACAGTTTTCCATACAGAGTAAACACCCCAACACACAGAACCCAAGGGCGATCGACAGTAGGCCTCGCCCTCTGGGGCGTCAGTGACTCGTCAGGTGGCAGGTCAGGTGGCAGGTCAGGTGGCAGGTCAGGTGGCAGCCACTCGCAGGTGGTCGTCACCCAAGATGCCTTTTAAGTCGACTCAAACAGTCATCTCAGAACAGAACCCAAGGGCGATCGGCAGTAGGCCTCGGAAGCGTCAGTGGAGGCAGCAGCAGTAGCAGCGGCAGCCACAGGCAGGTGCTTGTTGCCCAAGCACCGCACCAAAACCACACGCTCCCTGAAGCACAAACACACTTGGGCCCAGAATCCAATTTACCACTCCCAAGGGTGATCTGCAGAAGGCAGCGAGATTGTCAGTGGCAGCAGCAGCCACAGGCAGGTGGTCGTCGCTCAAACACCGCACCAAACCATATCAAAAGCTTCTGAACCGCAAACCCATGGGCCCAAAACTCGTACCACTCCCAAGGGTGATCGGCAGAAGGCAGCAAGAGCGTCAGTGGCAGCAGCAGCCACAGGCAGGTGGTCGTCGCCCAAGCACCGCACTAAACCCTCCCCCACCACTCGCCTTGCCACCTCCCCCTGACTCCCTAGCTCCTGCATCTCCTCCTCTCCCCCCTCTGCCATGCGCTGAAGCTGCGAAAGGAAAAGAAAGTGGAAAGAGAAAAAAAGCACAGGGAAAGTTAAGATGCCTTTGATTTGCCACCTCCCCTTGACTTCCTAGCCCCTGCATCTCCTCACAGCAGATGCTCAGACTTTGAATGAAGAGTGTTGAACTCACCGCAAAGCAGCAGAGGCGGCGCATGTCTGAGGAGGGTGAGAGCATCCCTTTCTCCGCATATGGCTGCATATGCACACGCACGGAAGCAGAGGCACAGGAAACGCACATGGTTTGGCCCGCTTTAGCATGGTTTGAAGCGCCTCAGCTGTATGGAATGGAGTAGAAGAAAGGAGTTTTGATCACATGCCTCCATGGAAGCACAGAGGGAGAATACACGAGATAGAGACATACATTCCCGTTTATGATGCATGCACATTGACATGGACAGTGCATGAATGAGCCTTCTTACCCACCAGAAGGCCTGGAAGGACGGGAAGAACAACATTGGACTTGAAAACCCTAAAGAGAGCCTGCACAGCTGCCTGCTGCAGCTGCATTGCTGCCTCTGACACCCCTGTCTCCGTCTCGCCCTCCTCCCCCTCCTCCTCCAGTCCCTCCATGCCACGTGTCTGTGATGGTGACCCAGAGTCTAATGCCCTGAAAAAGGTTGAGAGAAGCGGCAAAAACAGGATATGATCTCTATGACGGCCGTGACCAAACATTCAGTACCTGGAAACCTGAAACTTTTGCGCTGCACAATAGGATGAATTACAGGAAAAGTAGTTCGGATATTAACTTCGTGAAGCACAGGTGTGAAGTGTGGTGTAGTGTAGTGTAGTGTACCTGAAGAACTGTAATGAGTCACATGAGCACAGGTGTGCAGTGCAATCAGTGTTCTTTGCAGTGGACGGAATATGGCGATCTCAAGTGTACAGTGAACGGTAAAGGATGGATTGCAGAATACACACGCTGCACAATGTAATGTACATGAGTGTGCAGTGTACCTGAGAATGAGTGGCAGGGGGAAGCTGCTCAAGAAGGCAGTCACCGACCCATCATCCGATGCTGAGAAACACGGGGGTAAAGGAATAAAAAAGAAAAAAAACCAAAATAGACACTCCAGATGGACGTCAGAACAAGCTATCTCGAGGTATCAGGGGGAATTCTGCAACGACTCCATCTCGTTGGTAGAGAGGTAGGGAGCAGTTTTCACACATATACTCACTCTGTGATGGTGCTCACACGGCTCATAACAGGCACCATGAGTTCATAAGGCTCACCATGAGTTCATGCGACTCACCATGAGTCCATGCGAGTCACCATGAGTTCATGCGACTCACCATGAGTTCATGCGACTCACCATGAGTTCATGCGACTCACCATAAGTTCATGCGACTCACCACTCACCGTGAGTTCATACACGTCTATGAGGAAGAAATATAATCAAACCATCCGCAGATAGAAGGTGAAAGTTCATAGAAAGCTCTCGAAAACGTCAAGCTAGCAAAAAAACACGCTGTAGGTGCGTGGATGATGGTGGTCGCTTATTCAGGGTGCTGACCAGGTCTACTGAAGCCCCAACGAAGGCATCTAAATAGCCAACTAGGTGCGTGGATGATGGTGGCTTACTCGGGGTGCTGACCAGGTCTACTGAAGCCCCAACGAAGGCATCTAAATAGCCAACTAGGTGCGTGGATGATGCTGGCTTACTCGGGGTGCTGACCAGGTCAGCTGAAGCCGCAACAAACGCGTCTACATCGAGCGATCGCTCCTCTGGCGCCAACGGTCCCATGAGTGTCCGAGGAGATCTTCTAGAGTCGCAAAACCGGACTGCTGTTCGACTGTACTATGGGTACTTCAAAGATAAACCTTGAACCGAAATACGAGGACAAACAAATTCGCTTTCCACCGTAAAGAGCAGTAAGTAGTAGTCGTCGCTACGCGGTTTGATGAACAGGAGGCGTCGCTACCACGATTCTTGAAATGGGAAACGTGAATTTGCTTGGGCCACTGCTGCAGCATGTCATACACAGCTTCTTCAATGCGGCTTGCGCTGCAGAACGGTGCTTCAAGGCAACAAAACGGTTGGTAAGGATTCCGAGATGCCCTGACCAGAAGGAATGCACATTGTTAGTAGAGGCGGAAGCGAACTAACGCAAAAACAGGGTCTGAAATCTGAATTCTGTTCATGACGAACCTTTTTATAACGAGTTAACTTCCAATTTGTCAGGCGGTTGAGCCTGGAGCCAGCGTGGGTTACCGCAATCAACGACATGCAGGTCTGGCTCCAACTTTCCCCCAACGCATTCTTCTGTTTGCCACGTCATCGCTGAGGAGCCTGATGGCTGACTAGAACCCCGCACTGTGTGACGTGACGAAGCGCCATGCAAGCACCAAGCACCATGCATTCTGGCGCTCGGAATCATGTGTCGCACATCGGGTTTCGCGAAAGATCTACAAAGATCATACGATGCAGTAATTCGAAATCAACGCTGCGCGACTCACATCTTGGTTGTATAACATCGCCTAGCGAAGCCGACAGGGAGGCTCGGCACTTATCACGAACCGTCGATTCCTCGCTCGACAAACCTTACCTGGTGGCAGGTTTGTTTCCGAAACCTTACAGAGCAAACCGAGGCTGTCTGTGAGCAAATAAAACGCGAAAGCTTGTGACGGCGAAACACAGATCGTCCAAACCAAACCCAACTGATCCTAAATGGCAGAGCTGTTCCCAAATCCTCCAGGGCACGGCAATCAGGTGCGTGATTTCCGTCCCGTCTGGCTCACCTCCCCCATTCGACCATTTCGAGGCGAGCCAATTCGCTCTCTGGCACTTTGAAAACGCAACCCCAAGGCTACGCGGCAACGACGGGCAGAAGTGGATCGCGTCACAAGCCCAGGCCAATCAGAGAAGCCTGACCGGCACTCAGCTCATTTCACTTATTACTTCCCACCGTACTGGATTACTTAGAACCGCAAGCAACCTAGATAGATCTACAATCAACCACCGGGAAACCTAGACGCTAGGCTCCCACAAGCATATACCTTCAGCAGCATTGTCACACTGGCTACCGTCAGTCTTAGCATCCCATCTTACCGTGTGCATCTCCACGCTGCTCCAGCCTCGATTCACGCTGCTGCGGTCGTCGCTGCCAAGCCGACAGATGCTCCCGTGCTGGATGGATTAGTTTCAGCTTCAGCTCGTTTTCGCGCTCGGTTCAAGTGGTTCAGCAAGGAAAACAGCCGTACAGGAAAGGAGTATAAAGCTACACCGTTACGCATTCCTGGTAGCAACTCGAGCAAGGTAGTACCACCAGACGAATCGCTCTTGTGTGCCGGAGCTTTTCCCTCGGACGAAGTTGCCGAACCGAAGAATTGGATCTGTCTACCTTTGTTGTCACGCTCGTCAGGCTCGGCGCGTTCCTCAGGCTCCATGACCGAACCTCGCCTCGTGAAATCCTCCTCCGCGATGAGTTTAGAAGCCGAACCTTTACGTTCGGAACACGTAAGATCACCATCTTCGCCGTACGGGACGCCGCAGAAGCCTGAAAAAGAGCCATGGAGACCGCATCGCGCGTTTCGTCAAGCCGTTCAGGACATTTCCAACATCAAGCAGCAGGCGTCGCAAGTTATCGACAGAATCAGCGGCGCGGCCGGAATCGGACCTAGACAAGGTTCATCTGGGGGTGGAGGTCAGGGTTTCTTCGGTTCTGGGTCCTCCCCTCCACAAAATTCCTCAGACGCTTTTTCGTCCATGGCAGGTTACATGAGCGAATCTGAGCTTTTGGGTTGGGAGACTATTATACGCAGCCCTAGAGATGGAGCTGCTGCTGCCGGCGGCGCAGGGCAGCTGAGCGCTAGTTTAAGTACGCAGGAGCGCGCTGGCGGGAAGTGGATTAAGGAGCTTTCGTCGATGGCTAACGTGGTTGTTGGCCGATGTGCGAGGTATGCACCGTGAAACTCGTAGAAACCCGTTGCATGCTAATTTTTCTAAGTTCCGTAAGGTTTCCAGCGTCATTCAAGTTCCGCGGTTTTGAGCCGTTCACTTGTCGCTGCTGCTCTTTACCCAAGCCTTTTCCAACCTAAACCTAGTAAGCATCCTCAACCCACCTGATAACGTCCGTCCTACATCACACCCTCGTTTTTTCCCTTACAGAGTCTTGATGCTCAAACCGGAGGAGCTAAAAGCCAATTTCGAGGAAGAGGCGCCCGCGAGCGCGCGAGAGCCCGCGCGGTACGCGCGCAATTTCCTCGAGTACTGCTGCTTCCGCGCGCTGGCCGTGGCGACGCAGGTGACGGAGCATCTCAAGGACAAAGACTTCCGGCGGTGGACGTTCGACATGATGCTCGCGTGGGAGGCGCCGGGAGCCTCGAGTCAGCCCACAGGACAGGTAGGGTATGGTTTCAGGGTTGTAAGAGAGCTTTCTGCTTCCCATGGACTCATGATGCCTGCTGGGGGGTCGCCAGGACAGCCAGAGTGGTCCGACGGGAGAGGGTAAGGCTCTAAGCTACCTTGGGATTTCCTCGAGTACTGCTGCTTCCGCACGCTGGCCATGGCGACACAGGTGATGTAGCATCCTAAGGACGAAGAATTCCGCTGGTGGACGTTCGACATGATGCTTGCATGGGAGGCACTGGGAGCGTCAAATGAATCCACGAGACATGTAGGATGTGGTTCGAGTGTGATAAGAGTTACCACCGTCTCTTGCACATAGGAAGAGAAATAGAATCAGATATGGAGAAGAAAATCGAGCCTCAGTTGGCGAAGAAAAAAATCGAGCTACTGCGGGAAAGAGAATATGTTTTTTTTCAAGGTTGATGAAGTGACCGAGTTGAGAAGCAACAACTTTTTAGCTTGGTCACTTCGTCAACCTCGAAAAGAACGTTTTCTCTTTCCCTCGCCAGCTCGATTTCCTTTTCCGCGAACCGAGGCTCCAATTTCAATATTTTCTTCCCCATATCTACTTTTATCTATCTTCCAGTGTGCGAGATGATGTGGTGGCGAGGAAACGTTGTCGAGTGAAATGAGATTGAGGAGTAAGAGTTGATGACGGAAGGGGTTGAATATTGGTAATAGAGAGTTTGAGTCTCAGTTGCATCCGCTGCTGCAGACCGGCAACGCTTTGGTGGTAGAAAGAGTTGAGCACTAGAAAGAAGGGAGCTGACGACGATGGACCTATGCTCCAGGACAGGTGTCTTGAGAGGTTCCGTCGAGTATTGCTATTAGAACTTAGGTTGTGGTCTTTGCGTGCGCAAAGACCATTAGAGGGGAGGAAAGGGGGATGTGATTAACAGGGGAAGAATTTAGTTCTCTTTTGAGTAAAGTGCCACCCACTTGTTCTGTTGTTGCGAACACAAAGGGCCTTTTAGGTGCGGATTTTACGTCCCACCCGCCCCCCTCCACCTCTCTCCCTCTAATGGTCGTTTTATTGACATAGGTGGCGGTGTATGCATGCAAGGTATAGGTCTACGCAGAACATACAAAACATCACAACTGTTCCCTACTGTGCGCCCGAGTCCTCCACATCCCGCTGGTCTCCCTCTAAGGGAGATTCAGTGCGGGTCCAAGGGACAAGGCCTCGCCCCACGCCCCCACAGGGGATTCTCAGCTGCGGCTGCGAGGTTGCACTTAGTAAAGTAGCCGACCGACTGCCCACGCTGCAGTGCCACTGACCAACGCTGACGATACTGATGCAAAAGTTTGGCAGCTTGGTAAGAGTTGGGCTCGGCATTGAAGTGCCTCCGTGCGGCTGTTTCCGCAAGGAGCTTTAAGAAGTCAACGACTTTTGGGCAGGGGCAGCCGTATGTCTCAACAACTAAGGCGAAAAAATTCACCCATCCCTCTACCTTTCTTCCTTAAACCTCTCCGTTTCCATCCACCCTTCCCCTCCACCTCTCCCCTCCCCCCCTCTCCCCTCCTTCAGATGGACGTGGAGAGCAGCGTGTGCATGGATGCATTTGCTCGACTAGCTCCAGCCATCCCGCTAGTGGCTGACAGTGTGATGGTGCACGCGCTCTTTGACCTGCTCACCGACGAGTGCCAGGGCGGCCGGCTGCCTTTTGCTATATACAACAACTACCTCAGCGAACTTGAGAAGTAAGCAGGCAAGGATCTGTTTTTTGAATAGAAGCGAGGGCTCATCCCCTGAAACGTAGGATACTGATGTCTCTGCTCGAAATTCAAGCTGCGATAGGGCTGCTAGGAGCAGCAAGGCATCGGGCCATCCCGTTGGTGGCGGACAATGTGACGGTGCACGCGCTCTTTGAGCTGCTCACCGACGAGTGCCAGGGCGGCCGCCTGCCCTTGCCATCTACAACAACTACCTCAGCGAGCTCGAAAAGTGAGCAAGGTGTCGAGTCCTGAGGAGAGGCAAGGTTGTAGGCATTGAGAAAGCAGCTACCTGCCCTTGCCATCTACAACAACTACCTCAGCGAGCTCGAAAAGTGAGCAAGGTGTCGAGTCCTGAGGAGAGGCAAGGTTGTAGGCATTGAGAAAGCAGCTACCTGCCCTTGCCATCTACAACAACTACCTCAGCGAGCTCGAAAAGTGAGCAAGGTGTCGAGTCCTGAGGAGAGGCAAGGTTGTAGGCATTGAGAAAGCAGCTACCTGCCCTTGCCATCTACAACAACTACCTCAGCGAGCTCGAAAAGTGAGCAAGGTGTCGAGTCCTGAGGAGAGGCAAGGTTGTAGGCATTGAGAAAGCAGCTACCTGCCCTTGCCATCTACAACAACTACCTCAGCGAGCTCGAAAAGTGAGCAAGATGCCGAGTCTTGGAACGAAGCATATTGTCAGGCGTTGAGAGATGAGCTAATCTACCCTTCGCCATCTGTAACAACTACCTCAGGGAGCGAAGCCTGACAGCTTGACAGTTAGGGGCGAAGCATGTGAAGCTTGGAGCGAGTCTTTTACCTAAGTGTCAAGTCTTGGAGCGAAGCAAGCTGTCAGGCGTTTGAGACTTGGGGGTAGTTGCCCGTCGCCTTCCACAGAAACTGCCACAGCCATCTCGAGAAGTGAGCAAACCTTGTATCCTTCAAGGAGCAACCACATGTGCTCTTTCCTCCTGCCTCTTTCCTCCCCCTCCCGCCCCCTTTTCTTGACGCCCTCTCCTTAACAGGACGGTGAAGACAATAAAGAACTCCACCACAGGGGCGTTGGCATCGGCTTTAGGGATTGTGAGGGGCGAGGAGGCCGTCATTGAGACGGACGGACAGGCAACACAGCCAGTGCTGCAGCACATAGGCGTCAGTGCCTGGCCAGGTGCGAGCTCTGGCTGTTAGGGTTTGGCCTCCAGGGTTTGACTGCTCTTTGGGAAAAGTAAGGGGAGGAGGAAGTGACAGGGATGAGAGGACACGCAACACAGCCGGTGCTGCAGCATATAGGCGTCAGTGCCTGGCCAGGTACGAGCTTCAAATACCAACCCTCAGCTTCTCCTCTTTGCTTTCAAGCCTAGCTCTGCTGCCGTCTGCTGGGCTCATCGCCAAGCACAGCACAGAAGTTTGTCCTGACCTCATCGCCTCCTCCCCACCCCACCACCCCGTCCCTACTTCTCTTTCTGCAATCCTCTCTTACGCAGGTCGCCTGACCCTCACAGATTGCGCCCTTTACTTTGAGCCCAGCGGTGTCGTCTCATACGACGCAGCAAAGAAGTTTGATCTGGCAGCAGACTTGCATCAAACGGTGAAGCCAGACCTCACTGGCCCATGGGGGGCGAAGCTCTTTGACAAGGCCATCATGTACAAATCCCACGCCATGTGAGTCAAACCTGAAACCGTCAACCTCTGAACTTCAAAACCCTAGATTCCAAGCCCTAGACTGCGGTCAGGACTGTGTGTGGAGCAATGGAGTTTGATCTTGCAGCACGCTTGCTTGCACCAGATGGTTCTAGAGTTTAAGTTTACTCCCAGCTCCACTAATCTCACCCGTTTGCCCTTCCTCGTCCTACCCTTCCCACCCATCCGTCCGATGCTACTGCTGTCGCCTTTGCAGATCAGAGCCCGTGGTGTTAGAGTTCCCAGAGTTGACTGCACACATGCGAAGAGACTATTGGCTGTCCATCATCCGCGAAATCATAGCCGTCCATTCCTTTGTCCGGACCTACAAGCTAGAAGGTCCGGCTCGCAGGCAGGCCGTAGCCAAAGCTGTGAGGGGTATAGCGCGACTTAAAGCCGTGTGGAGCTTACAAAAAGCCCTCCCTACTGCCCCTGAGAGCCTCCTAACTTTTATTGCGGCGGATGAGCTCCCGGGCGGGGATAAAATTTTGCGGGCTATGGCGGGCGTGCTTAAGGCAGATTCGGGCAGCCCGAAAAAAGAACGGGAGCAGCTGGAGAAACTAGGGGAGTTTGCTGCTGCAGCTGTGAGAAATGCAGGGTTTGGGGGTGGAGGGGGAGGAGGCGGGGGTGGGGGAGGGGGAGGGGGAGCGAGAGGTGGAGGGGGAGGGGGAGGGGGAGAAGAGGAGGGTGGGGGAGCAGCAGCAGGAGGTATTGGGGGAACAGCAGGAGCAGCAGCAGGAGCAGCAGCAGCAGGAGCAGGAGCACCAGCAGCAGGAGGGAGCAGATGGCAACAAGGGGGCAGTGCAGCAGCAGCAGCAGTAGCAGCATTCCTCCCTGGCACAGCAGGACTGATGGGCGGAGGAGGGGCAGGGGCACTGGGAGTGGGCTCATGCCCGTCTATGCCTGTAGGGGATGTGCTTGTAGGGGAGATGACGGCTCTTGAACGGGCGGTTAAGAACTCGAGAGACAAGTCGAGTAAAGTGGCCAAGGCGAAGCGATCAGTGGAGGAGGTGAAGGTGGAAGGCATTGGGACGAACGTGGCATTGATGAAGGTACGGTCTCTGCTGAATGAGAGTATGTTTGTATGGCGTATGAAAGGCTAGTGATAGAGCAAGGTGGCCAAGGCGAAGCGATCGGTGGAGGAGGTGAAAGTGGAAGGCATTGGGACCAACGTGGCATTGATGAAGGTATGTAGGAGCACAGCAGTGCTGATGGGCGCAGGAGGTGAAGGTGGAGGGCATCGGGACGAACGTGGCTCTCATGAAGGTACGGTGTCTTTAAGATGGTATGCTCATTGAGAGCAGAGTACAGGTGCATGAAAGAGTAAAGTGGCCAAGGCGAAGCGGTCTGTGGAGGAGATGAAAGTGGAAGGCATTGGGACCAACGTGGCATTGATGAAGGTACGTAGGAGCACAGCAGTGCTGATGGGCGCAGGAGGTGAAGGTGGAGGGCATTGGGATGAACGTGGCTCTCATGAAGGTATGGTTTGTGAAGGAAAGCGAGAGTATGCTTCTATGGTGCTAGTTCCAGCGATGATGAGAGGCCAATGGTTTCAGTCCTTAGCCTCATGGGAGTGCCTGAATCGCCACTTTTTTTAAACATGCCCCTCGTTGTCCCTCCTTTCCCGTCCTCCCCACCCCACCACAGGAGCTGCTAGTGCCAGTGATGCTGCTAGGCCAATGGTTCCAGTCCTTAGCCTCTTGGGAGGAGCCTATAAAGACCATGGTCTTTCTAGCCTTCGCTCTCTATATCATCTACAAGTAAGACTTACTGTGGATGTTCTGCTGCTTTCCACATTGCAATCCGTGTGCATCACCCAAGGTTGGAAGCTTTGCCCCGCTCTCCCCCCTCTCCCCCCCCCCACACACTCCCCCTCTCCAAAAGAAAGAAGCTGTTTTCGTATGAGTCCTCTGGATTTGCTTATTGCTCACACTCCTTTCCGAACCTCAGGGACTGGCTCGGGTACGTCATCCCATTCCTCCTCCTGACGAACGCGGTCATCATGATGTGGCTCCGCTTCGTGCAACAGTCCGACAGACGCCGGCCGCCGAACCGGAGAAACGAGGTGGTGGTAATCACGCCGCCCAATCAGAGCGCTGTGGAGCAGCTGGTCGTGCTGCAGGCTGCTCTCGCTCAGGTGAACTTTCCCTTACTCGGGTGAACTTCCTCTCACCCTGGTGAACTTTCCCTCACCCTGGTGAACTTTCCCTCACTCAGTGGCACTTCTCTCGCCCAGGTGAACTTTCCTTTGCTTACGTGAACGTTTCTTTTAGTGGAGCAGCCGGTTGTGCTACAGACTGCTCTCTCTCATGAGCCGTCTAATGGTTCAGGTGGGCGTAGTTCAGCTTTTTCATGTATTTTCTACCCCTTCCTTTCTTATCCGTGTGCCCTACAGGTGGAAGCGGCCATCCAAGCACTCAACGTAGTCCTCGCCATCCTGCTCACCGCTCTCCACATTCTCCCATTAACACTGCCTTCCATTCCTTCCTTTCTTATCCGTGTGCCCTACAGGTGGAAGCGGCCATTCAAGCACTCAACATTGCACTCCTCAAAGCACGAGCGCTAGCCCTCTCCGAGCTTCCAACAGCTACAGACGAGCTGAAGCTTCTTTCCCCATTCTCCACCTGTCATCCCTCTTTCCCTGTGCTCTGCTATCCCTACAGGTGGAAGCGGCCATTCAAGCACTCAACATAGCACTCCTCAAAGCACGAGCGCTAGCCCTCTCCGAGCTTCCAACAGCTACAGACGAGCTGATCGCCGTCCACATAGTCCTAGCCATCCTTCTCGCCATTCTGCCGGTGCGGGTCGTGGTGCTGCTGGTTCTAGGCGATGTGTTCACACGAGAGATGGAGTTTAGAAGAGACCAGACGCGGCGGCTCGTAAGGAGGCTAAGGGAGTGGTGGCACCATATTCCGGTGGTTCCTGTCCGGTTCATCGAGAGGGAGAATGATGCAGACTTCTACTAGCCATCCTCCTTGCTCTGCTCCCAGTGGGAGTCATGGTGCTGCTGGTGCTAGGCCATGTGTTCACACAAGAGGTGGTGTTCCGGAGAGATCAAAGATGTACAAGTTTTGGAGGGGGCTGCGGGAATGGTGGCACTATATCCCGGAGGTTCCCATGCAGTTCATCGAAAGGGAAAATGGCACCAACGAAGCGGCCTCTACTAGCTGGGGGCGACATGAACAGCTAGATGAAGCTGATGTAAAGTGGTCTATGGCTGCCGCTCACATTTGCTTTATTTTTAGGACGCTGCACAGCTGTAGGGATGCTGTGAGGCATCAAACTACTGTTGTGCTGTGATTGAAAATCTGGCTGCAGGCTTGTAGCCTCTTGTACAAATTTTGATATTAGAATTCCGAGGTAGCAAGCCAACGGAAGAGTATGCAAATTCTAAACATTCATTTATCTCGTAGACCTTACATGTATTGTGTTCTTACAGTGGACTGCTCTGTAACGCGGAAGTGGGGAACCACCCGACTGCGAAATTTGCCCAAATTGTACTTATGAACCTTCGCATACGGTATGGTTTGCCTGACGAAAATCGAACATTCTGCATTTGTGAGGGTGTATAAAGGGTTTGTGTGTATCGAGCACGTAGGTGGTATTTGGGGCCTTTTAGTAGTCGCTCCGTCACTCGCGGTCGTCTCCTCCTCTTCAGCTTTAGTTTGCGTCAAGGTCCCGTTGATCGCTCCTGCTAGAGCAAATTCCCTGGAATCGGCGAAGGAAATTCGGGAATAGGGAGCGGAGTTTTTCTCGTAACTGAGTGAGCGAAACTGTAGGATTATTCGCAACGTTATTTCGTGATCGATAAAGTTTCTAGATTCGTGGCAGGATGGTTGAAATCGAGGAGATCGAGGATACACGTGTCGAAAATACGAAGCTTGAAAATACAGCTGCTCAGAGTACCAGTTCCACATCAGCAGCCAGTGTCTCCCGTGGGGACGCAGGAGCCGTCGGATCAAGATCAGGAAGTGGGTCTGACGGAGCCAAGGTTGGCGGAGAACCGTCGGATCTAGGAGGTGATGGACGACGATCCTCGACTGCGGATTTCGAGGCCAGTCAAAACGGCGCTGCGGGGAGTGATTCGGGGCAGGAAGGCGGCAAAGCGGGAGAAGGGGCGAAGGAAGGGAGAGGGGAGTCGGGGAGGGAAGGGGCGGCGGAACGGGGAGGGGAGGACCAGCCTGGGGAGCAGGGTGGATTTAAAGACGCGCTCAGCGACTTGGCGGCGGGGACTGGCGGAGAAGCGGCAGCGGGCGAAGAGGCGGAAGAGGTGTTCGAGGATGCGCTTACAGAAGAGGAGCTGCGCAAGGTGAGCGGAATTTCGGGGGGAGGGAAGGGGGAAAGGGGAAGGGGATCGGGGAGAGGGCGAAAGAGTTGTTCGAGGATCCGCTGACAGAAGAGGAGCTGCGCAAGGTGAGCGGAAAGGGAAAAGGAAGGTGAAGGGGCTAAGGGAAAGGGAAGGGGTGTTCGAGGATGCGTTGAGAGGAAGGAGTTTCACGAAGTGGGCCTGTCTTGAATAGTAAGTCGTTTTAGGGACGGTAGCGAAGCAGACGTTTCTTTTGCAATCACATCGTGTATTGTGTTAGTCACCTCTGAATCCCCTCCTCCTCCTGCCTGCTCCCTCCCCCCTCCCCTCCGTCCCCCGTCCGCCACTGGCTTTTGTTTTCCGAATGCTTTCGTGGCGTCGCGGCCATTCAGAAAGACTTGGCGGAGGCGGAGGCAATTAAAGCGAGGGGGAACGAGGAGTACAAGCGGGGAGACTATAACGCAGCGCTTGAGAGTTACAGCAATGCGCTTGCAGCAGCACCCGGAGCGGAGCACGCAGAGGTGAAGGAGGCCCGGGCGATTTACCACGCCAATAGAGCCATGTGCCACCTGCAACTGGTGAGAGAGCTGTTATTTCGGCAACTTGAAAGGTTTTTAAGAAATCCTTAAAAGTCACGTGCTGTTGGAGAGAAGAGTTGATCGGTGCTTGGCCCTTTCCTCCTAGTCCTCACACTCCCTTTCGCCCTTGGTTTTTGCAGAAGGATTATGATGCGTGTGTTACAGAGAGCACAGCAGCCATTGATCTGAAGCCCGACTACGTGAAAGCGATCATGCGACGGGCGCAGGCGTGGGAGAAACTGGACAAGCTTGAAGAGGCGCTGGGAGGTGAGTGGGGCAGTTGGGTCTGTATGGCGGCGAATGACGTTCTCAGGCTTGCTGTGGATCTGAAGCCGGACTATGTGAAGGCGATCATGCTTGGAACTGATCATGGGACAGGCACAGGCTTGGGACCTTTAGGAGTTTCCAGAAGGTGAAAAGTGAATGTGTGGTGCGGATGGAGGGAGCATGGAAGCTGCATGTGTGAAGGCAATCATGCGACGGGCGCAGGCTTGGGAGAAACTGCACAAGCTTGAAGAAGCGCTGGGAGGTTAGTGGGACTCTAACTGAACCTTCTGGTGCTTTCATATGGAGAGAAGTGCGTGTGTGTATACAGTGAGTATGGATACTGTACTCTTTGGGAGGGAGCAATGTGTGTGGAGTGCGTTAGTCGGGCTATGTGAAGGTAAAGATGTGCTTGTCTTACATGTCATGCGTGTCGACTAGCCTTTTCCCGTCCCGCTATTCCACCACCACCACCACCACCACCACCACCACCACCACCACCACCACCACTTCCTCACACCAGATCTGAAGAAAGTGCTGGAGCTGGACAGCGCCAATGCTCAGGCCAGATCATCTGCCAGGCGGCTGGAGCCCATTGTGGAAGAGAGGAGGGAAAAGCTTAAAGAGGAAATGCTGGGTAAGAGCTTGGTATTTTTCACTGTACCGTACATTTATTGCTTATTTTCACTTCGTCTGTGTTATACATTACATTTTTTACTGTGAGATTCAAGTACAATTTTATTTGGTGATTGTTGTGGTGTGATTGTGGTTCAGCAAAATTGAAGGACCTTGGGAACTCCGTTTTGGGGCACTTTGGAATGAGTGTCGACAACTTCAAGGCTGTGAAGGACCCCAAAACTGGCTCCTATTCCATCTCGTACCAAAGCTAGATCGTCTTCTGAAAGAATTTTTTGGAGTACATTTTGTGGAGAAGTAAGCAACGATAAAAAATGCACAGTATATTGCTCCATCTGCAGATCGGTTGTCTTGTAGGGTCAGTTCAATCAATCCAGTGCCCGTATCGCGGATGTCTGATGAATTATTTTTTTCTCCCCTAAACCACCTAGCTCCTAGAAGTCCTCATTTCGTATTGATCGAGGAGCCATTTCTTTTATACAGCGGCTCGGCCGGTAATCGGCCTGTCTTTCAGCTAGCCGTTCGGTAGCGCGCGCCAGCGTTTTAGTTTTCGGTCTGGCATTCGCCGGCACGAATTTTGCTGGTCGTCGCCAGGGTTTCGCGAGGCATCATGGTGTCGCTAGAAGCCGCTCACGCGAATCAGGACTCACTGCTGAAACGATTCACTGTAAGCGCTACCATCGGCATTATCAAGGTCTGCCATTTGGTAGGGTTTCGCGAGGCATCATGGTGTCGCTAGAAGCCGCTCACGCGAATCAGGAGGCTCTCCTGAAACGACTAACTGTAAGCGCTACCATCGGCAATGTCGAGTATTGAAGCGTCTATTGCGGCCCTTTTCATGGTCGCCGTTGTCGTCAACGAAACGGTAGTGACACCGTGATTTTCGCAAATCGTTTGTCGCATGCTACCACATTACAGCTTTCGCAGGTTTCGACAGCTCTTCCATCGGTCGCATTGTTTGGTTTCCTAGACTCGCACGGTTTCGACAGCCACGTTGGTTTAACTTCGTAATTAGGGATTGTCAATTCCTTCGTGGAGTTCATCCGATTCGATTGGATTTGTTGTTTACCTTGCGGCTGGCAGGAGCTGGATATCACCTACCAACTCTACTCGCATCCTCCGGTGCTCACAGTAGAGGAGCAGGCTTCACAAGTGGAAGGAGCTACAGGGGAGACTCTTTAGTCGACTCAAAAGTCATTTGCTGTGTTTCTTTCCACGTTATTTGCAGGAGCTGGGTATCACCTACCAACTCTACTCGCATCCAGCAGTCCTTACAGTAGAGGAGCAGGCGGCACAAGTGACAGGAGCCACAGGGGAGTTTACCAAGAACCTTCTTCTTAAGGTAACATGTATTTCCCTTTCACTACCCTCTGAACTGAAGTTAATCATGACTGTGCTTTCTCCCCTCTTTTGAGGTGCCTGAAAAGAGCCACAGGGGAGTTTATGAAGAACCTTCTTCTTAAAATTAGATGCGTTTCTATTGCACATAGGTCTGCTCTGTTAATAACGGGATTCGGCACCGTCATCTGAGTGCATTTCCTCAGTTCGTTTTTGAACGCGTTGTGGATCCCTGTTTCTCCCCCAATGCGTGTGTGTGTGTGTGTGTGTGTGTGTGAGTGTGTGTGTGTGTGTGTGTGTGTGGCTGGCAGGACAAGAAGGGTCGGCTCATTCTCATCTCAGCTCTCACCAAGACCAAGATTGATCTCAAGTGTAAGGGATGCTTCGTCATTGCTGTACACCTAACCCACACATACTGTATCGTATATTCCTCTTTAGTGTCGTCAAAAGTTCATCTCATTTCGTTTCAACTTCATTATCACCTTCATCTGTTCGCGGTCATCCCTTGCAGTGCTGTCGCAGAGGCTGGGACTGGGCAAGGGCGGGTTGCACATGGCACCAGACGAGACCCTGACCACCGTGCTGCATGGGCTCTCAGTAGAGGCTTGGGCTGGGCCTTGATTTGGAGGACACCCCTTCAGTGTTTCTGTGTGTTTCTGTGGTGCTTCCTCACCCCATCTCCATCCCACCCAGTGCTGTCGCAGAGGCTGGGGCTGGGCAAGGGCGGGTTGCGCATGGCACCAGATGAGAATCTGACCACCGTGCTGCAGGTGCCTGCAGGCTGCGTCACTCCCCTGGCTCTTTTCAATGACTCTGCCAAGTGAGTGATTTTCTGCGCTGATTAGTCAGTTGGTCACCAGAACTCTGTTGGTCATCGGTTGGTCACCAGACCTATGTTGGTCATCAGTTGGTCACCGCAGTTTTGACCACATCTCTGTTCTCTAACCCTCAACTTCTCTCCCTCCCTCCCTCACACCCATCCCTCCTGCCCTCCGGTGCATTGCAACGTTGTGCTGCTTCTGTTCCAAGGCTTCACCTTTCAGGCAGCTGTCACATGCTGGCTTTTGAGGCGCCTCAAAACATGAGACGACTTTTGAGGCGCCTCAAAAGGCATTGCAACGTTGTGCTGCTTCTGTTCCAAGGCTTCACCTTTCAAGCAAATGTCACATGCTGGCCCTCTCCTTTCCCCTCTCAACCTCCATCCCTTTCTCACCCATCCTTCCTGCCTTGACCCCGTGCGTCATGTGATTCAGAGAAGTAGTGCTTTTGCTGGATCAAGGGTTTACCTCCCAGCCGCACCTGCTCTTCCACCCTCTCTCCAACGATGCCACTGTTGGTAAGACGCCACTGTTGCTGTTGGTACAGAAATTCCATCCCACGCTTGATCACACTATTATCCAACTCACAATTGCCGCTTTTGGCACCTTACTGCTGCTTCAAGGCCCGCTTTCAGCCCTCAAGCAAGTTCGTGCCCCGTCAACCCTCCCTCTCCATCCCGTGCCCTGCTATGCACAGCTTTGACCCGAGAGGCGTTTGAGTCTTTCCTTGGCTCTGTCGGCCGCTCTGAGCCTGCTTATGTGGACCTCGAGGTACGATTGTGTGGATTGTTGTCAGTGGCAGCTCTAAGCTCTTTAGATCTCTTTGAGGCAGCTTATGTGTGGAATTTCGGAAAAACTCGTGTGTGCTGGGGTTTGGGGTAATCAAGACTGGGAGAAGCGTTACACGCCGTTATGAATGTGTGTTCAGCCTCCTTTCGTATCACATTCTCTACAGGTGTCATGTTCTTTTTTTCTGCTTCTCTCCCATTGTTTGACTGTAACCCCCGCGCCTTGCCTCTCGGGCTAGCATGGTGGTGGGCAAAGATCAACCGCTTGATTTTGCTGCCCTTCTCCCCGCCCCCTCCACTGCTGCTGGCGCAGCAGGACATCTGAGACGTCTTAAAACTTGTGCTTCTCTCCCTTATTTTCAGGCCAACGTGATGGCAGGCAGGATCAATGGCCCGACCTTTCTGCCCTCTCCCCGCCCCTACTGCTTCTGCTGCAGCATTTTGCGACGACTCAAACCCATGCCTCTCCCCCACGGTGACTGTAACTCCCGTGCCTTCCCTCGCAGGCCAACGTGGTGGTGGGCAAGGATCAACCTCCCTTCAGTGATTCGACTGAAAACCCTCCACTAGTGATCCTATCCACTTGTGCTTCGCTCCCATTGTAACTGTATTTCCTCCTTACCTCGCAGGCCAACGTGGTGGTGGGCAAGGATCAACCTCCCTTCAGTGATTCGACTGAAAACCCTCCACCAGTGATTCTATCCATTTGTGCTTCGCTCCCATTGTAACTGTATTTCCTCCTTACCTCGCAGGCCAATGTGGTGGTGGGCAAGGATCAACCTCCCGACCTCGCTGCCCTCCTCCCCGCTGCTACCACTGCTGCTTCAGCTGCAGATGCTGCCTCTGCACCTACGAGTGCTGCTACCAGCACTACCAGCGGTGCCAGTGCCACTACTAATGCCAGTAGCAATGCTCCCAAGGCTGGTGTTGCTGCAGCAGCAGGGAAGGGAAAGTCAGGTGGGTGGATGGGTATGGCAAAAAAAAAAAAAAAAGGTGTGTGGAAGGCGACAAGAGTTTGTTCTGTGGTCCGTAAGGTTTGACTAGGGAGTACTGACTAGGACCATGACTTTCGTGACTCTTATGCTTGGGTGGGGTGTGGCTTTCCCCTGACCTCCGCAGCTTCTCAGAAGAAACCAGCGGCTGCCGTACCAAAGGGGCCACCGGGCGATGATGTGGCAACATGCACGACGCGGATCTTGGACATGCTGACAGAGCACATGAAGGTGAGTTGGCTCACTTCCAACCATTCCACATGTCATCGTTCTCTTCCCTCTCTTCCCTCTCGCTTCCTTCCCTCTTCCTTATCTCACCGTCGCTTTCCTCATCCCCATCATGCAGATCTTTGACATGCTGACACAGCCCCAGTGGGGTAACTCACTTTCAAACATCCCCCTTGTATCACCCTTCTCTCTGCTTCCTCTCTTCCTTCTCTCGCTGTCGCTTTCCTCATCCTCACCAACCTCTTCCCCCACTGACCTGCCCAGTCGTCTCCATGTGCATAGCCCCTTCTCCCTTGATGCCTCATGGTTGCTTCAATCATCGATATTCTTCTGGCGTTTTGCGTTCCCCAAACTGCAGAAATGCGGTGGTGACTCGGCGACTGGGGATCAAACCTCTAGCGTTAGCAAAGCCAATGAGGAGCTTGCTTTGAATCTTCAGCACACTCTGGTATGGGCTATAATCGTTCTCTGCTTTCTATCTAATAGCCGTATGGTAGCATTGGCCAGGCGGGTATGGGTCGTATATCCATTGTACTGCATTTTTCTTCCCCTCCGCAGCTGTATTCCAGCGTTGGAACCACATATGTTACGTTGAAACCACTTGTCATTCTGATTCATTTGCAGGTTATGTTCAAGAATGCTGCCTACACAAATGGCTTCTTTGCTGGTAGGGCAGCGGTCCTGGATAGGGTTCAAGGCTCGTGACAGTAGATGCAACCATTGACACCAAGTGGTGGTGTACACTAGCAGTTTCGCGTATGTTACAGGCCCTTCAATCAACACGGTGAGGGTTTTTTTTTATTGCCTCATCCCACTTGAAGTCTTACACTGCTGGTCCATGTCCATAACTGATTGTATGAAATCTACTGGTGCTCCGAAGTTATCTCATTGTTCTTTCTGAGGCACCACTACCACCAGTGAGTAGGTTCAACGTTATCTCGTTGTTCTTTCTGTCCTTGATTCTGGTCCAGTCTGACCGCCATCGGGCTCTACGGGGACATTGGCCTGACGCACCGCGCACCAACGGTGGATACTTGCGGCCAATCACTACGCGAAGTCGGGTCGCTACTAATCGTCGATGCGCGAAATTTTCGAGTTCCGACTTTCTTTCGCGCCAAATTCGCTGAGCAGTCTGCCAAATCTGTGCACCTCCGTCGGGTCAATGCTTCTCGCGTAGGATAGCTCGCTGATCAACCACAACTAGTTCGGTTGAAATGGATTCGTCATGGTTCAAAACGGTACTTCAATGCTACCGTTCTGGATCGCAACAAACCGAAATATACTCTGATACACGAATTGAAAATTATGAGCACCGCTCTTCCCCAGGCTGGGTTCCCTAGCCCGCATGCTATTCCCAGCACCACCCACCACCCACCCCACTGATAGACTGCACGTACAGCAGCTCCTAAATTGCGCATCGCGTGCCAGCGGTCCTCCAAACGAAACCTCGCCGAATCTTATGGCTCCACTTATTTGTGCGCCGCATCTGGGTGGGCTTTAGACTCTACTTCTGGGACTTGCGCGTCACACACGCCGCCACTGTTGCCCTGTTCTGCTCTTTCCGTCTCTGTCAGTCCACACGTCACCAGTCACACCGACACGCCACTACTGCTAGCAAGGCATTCTCTTTCTCTCCACCTCGGTCGCTTGGCTAGCTTAGCTTGGCCATCCATTTGCTGTGTCGTCCGTACTCTGAATAGGAGTGCCGCTAGGTAGCGCTGTAGCTGCCCTGAGACTTGCTGGTGAAAGCTGAAGTTCTTACATACCCACTGAAGGCTAGTTCGGCTGCGGTGTGTTCGCATGCACCCTATTCACACAGAAGGCGACTCGTTCTTGAAACTACGTCCGCTCTTCACGTGAGAGGAAGATTTGAGAATTCTAGACTACGAGAGATAGTTTTTGTGACTATTAGGACAGCAAGCGACACCGCGTCTTCAGTTCCCTGCTCTGCCATGTCATCGCTACTGCCACGTCGGCAATATCTAAAATGTCTCGCTCACTACTTGTGGTCAATACGTATTCTGAGTTATTGACGAATTTCAGCGTTACCCGGTAGTAGTACACGCAGTTCGCACACAATCTGAGATTTAACAAGCATCGCACACCAGTACTCGTGGCGCCGTGTAGGTCTCAACGCCTTTGACAGTACGCCTGTAGCACGGCTGTAGCACGCCGTCTGCACGCCTGTAGCGCGTCTGTACCGCCGTGCGCCTCGAAGACGTTGGCAGCACCGACTGTAACACCGAAACCTCCCTACAAAACTCCACCCTTTCGACTCAAATGGCCTCGAGAACTCCGCGTTTGAGCGGCGCTGGCGACTTAAGATCCCCTTCCCAAGCTCGCTCTCCCTGTCGTATCGTATCTCATGGCCAATTTCTTTCCTTCCACATCGCCATTTTAATCGCCGCGCTAAGTGTCGCCGCGAGTATGGGACTCGTGGCTGGCCTGACGTCTGCGAGAGACGGTGAGCGTGCTCGCCCTGTCGTCTGCCCCTGGTTACGTGGGATGCTCATGTTCGTACGGTCAAAGAGACCTTGTGCTCACGCTTGTCAAGTAACTACTCCCCCCTTCTCCCTCTCTCCCTCTCTCCCAATTTCTCTCTCTCTCCCCCGCCGACCCCCCCACTCGCCCGCCGTCAGTCGATGCGCTAGGGGACATTTACGACGGCTTTAATCGCTCCGCGGCGCTGCAGACGTGGACGTGGGGCGATCCGTGCGGCAGCGACGGAAGCGATAACGCGGGCAGTCCGTGGTTCGGAATCACGTGTGACGCGTCGGCAGACCCGCAACGAGTGATCGAAATGTACGTCGCTCCGACAGCTGATGATGCTGCTTCAGCCGCCGCCGCCGCTGCTAGGCTGAACAAGGGCAGGATCGGGTAGCGGGCAAGAATGGCGGGGAACAGGCAAGACGGAGCGACAAATCAGTCGAATGGTTCTTCGTTTTCACCCTCTCACCGCTTGCATTCTCATCGTTCCCTGCCTCCTTCCATTCGCCTCCCATGCCGCCCTCGCAGCAATCTGTCTGACTCCGACATCGGCGGGTACATCTTCTGAGGCGCCTCAAAAGTTCTCATTGCTCGCTTGCCTTCCATTCGCCTCCCGTGCCTCCTCTGCAGCAATCTGTCTGACTCCGACATCGGCGGGTACATCTTCTGAGGCGCCTCAAAAGTTCTCATTGCTCGCTTGCCTTCCATTCGCCTCCCGTGCCTCCTCTGCAGCAATCTGTCTGACTCCGACATCGGCGGGTACATCTTCTGAGGCGCCTCAAAAGTTCTCATTGCTCGCTTGCCTTCCATTCGCCTCCCGTGCCTCCTCTGCAGCAATCTGTCTGACTCCGACATCGGCGGGTACATCTTCTGAGGCGCCTCAAAAGTTCTCATTGCTCGCTTGCCTTCCATTCGCCTCCCGTGCCTCCTCTGCAGCAATCTGTCTGACTCCGACATCGGCGGGTACATCTCGGGATCTGTCAGCGCGCTCAGCAAACTGCGATCCTTGTAAGACGCCCTCCATGCCCTGAGGTGCCACGCCATGTCCTCACCATGCCATGCCATGCCATGCCACGCCACGCCACGCCACGCCATGCCATGCCATGCCATGCCACCTCATGTCACGCCATGCCACCTCATGTCACGCCATGCCGTGCAATGCCTTACAGCCCTGACTCCCGTCCCCCCGCCGCCCTCCCCTCCCCCCTCCCCGATCCACTCTGTCACTGACCCCTACCTGCCCTCTCTCCTTGCCTTCTCCGGCCCCTCTCCTGTCCCCCCTCCCTTCATCCCTTCCTTCCGCCGCCCCGCGCGTGTCCCCGCCCGCGCGTTTCTCCTCCGCGCAGCGTGGTGCGCAACAACGCCATCAAGGGCGGCATCCCCGCGGACCTCTCCGCGCTCACCGGGCTGCGCACCCTGTAAGTCATCCATTGTTATGCACCCCCCACCATCACTCTCTGTAAGACAAAACACCCTGTAAGCCATTGCTGTGCAACCCCCATCGCACCCTGTAAGCCATTGCTATAGCACCCCCCGAGTTTTGAGTCGACTCAAAACTCGCATCAAGGGCGGCATCCCCGCGGACCTCTCCGCGCTCACCGGGCTGCGCACCCTGTAAGCCATTGCTGTCCCCCCCTCGTCGCTCCCCATCGCTCCCCACCGCTCCCCACTGCTCTTCACTTCTCCCACTCGCTCCCATTGCTCTTCACTTGCTCCCCGCCCCCACCCTCTCCCCCTCCCGTTCCCACTCCCGTTCCACCACCCCTTTCCCCTCCCCCCTTCCCCTTCCCTTGTTCGCAGCGACCTGAGCAACAACCCTCTGGAAAACACCATTCCGCCGGAAATCGCGCGCCTCTCGACCCTCTCCTCTCTGTATGCGCGATCTCCGCCCACTCTTCTCTCCACGCGTCTCTCCGCCCTCTCTCCATGCCCGCGTCTCTCCGCCCTGTCTCCATGCCCGCGTCTCTCCGCCCTGTCTCCATGCCCGCGTCTCTCCGCCCTGTCTCCATGCCCGCGTCTCTCCGCCCTGTCTCCATGCCCGCGTCTCTCCGCCCTGTCTCCATGCCCGCGTCTCTCCGCCCTGTCTCCATGCCCGCGTCTCTCCGCCCTGTCTCCATGCCCGCGTCTCTCCGCCCTGTCTCCATGCCCGCGTCTCTCCGCCCTGTCTCCATGCCCGCGTCTCTCCGCCCTGTCTCCATGCCCGCGTCTCTCCGCCCTGTCTCCATGCCCGCGTCTCTCCGCCCTGTCTCCATGCCCGCGTCTCTCCGCCCTGTCTCCATGCCCGCGTCTCTCCGCCCTGTCTCCATGCCCGCGTCTCTCCGCCCTGTCTCCATGCCCGCGTCTCTCCGCCCTGTCTCCATGCCCGCGTCTCTCCGCCCTGTCTCCATGCCCGCGTCTCTCCGCCCTGTCTCCATGCCCGCGTCTCTCCGCCCTGTCTCCATGCCCGCGTCTCTCCGCCCTGTCTCCATGCCCGCGTCTCTCCGCCCTGTCTCCATGCCCGCGTCTCTCCGCCCTGTCTCCATGCCCGCGTCTCTCCGCCCTGTCTCCATGCCCGCGTCTCTCCGCCCTGTCTCCATGCCCGCGTCTCTCCGCCCTGTCTCCATGCCCGCGTCTGCCCGCCCTCTCTCCGCGTCTCTCTCCCTCCACTCTGTATGCGCGCACTCTCTTCCCACCCGCTCCCCCGACTCCCCCTTCCTCCCACCTTTTTCGCCTTTCTCATACTCGCCACTAGCGCCACTAGTGCCACTAGCACCAGTAGCACCTCCGTGACACCCTCTCACTTGCCTGCTCGCACACCACTGACACTCCCTCCCCACTTCCCTTCCTCCCTGCGTACCTCCATCCACGTGCCTGTCCCCCTCCCTCCCCGTTCTTTCGTGTGGCAGAGACGTGTCGAGCTGCGAGTTGGAGGGAGACCTGCCGCGCCTGTTCAGGCTCTCGTCACTCGTTGCACTGTGAGCTGCTCTACCGTACTAAGCAATGTGGTGCTGTGCGATGCGGTGCTGTGCAGTGTGGTGCTGTGCTGTGCGCTTCTCTGCTGTGCGGAGCCGTGCTGTTTTGTGCCCTGGCATGACATATCATGCCATGCCATGCCATGCCATCCCATGCCATCCCTTGCCATGCCATGCCATGCCATCTCATGCCATGCCATGCACGCGGGGTAACATGCCATACCATGCACGCGGGGTAACATGCCATGCCATCCCATCACGCACTGTGAGCTCATTCCGTGCCATACCATGCCATACCATGCCATGCCATGCCTCAACGTGTGCCTACACATATGTGTGTGTGACCCCAGGGACCTGAGCAACAACTCTCTCACAGGCTACATCGACCCTGCCATCGCTCGCCTGCCCCACCTCTCCGACCTGTACAGAAACCTCTCCACTACGCACCACCCACCACCACTACCACCTATGCACCCACCCATCCCCACCACCACTGCCACCCACCCACCCTTCCCACCACCACTACTACCCCCTCCTTACCACCCTCAACCTTCAACACTACCACCCACCCACCCACCGCTTGAGATTCCTAGAAGCTAAGTGAGCTCATCAACAATCATCAGTGCTCGTCAACGCTCATCAACGCTCATCAACGCTCATCAACACTCATCAACGGTTAACAACGCTTATCAACGCTCCCCTCTCCTGCATATTCCTACAGCTTACCGTTGCTCGTGAATCTCAGTGCACTCACTCCATATGCCCCATCCGTGCACCAACCCGTGAACGACTCGTGTGCAACCCACGTGTGCAACCCACTTGTGCAACCCACGTGTGCATCACGCATTCAACACATGTGCAACACGTGTGCAGGGACATGTCGTACAACAACCTCACAGGAGCGCTTCCCGATGCACTCGGCTCAGCCACCTCCCTCACCTCCTTGTAAGCACCTCCCTTCATTGTAAGCCCACCGCCACTTCGCCTCCTTATAAGCACATGGCCCTCCCTTCGTTGAAAGCACACCGCCTCAAATCCTTGCACGCGTTCTCCTGCCATTCTCTCCCTTGTGTCATCTCCTTCCGTCTCTGGCCTCTTCGTCCTTCTGCTCCTCTTGCCCTTCTGGCCCTCCCTTCCGCATCCAGCCTCTCTCTATCATCCCCAATTCTCTCTCTCTCTAACAACCCCCCCATCCCTTACCCCCCAAATCAGCGTGGTGTCGTTCAATCAGCTGTCAGGCAACCTCCCTCCAGCTCTTAGCCCTTTCCATCGCTCTCGTTCCTTGACATCCGCAACAACGCCTTTCCCCTCATGCCCCCCCGCCGTCCCCCATTCCCCTCTCCCCAATCAGCGCGGTGGCGTTCAATCAGCTGTCAGGCAACCTCCCCCCCGCCCTCGGCACTCTCCCATCGCTCTCCTTCCTCGACATCCGCGGCAACGCCTTCTCAGGCTACCTACCCCTCTCCTACTCCAATATAGAGCAATTCCTCTACGATGGCGCCCTCCCCCCCGCGCCCGCAGGCCCCTCCGCCTCCCCTCCGCCGCCCCCCATCCCGCCCCCGCCTCCCCCTTCCGTCCCCCCGCCGTCCCCTGTACTGCCTGGGTTCCCTGGCGGGGGGGATGGAGGGGCGGATGCTCCTGCTTCTCTCCCCTCCCCTCCTCCTCTTCCCCCTGCTGCCCAGGGTTCTCTCGCGCCCCCCTCTTCTTCCTCCCCCCCCGCCACTCCCCACGGCAATCACTCCTCCCCCGCCCCCCCTGCGCCCCCCTCCCTTCCGCCTGTCCCCCCTGTAACCCCCCCCAACGGGTCCCACGTGGGGAACGAAACGGGGGGGAGTGGAGGAAAAGGGGGGAAACAGGGGGAAGGGGGAGGAGGAAAGGGGGGAAAACGGGGGGAAGGGGGAGAGGGGGATGGGTATTTCTACCTGGATCCGTCAGTGCCTGAGAATGAGACGCAGTCGCTGGTGCCTGTACCTGTGGGGTGCAAGCCGTGTGCTGGGGGGAGTGTGGCAAGGAGGCATAAGAAGCTGTGTATGTGCTCGTACCCGCTGCTGCTGGAGGTTCATCTGGGCATGGAGTTCTCTAGGTTCAATGACGTCACCAGAGAGGTGAGACGAGGGGTAGCAATGACGTCATCACAGGGGGTTTGTTTCTCTAGATGTAGGTGTGGGTGCCAGTGGGGTATGATGACTCAGCCAAAGACTCGGCAGCTGGACTTTTGAGGCGCCTCAAAAGTTGACTCAGCCAAAGACTCGGCAGCTGGACTTTTGAGGCGCCTCAAAAGTTGACTCAGCCAAAGACTCGGCAGCTGGACTTTTGAGGCGCCCCAAAAGTTGACTCAGCCAAAGACTCAGCAGCTGGACTTTTGAGGCGCCCCAAAAGTTGACTCAGCCAAAGACTCGGCAGCTGGACTTTTGAGGCGCCCCAAAAGTTGACTCAGCCAAAGACTCGGCAGCTGGACTTTTGAGGCGCCCCAAAAGTTGACTCAGCCAAAGACTCGGCAGCTGGACTTTTGAGGCGCCTCAAAAGTTGACTCAGCCAAAGACTCGGCAGCTGGACTTTTGAGGCGCCCCAAAAGTTGACTCAGCCAAAGACTCAGCAGCTGGACTTTTGAGGCGCCCCAAAAGTTGACTCAGCCAAAGACTCGGCAGCTGGACTTTTGAGGCGCCCCAAAAGTTGACTCAGCCAAAGACTCGGCAGCTGGACTTTTGAGGCGCCCCAAAAGTTGACTCAGCCAAAGACTCGGCAGCTGGACTTTTGAGGCGCCCCAAAAGTTGACTCAGCCAAAGACTCGGCAGCTGGACTTTTGAGGCGCCTCAAAAGTTGACTCAGCCAAAGACTCGGCAGCTGGACTTTTGAGGCGCCCCAAAAGTTGACTCAGCCAAAGACTCGGCAGCTGGACTTTTGAGGCGCCTCAAAAGTTGACTCAGCCAAAGACTCGGCAGCTGGACTTTTGAGGCGCCTCAAAAGTTGACTCAGCCAAAGACTCGGCAGCTGGACTTTTGAGGCGCCTCAAAAGTTGACTCAGCCAAAGACTCGGCAGTGCTACCCCTTCCTCTCCCCATGTCCTCTCCCTCTATTCTCCCCTTCCTCTCTCCCGCCAACAGAGCTTAGAGGAGCAGCTGGCACTGAGTCTGAACGTGAGTCAAACCCAAGTGGCAGTATACGCCACACGCCCAGGCAGCGTCATTGCCTCCTGCGCAGTGCTGCCGCCCGGCCGCACAGCAGCGCTGCCAGTGGGAGTGGCGGGGCATGCAGTGGACGTGCTGCTGGGGAGGGGAGGAGAACCGTGTTCTGACTGGGGAGGCACGTGTTGTGAGCGGTGCTGCTCAGAACCTGATACCCCGAAACCTTTCTTTTCCTCTCCCTCCAACCCCCACAGAGCCTGGAAGAGCAGCTAGCGCTGAGTTTGAATGTGAATCAAACCCAAGTGGCTGTCTACGCCACTCGCCCCGGCAGTGTGATTGCCTCCTGCGCAGTGCTGCCGCCCGGCCGCACAGCAGCGCTGCCAGTGGGAGTGGCGGGGCATGCAGTGGACGTGCTGCTGGGGAGGAGGCGGCAGCGTCTGGAGCTGTTCGGCATGGGCGCTGTGAAGGTGCTGGCGGTGCGCCTGCCCATGGTGGTGCTGGATAGAAACGGAGGTGCGTGGGGATAGGGTGCTTCAGTGATTGATTGGGCTGGTTGGTGAGACTGCTTTGATGGGTTGGGCTTCAACGGTTGTCTGCTTGGCATGGGCGCTGTGAAGGTGCTGGCTGTGCGCCTGCCCATGGTGGTCCTGGATAGGAATGGAGGTGCGTGGAAGTGGTGGGATAGGGATGGGTGGGGATGGGTGATGCGGGGATATGGATGGATGAGGCTGGAGGGTTTTTGGCATGGGCGCTGTGAAGGTGCTGGCGGTGCGGCTGCCCATGGTGTTGCTGGATAGGAATGGAGGTGGGTGGGGATGGTTTTCTTGTCTCGCCCCCCATCGGTTACCTATCTCAGAGATGCTTGCTCTTCTCTAAAGTTCTCCATCCATCCTTGCTTCGTCTCAGCGCCTCTGCCGCTGCACTGCACTCGCCTGTGCTTATCTTCCCTTCTCCTTCCTCCACCCCCTGCCATCCCACAGTCCCCATAACAGCCAGCAACAGCAGTGGCAGTAGCACCAGCAGCACCAACAGCACCACCAGCACCGGCAACAGCACCACCGGCACTGCACCTCCTACTCCTGGCACCACAAACAGCAGCAAACCAGGCAGCACGAGCAACAGCACCACCACCACCAGCAGCAGCAGCAGCACCAGCACCAGCACCAGCAGCACCAGTAACAACGCCGATTTAAGCTCCAGCAGTAGCAGCAGCGGCGGTAGCAGCAGCGGCAGTGGCGAGAGCAGTAGCAGTGGGGGCACGAACATACTAGGCATGTCCACTGCTACAGTGGTGAGCATAGCGGCAGGCATCGCACTGCTGCTCCTGATCGCACTCCTCGTCACCCTGCTCTTCTGCTTCCGAAAACGATACATGAGCGTCAGCAACACTGATGATGATAATGACAATCCTGACTTCAAACACCATACCACCACCAGCAGCATTGGCACCAGCAGAACCAGCACTGGCATCAGCACCACTGCTGCTCCTGCCGTCACCCCCGCCGCCGCCGCAGCCGCCGCCGCAGCCGCTGCTGCTGCTGCTGCTGCTGCTGGTGCTGGTGGTACTAGCAGGAAGAAACCCAAGCGGGGCTGGTTCAACTTTGGAAAATCCTCCCCCCCCGCCTCGGCATATTCAGTCTCCTCGTTTCACGCGGATAAAGCTGCAGCTGCGCCGGATTATCGGGGTTCCTGGGCTGCTGGCGGTGGGTGGGGAGAGGGGGAGGGTGGGTGGGGTGTACCGGCGTCGTTCCTGTCGTCTGGAGTGGAGATTGGGGATATCAGCGTGGTGGAGGTGACTTCGGTTGAGGATGAGGAGGAAGATGTGGAGAGGGGTGTGGCTGGGTTGAGCAGGGATGGGGAGACGACGCACGGAGGAAGGGGCGGAGAGGAGCTGATTGTGCGGGAGGGAGCTATGGTGGCGGTGGTGGGAGCTGGGGGATTGACACGTGCAAGTGTTGGAGCAGGAAGAGGAGGAGGAGTGAAAGGGGTAGAAAGGGCAGGAGGGGCAGGAAGAGCAGCAGGGGCAGGAGGAGCAGGTGGAGCAGGAGGGAAGGGGTATGATGGAGAGGTGGAGGTAGGCGGGGAGGAGGAGGATGAGAGTGTGAGGAAGAGTAGGGAATGGACTGTCATGTCTTTCCTTAGTCTGGGGGGGAAAGGGGATGATGACGCTGCTGCTGCTCCTGCCGTTGCTACCACTGCTGCTGTTGCTGGTGCTGCTAACGGTTCTTATGCGGTGGCTGCTGCAGGAGAGGGAAGAACAGGAGTGGGGAGAGGGAGTGGGAACGGGGAGGAAGAGGAGGAGGAAGGGGAAGAGGAGGATGAGGACAAGGAGGAGGACAAGGAGAGGAGAGTGGAGGGCGGAGGGGGCGGGAGTGGGAGTGGGGGTAAGGGTGGGAGTGGGTGGGGAGTAGGGGCGATAGGTTGGGGAGGAGGGGGGACGGGGAAACGAGCAAGCAGCAACAAGGAACCTGCCGGAGAAAGCGGGTGGAAGCTTCCTCGCCTGAGCATGAAGTTTTCCTGTAAGAAGCCGTTTCTTCCGTCTTTCAGTAAAAAAAGTGGATGTATGCAAGGGGAGACAAGAACTCCATCGCCATAAACCGTCTCCCATCTACCACAACCCCTGACTTTCCCCCTCTTCTCCCCGTTTCCCCCCACACTCCCGCGTTTCCCAACCTCCCCGCTTCAATCCTACCTCCCCAGCGCCCAAGATGCAACCGCGGCAGCCACAGCAGCAGCAGTCATCAGGGGGGGAAGGCGGGGGGTGGCAGTGCCAGGAGTGCGGCGATTCGCCCTGGCGGGGCTGCAGATGGAAACAGACGACTTCTTTCTCCCCTCCTTTTTCCCGAATTCCATTTCCTGATTCCCTCCCCCACAACCCCCGACTTACCATCCCCCCCTCACTGCCTCCTCTACCCCTCCCCACTTCCAATCTCCTTCTCTTCACTCCAGCGCCCAAGCTGCAGTCACGACAAGCCCAGCAGCAGCAGTCGCCAGGGGGGGCGGGGAGGAGGGGGATGGCAGTGCCAGGGGTGCGGCGATTCGCCCTGGCGGAGCTGCAGATGGCAACAGACGACTTCTCCCCACACACCAAGCTGAGGGACCACCCCCTGGGACCCGTTTACTGCGGTGACCTGCCTGATGGCACGGTAAGTGGGATTACTAGGGGTGTAATGTGCGGTGCAGTGCGGTGTGGGGGCTTTTTCGTGGGCTAGAAACATGCCTGCGAGGTGCAGATAGCAACAGACGACTTCTCCCCGCACACCAAGCTGAGGGACCATCCTCTGAGACCCGTGTACTGTTGCGACCTGCCTGATGGCACGGTGAGCTTTGAGTGCAGTGCAGTGCGGTATGGGGGCTTTGGGTCCGCTGAATTGGGCTTCTCCCTTTCCTCCTCCCTCCTCCCTCCTCCCTCCTCCCTCCTCCCTCCTCCCTCCTCCCTCCTCCCTCCTCCCTCCTCCCTCCTCCCTCCTCCCTCCTATCTCCTCCGTCCGCCCTCCTCCCCTTCTCGCCATCAGGAGGTTGCAGTAAGGCGGATAGAAGCTGCAATCGTGGAGGGCCAATCAGACGCTGACTTTGAGGCGGCCAGCATGGCCTGGCTACAGCACGCCCACATGGCCCGGCTACAGCACGCCAGCATGGCCCGGCTACAGCACGCCAGCATGGCCTGGCTACAGCACGCCAGCATGGCCCGGCTACAGCACGCCAGCATGGCCTGGCTACAGCACGCCAGCATGGCCTGGCTACAGCACGCCCACATGGCCCAGCTACAGCACGCCAACATGGCCCGGCTACAGCACGGCCACATGGCCTGGCTACAGCACGCCCACATGGTGCCGCTGCAGGGGTACTGCTGCTCTCTCTTCTTCTCTCCCACCCTTTAATCACTCCTCCTTTCTCCCCCTCTCCCGGACTGCATCCGTCCCTCCTCCCCTCCTCCCTTTCAAACCACCAGGAGGTAGCAGTGAGGCGGATAGAAGCAGCACTGGAAGAAGGCCAATCAGATGCAGATTTTAAAGCCGTTGCGGCCAACATGGCACGGCTGCAGCACGCCCACGTGGTGCCTCCACTCCCCCCTTCCCTGCCTGCTCCCTCCCCAACCCCACAAACACCAGGAGGTAGCAGTGAGAAGGATAGAGTCAACAATCGTGGAGGGACAGTCGGATTCGGATTTCGAAGCAGTAGCAGCCAACATGACACGGCTACAGCACGCCCACGTGGTGCCTCCCCCTTCGTCCTGTTCCCCCACCCCCGTCCCTCTCCTCACTAGCACCAGGAGGTAGCAGTAAGGAGGATAGAAGCTGCAATCGTGGAGGGACAATCAGACTCGGATATTGAAGCAGTAGCGGCCAACATGGCACGGTTGCAGCACGCCCACGTGGTGCCGCTGCAGGGGTACTGCTGCTCTCTCTTCTTCTCTCCCACCCTTTAATCACTCCTCCTTTCTCCCCCTCTCCCGGACTGCATCCGTCCCTCCTCCCCTCCTCCCTTTCAAACCACCAAGAGGTGGCGGTAAGGAGGATAGAGGCAGCAGTGGTAGAGGGCCAGTCAGACGCTGACTTTGAAGCAGTAGCAGCCAACATAGCACGGTTACAGCACGCCCACGTGGTGCCGCTGCAGGGGTACTGCGTGGACGGCGGCGAGAGGATGCTGATCCCGTGCCAGCCTCTTTGTCTCCCTCTCCTAACCCTCGTTCCTCCTGCCTCCCCTCCTCCTGCCTACCCTTCTCCACCCAGGAGGTAGCAGTTAGACGGATAGAAGCTGCAATTGTGGAGGGACAGTCGGATTCCGATTTTGAAGCAGTAGCGGCCAACATGGCACGGCTGCAGCACGCGCACGTGGTGCCGCTGCAGGGGTATTGTGTGGACGGGGGCGAGAGGATGCTGGTGTTTGGGCATTTCCACCTGGGCAGTCTGTATGAGCATCTGCACGATGGCAGCAGGAGCATGCTCATGACGTGGGATACCCGGGTCAACATCGCCGTCGGCTGCGCTCAAGCTCTAGAGTGAGTAATCAGGGGTAGAGTAGGTGGGAGGACAGCAAGTGCCTGTATATTCATCTGTATGATAATCTGTATGATGGCAGCAGGTCAAGAAAGTGGTGGTTGTGAGGAGGCGAGAGGATGCTGGTGTTTGGGCATTTCCACCTCGGCAGTCTGTACGAGCATCTGCACGATGGCAGCAGGAGCATGCTCATGACGTGGGATACCCGGGTCAACATCGCTGTTGGTTACGCTCAAGCGGTAGAGTGAGTAATCAGGCGTATAGTAGGTGGGAGAGCACCATTCGCCTGCGCGAGCATCTGCACGATGGCAGCAGGAGCATGCTCATGACTTGGGCACTCGTGTGAGCATCACTGTGGGATGTGCTCAAGCCTTAGAGTGAGTAGCGGGTGGGGGAAAACGGATAGTATGAGTGGAGTGTCTTAAAGAGAGTGTTTGAAGCAAGACGATGCGTGTGTAGCGCTTCACCCTAAACTCCTCCTCCCCTCCCACTGTCCCTCTTCACAGGTACCTGCAAGAGGAGTGTGTACCGGCCATAGTGCATCGGGGCATCTCATCGCGAGCCATCCTGCTAGATGACCACATGAGCCCACGCATTGCTGATGCCGGGCTAGCTGTTCTCAACCCCACCGACGCCGAGGCTCAGGTATGGTCACCAAGGCTCGGGTATGGTCACCGAGGCTCGGGTATGGTCACCGAGGCTAATGTATGTGTGCTAATCAGTGCGATGAGGCCAAGGATATGGATGCTATCATCATCCTGCTAGATGACCACTTGAGCCCGCGCTTTGCTGATGCCGGGCTACCCGTGCTCAACCCCACCAACGCTGAAGCTCAGATATGGTCGTGGAAGCTGAGGGTTAGGCACCAAGGGTAAGGTGTGGGTGCTGTTCGGTGCTGCGAGGCCAAGGTATGCGTGCTACCTCCATCCTGCTGGACGACCACATCTGTAAAGGCACCCTTCCCCTTCCATGCCCTATTCCGCCTGTAGGTTTCTAACCCGTTGCCTACTGGCATTCGAACCCGTCACCCCTTCTCCCCACCTGTCGCCTCCCTCCCAACCCCACCAACCCCTCCCAATGCAGACTCTATCAGAGCAGCTGGTGGGAGGGTACGCATACAACGCACCCGAGTATGCCATGTCAGGAGTGTACACAGCCAAGAGCGACGTGTACAGCTTCCCACGTCTCCCTTGCTGTCCCCCATCTCGTCCCACCCCTCCCAACCCATTTCAACCCCTCTCAACCTCTCCAATTTCAGACATTGTCAGAGCAGCTGGTGGGGGGCTACGCATACAACGCACCTGAGTATGCCATGTCAGGAGTGTAAACAGCCAAGAGCGATGTGTACAGCTTCAATGGGTTTCCCTCCTTTTCCCACCACTCCTTCGATATCCCGTTCTTACAGACACTATCTGAGCAGCTAGTGGGGGGCTACGCATACAACGCACCTGAGTATGCCATGTCGGGGGTGTACACAGCCAAGAGTGATGTGTACAGCTTCGGAGTAGTGCTGCTGGAGTTACTAACAGGCAGAAAGCCCGTCGACCCGTAAGTATAACCTCTGCACACCCCTCAATGCACTGTTACCGCTGCACGTCCCCTGATGCATTGACTGTTGAGTGCCAAGAGTGACGTGTACAGCTTCGGAGTGGTGCTGCTGGAGTTACTAACAGGCAGAAAGCCTGTCGACCCATAAGTGTTACCGCCACACACCCCTCGACGCATTTCTACCGCCACACATTCCGTAATGCCATTGAAAACTCTTAGAACCCGATATCTCAAACGACAATGGTGCAGCTAAATTTGTTGTGGTTCTTGGCTGCTGCTGACGCTGGTGGATTTGCTAATGGGCTTTCTGCCTGGGGTGGTTGACTGGATCTGCCTGGGGTGCTCTGTCCAGTCGACCTGCACGTTGCCCTCCCTTGTGCTACCACTCCCCTCCGCCAGGTCGAATTTTGAGGCGCCTCAAAAATCGTCTCAGTTCACGCGGTTTTTATATGGGGCACGTTGCCCTCCCTTGTGCTACCACTCCCCTCCGCCAGGTCGAAGCCCAAGTGGGAGTCCTCGTTGGTACGCTGGGCTGCTCCCCTACTCCATGACGTGGTGGAGCTAAAGCGCATGGTGGACCCCTCCAGTTGTTTCGTTCTGACCCCTCCAGTTTCGCAAATGTTTTGCAGGTCTGGAGTGGAGTGGGCGCAGGTCGAAGCCCAAGTGGGAGTCCTCATTGGTGCGCTGGGCGGCCCCTCTGCTGCATGACGTGGTGGAGCTAGAACGCATGGTGGACCCAACCCCCCAACCCTCCACCTTCCACACCCTCTCCCCATTACCTCCCCTCGCCACGTCTAATTACCAGCGCCAAGCCCAAGTGGGAGTCATCACTGGTGCGCTGGGCAGCCCCTCTGCTGCATGACGTGGTGGAGCTAGAGCGCATGGTGGACCCAACCCTTGCTGGACCCGTGCTTCAACCTCCCCGCTTTTCCCCACCCTTCCCCACCACCTTCGTTTTCAACCTACTCTCCCTCCTACAGCGCCAAGCCCAAGTGGGAGTCTTCGCTGGTCCGCTGGGCGGCCCCTCTGCTGCATGATGTGGTGGAGCTAGAGCAGAGCGCATGGTGGACCCAACCCTGGCTGGGCCTGTACCCCTCAGCTCACCACCCTTCCATTCCCTTACCACCTCCCGTTTGCCCCACACTTCCCTCCCCAGCGCCAAGCCTAAGTGGGAATCTTCACTGGTGCGATGGGCGGCTCCCCTACTCCATGACGTGGTGGAGCTAGAGCGCATGGTGGACCCGACTCTTGCTGGGCCTGTGCCCGACCCCCTCACTCTCACGCGCTACGCTGAAGTGATCGCACGATGCATCCAGGTGCGTGGATGTGTGCATCGTGTGCATATGGGTGTATGTATGCATGGGTGCCGTGCATGGGAGCTAGAGCGCATGGTGGACCCGACCCTTGCTGGGCCTGTACCTGACCCCCTCACTCTCACGCGCTACGCTGAAGTGATCGCACGATGCATCCAGGTGCGTGGATGTGTGTATGGGTGTGTGAATTAGTGGGTGTAAGGGTGCGTGAATGGGTGTGCTCATGGGTATCCGCTCTCCTCACTTTCACCTGCGATGCCAAAGTGAACATCAAATGAATTTACCCCTTCCCACTTACCCTGCTTGCTCTCTCTAATCCCTGTCACCGAGTGCAGCCTGAGCCGGAGTTCCGCCCATGCATGTCCAAGGTGGTCAGGGACCTGTGTCGAAGAGTGCACATCCCCCCTGCTACCTTCGTCCCTTGCCTCTGACCCTTTCCCACTTGTCTCTGCTTCCTCCTTCCTGGCCCGTCACCGAGTGCAGCCTGAGCCGGAGTTCCGCCCGTGCATGTCCAAGGTGGTCAGGGACCTGTGCCGCAGAGTGAGGAAGACCCCTGCTGCCACTGCCGCCACTAGCAGCAGCACCAGCACCCAGCTCGGCCCGGATGCATTTTGACGGCACTGATTATGCTGACTTCTAAGGCCGCTCAGAAATGGGACCTACCAGTATGCTGGAGGATGCGTGCAGAGTCAAGGTCCCTATGGCCACCGCCACCACCACCATCAGTCACCACCTCTCCCCTGATGGCATTTAAGGTGGCTCTGAATTATTCAGTCTGCCTGGCTGTGCGCTGCTTCCTGCCGCCCCTGGCAGCACCAGCAGCACCAGCACTGCCAGCAGCACCAGCATTATCAGCAGAAGGCAGCTTGCCCTGGGTGATTCCGTTTGACCCCCTCATACTCCCACCCCCTTGGTGCTCTCCCGTGCTTAGCTTATGCCCGGCTCTCAGCTCCACTATAAACATTTCATAGGATGCATCGAGAGCATCCAATAGCCCACCCCTAAAGTGGGACAAGGATGGAAAAATGCATCATGGTTTGGACATGATCTACGGATTGGGTGGTGTGTATGGGATGCATGCAAGGAAGAGCTTAGGCATATGTGCATCGTGCATGCACAGGCCCTCTTGTGGTTGTGCATGAGTATGTATTAAATGTAAGCGCGCTGCAGCCTACTAAACATGAGTTGCCTATTACAGATTGTGGCATACTCTAGTATAATGCACGTTGATATTCTAAAGGTGTGAATCGAGGATGCTTCTTAGCGGGGACTTTTTTTTGCGGCTATGCATGCGGCGGGATGAGTCAGCACTGACGAGGCGGTGCGCCAAGAGCCTGACACCAACATCCGCGTCCTACGGCGGACAATTGTGGGACATCATGCATCGTCATTGTTGTGAGTCATCGTTCTTTCGCCAAAGTCCCGCCAATCAGCTTCGCCGTTCGCTCAAGTCCTGAACGTCGCTTTCCGCCAAGGCTAGCCGTTATCAACAGACCTATTGGAGCAAAATGACCCTGTTCAGAAGGCAAGGCAATTTTGTATTAGTTTCGGCACAAAGTGGTTTGCTTCGGTATCTGATGCTTCGGCGTAGGTCGATATCTTCTTCTTCATGGCCGCAGCCCACCCCACTCACACTCCCGCTCCACTATCACCAAACACCAGGCGTGAAACATCTGCCAGAAGAGAGGTTGTGCACGGTATCGTCGCGTAATAACTGTCCCATTGAGTTTTAGTACGGTGCTGAGTGTTTGGTTTGGACCACTCCACTGCATCAAACGGGTTATTCCATGCATAGCTATCGTCAGCTTAGTTGTCGTCAGCAAGTCTTCTTTTAGGACGCCGTTTCACTTCTGCAGCTGGATAAGGTGATCGTCGTATCGTCGTGAATTCCGTTTAGCGGATCAGCCGCAAGTGTTTGCTGTCGCCTTAGTGTAGCTGATCTCTCTTTGAACAGGCGTGAATAAAAGTAAAGAACGCGGCTACGTTGTTTGCTGAGACACGTCGCCTCCACCTCCATTCATTTGGTACCTTAGAGACGGACGTATCCATGATGGACAGTTGGATGAATAGGGCATGGTTGCTAGATGCGTGGAGCATGCAAGGAATAACCCCTTTTGTGTTCGCCAGAAATGGAACAGGCGGCGATGTCGGTGAGCTCGAGAAGGACGCGTATGAAGGCCTGGCAGCATCGTACGCGTTTGTGGGGATCGTTGCGTTGGTGCGTGCTGACTTTGTTGTTTGCTTGTTTGTTTGTTGTTGCTGCTGTTGTGTGTGTGTGTGTGTGTGTGTGTGTGTGTGTGTGTGTGTATGTGTGTGTGTGTGTGTGTTGTGTGTGTGTGTGTGTGTGTGTGTGTGTGTGTGTGTGTGTGTTTCCTGACTTTGTTGTCATGCACGCTTTGTTGACTTTGATTCGACGGTAGATTCACGAAATCAGTCGCCTAACCCAGGTTCAAGTGACACTACTTGGAGTTCCCGAGTACGCCTATAATTTGAAGAGCCTTAGAATCTTCTCCATTGCAATGCTTCTTACATGTCAACGCTGCAGGTGCAGCTGGCTCGGATCCAACTTAGAGTGCCTGAGTATGGCTGGACGACACAGAAGGTGTTTCATCTCTTCAACTTCGTACTCTGCGCAGGTCAGTATCTAGTTACCTCGCCGCACTGCCACATGTTATGTTTTGCATTGGTGAGACATGCAAAAGCGAGTACGGTTGGAATACAGAGAAAGGTATGACTAGCTTCCTTGTTGAAGCGAGGCATCTGATCAGCTTCCTTGTATGTGAAGGTCTGTGCCTTATTATCCACGCGTCTAAGCCTGATCATGTGTGTGTGTGTGTGTGTGTGTGTGTGTGTGTGTGTGTGCGTGTGTGTGTGTGTGCGTGTGCGTGTGCGTGTGTGTGTGTGTGCGTGTGCGTGTGCGTGTGCGTGTGCGTGTGCGTGTGTGTGTGTGTGTGTGTGCGTGTGTGCGTGTGTGTGTGTGTGTGTGTGTGTGCGCGCGTGTGTGCGTGTGTGCGTGTGCATGAGGTGGTGGTAATGTTCTCTTCTTTAGGTTATCTACATATCACGAAGTTGTTATACAGTGTACACAAACGCACCTCCATCTTTGCAACATCTTTTTGAAACCTCTGCACACAACACGACAAGGTCATCCGTTTCTCTTGCCCATTTTAACCTTCCACCCGCCTCTCCTCCCTCTCCCGCTCGTCCACCCTCCCTTGTGTCTGCAGCCAGGTGTGCAGTTTTCCTCTTCTGGGAGCAAATCCTGGGCATCAATGACTATGTGAGCTCCATTCCTTAGGTTCCAAAAAATAGACGCCCTTCAAACGGTTTTCCCTTTTCGAAGCAAGAGCAGGGCATTCAAGAGTACGTGAGCTCCATTGTTTAGCTCGACTTTAGCGTCTGCTTCGGCACGTCTCAACACTCGGCTGATGTTTCCTCACGACAGGAGCTCACTTTTCATGTTATGTCATGCCATTTCATGCCATCTACTTGGTTTTGCTTTACAATCTCGCCTAACTTGTCTGTTTCAGGTGTTAAAAGTGGCTATCCTGGACATACCGAGCCTCTTTTTCTTCACCACCTACACATTGCTCATTCTTTTCTGGGCGGAGATTTATCACCAGGTGTGTATGTAACAGCAGCAGGTGACCTTGAGTCAACCCTGAATTTCTCTTCACCATGTACGCACTGTTCATTTTCTTCTGGGCGGAGATATACCATCAGATATGTACTATCAGCTGCGCCATTAGATAAATACCAGTTGTGCTGCCTTTTGGCCGACGTGCAATTTGGCCTTTCATGCAACCTTTCTTCTTTCCTATCATTTTTCTCCTTGTTCCCTCAAGGCGCGGGGCATACAGTCAGCGGATCTCCGCCAAACGTTTGGCATTTTGAACGCTGCAATCTATATCCTACAGGTGCGTGCAGCAGCAGTGCCGGGATCTATTTCTGAGCGCCTAAAAAACGGACGCTTCTGCATTTTGAATGCTGCAATTATATCCTACAGCAGTGAGGTGTGAGGTGTGGACAGCAGTATCAGCACAGCACAGGGTTCGTTGTGTTCATTCGTGCATGTCATCGGGTTTTCTAGTGCTTAAGCAGTTTGCTCCCAAGTACAGCATGCATACACATTCTTTCTCATTAGATGCATGCCTTGATGCACACCATCCCCGCACATCAGGATGCTGCCTGAATACGGACCTCATGGCATGGCATGCAGGCACATTGCATCTTACCAGATGCGTTCCACCATGCCCATTCTCCCATGCGTCAGGGTGGTGCATGGATCTGCATGGGGCGCTGGGCACCGCATGCAGACACGCTTGTGTTCCTCGCAAAGCTGTGTTGAACATTCAAACAACGAATGCTCAATCACACTACATGTGTGCATGCCCACCATCCTACGCATCACGTCAGGGTGGTGCATGTATCTAGATGGGGCGCTTGTCACTGCATGCTGAGACGCTCATGCTCCTCACAAAGCCGTGTGGAAAATCTCAAGATTGATTGTGTACGTGCTTTTGTGCATGCCCACCATCCCACACAACCAGGGCGGTGCATGCATGGACCTACATGGAATTCGTGCCACAGCATGTAGGCCCACTCGTGCTCACCAAGTGCATGCCCGCATGCATATATGCCCGTTCTTATCCCACACACACATCAGGGGGTTGCATGGACCTACATGGAATTCGTGCTACAGCATGTAGACCCACTCATTCTCCTCACCAAGCTCTTTCGAGCAGGTAGCAGCGGGCATAGTCTCTGTGGGTGATGACCTTTTAGTTGACTCATAAGTTACCAACATTTGCCGCGTGTCCACATTCTTTCAATCTTGGGGGCCTGTTTGGCTGGATCGTCAGTATTACTTCCCATCTTTCCCCTCATTTCCTCTAACCCCATCATTTCTTTTTCAGTCGACTCAAAAGTCAACTTTTGAGACGACAAAAAAACCACCTCCCATTTTTTCCCCACATTTCCTCTAACCTCGTCATTCATTACCCCCTTTCTATCTCTCTCTGTCTCCCTCCAGGCGTGGCATTCACTGCGGCATTTGGTTTCATGCTTTATGGCGGACGGTGAGCCTAGTCGCGGTCAGATTATCAGAAGTTTGTTTGTTTGTTTGTTTGTTTGTTTGTTTGTTTGTTTGTTGTTTTTTTGTTTTCTCGGTTTTTTTTTTTTTTTTTTTTTCCTCGTTTGTTTGTTTGTTTGTTTGATTCTTTTTTTTCTTCCTCTTCTTCTTCTTTTTTCTCGCTTTTTTCTTTTGGGTCCCTTGCGTTGCTGCGTTTTAGAGCCACCCATCTTAATTGCAGTGTACACTCCATGGTTATGGTTTCGTCTGTCCTGGGTGCAGGCTGTTTGTCATGCTCAACACATTCCCGGTGGAGTCGAGAGGAAGGAGAAACAAGCTGATGGAGGTGGGTTGTGGACGCACTGATGCGTGGGATGAATGCTCCTGTGCTCCAACCGGCCTTGAGTTGAGTTGACATAACAGTCTTGATATGATGAGGTGGGCTTTGGATGTACTTGCAAAGAGTTTACAGAGGTTCGATGGTGTTTTCAGCCTACCTTGCTGCTACGTATCGGCAACAGCACCGCGGTGAAATGGTGGTTCTCTGATGGTGTTTCGTTGTTGGAGCTGCTACATTTAGGTGATCCATTGGAGTGTTCGGTGCTTCTCTGATGTGCCTCATTCCGCATTCTCTTCCGCGTCCTTCACCTCTCGCTCCGCCCGTTGTCCAATTTCAGGTGGGGCTTGTTACAGCCATCGGTTTCACGAGCTTCACGAGTCGGGTTCAATGACTCGTTGGAGTCATCATAACGAGTTGGGGCATAACGAGTTGGGGCATAACGAGTTGGGGTTTCGTGGCGAGTTGGGGTTCATCTGTTGCCCCAATGGCTGAGGGTGATGCGAAACAAATGTCGCATAAGCACCTTCGTTGCACCAATCGACCCTTTGGCCGCCAAATTGCAATTGAACCGAAGGGGGGGGGGGGAGTTATGTAATCAACGAAAGCCTCGCAACCCTTTTATCGTGCCATTGACTTTTAGTGTTCTCTTCAATCTCCTAATTTTCTCTGAGTGTTTCTTGCATTCTTGAGTACATTGTTAGTCAGCTCTCTTGCACCCTTTTGGTACTATGGTGTGCTGGCCCGTTCAGGTCGCATTCTCAGGCATCAGTGAGCAAGTTCCACTGGATAAAGCCAACTATCCTGTATTCAATGTCATATACTACATGGTATGCAAATAGGAACATTGATATGCAGTTGCATGGGCTGCCATGGTTCCTTCATCTGCAGTCTGCTCTTCCGTTGTTTCCCACATCTCTTTTTTCCCAAAACAACGTTTCTCCACCTGATTCGAGTTGATTATTGAGCATGTCTTCATCTTTCTAACTCCTACTCTGCGATTGCATTGTACCTCCGGTTACAGTCTGTGGAGGTCATCCCTGTCAAGATAGGGACGTATGAGTTTAGGAGGGCCTAGGCTTAGGAGCCTAGGCCAAGGGGTGTCGAGGGAGTTGTGCCAAGAGAGTTACGAGAAAGAAGAAGGGGTTTCACTATAGCACACAAGGTACATATAGCAAAGCAACAAAGAAGGTGCACCACCAACTCTTAATAATAATAACTACAGTAACTACAGCACGCAGGGTATATATTGAACATATTGTTTGACACACCCCCTTAGCCTGCGTGCAGTAGAAACTGGTGCAGCCAGCACCCCCTGAACGAGCAAACCAAGCGCTGTGGAAGAAGGCAGAGAAGTGAGGAAGGTGAGAGGAGAGGAGAGAAGAGGAGAGGAGAGGAGAGGAGAGGAGAGGAGGTGGGGGGCCAGGACCGGCGGACCCGCTTACGAACCTCCTTTTACAAAGGGGAGGTGAGAGAGGGAAGGGAGAGGAGGTGGGCTAGGCGGGCTTGAGCGCGAAAGCTCATAGCGATCCCCCCCCGTTAAGAACCCCCAAGTCCCGATGAGGAGAGGAGGTGGGCTAGGCGGGCATGAGCGCGCACGCTCAATGCGATCCCCCCCCGTTAAGAACCCCTTAGTCCTCACCCCCCTCGTCACTCAACCCCGTCAACCTCACACCTTCCGCACCTGTCTTCTCCCGCCACCCCCTCACCCTTCTGCACTTCTCTCCCCCCCCCCCCCTACAGCAACAGTTGCTGCAGGGAGAGAGGAAGAGGGAAGGGAGGGAGGAGTGGCAGGCTCCTCACACCCGCCCCCCCCCCCACAACCCCTTCCCCCTCCCTCCCCCCTCCCCACGACGGAAGCCGCGGAAGGGAGGGCGGGGGGGGGGGGGCGGCGGTAGCTGGCCGCGGCGCTGGCCTCCGCGCTGGCGGATTGCGGGGTGACGGGGGCGACGAAACGGGGGCCGCGTGGCGACGAAATGGGGGCCGCGTGGCGACGAAACGGGGGGGCAGCGGGCGACGGGCAGGGCGTCCGCGGGGCAGCCGACGGGGCGTCCGCGAGGCAGCCGACGTGGCACGTTCGGGGGGACGGGCAGGGCGCGCGCGACGGGCGAACGGGGAGAAAAAATAGCGCATTTCGCGCTGTAGTACGGGCGGGCCCATGATTCTTAAAAAAAAAAGAGAAGGTTCCGGGAAAGAACCAGCTCTGTACCATGTCAAGATAGGGACGTATGAGTTTAGGAGGGCCTAGGCTTAGGAGCCTAGGCCAAGGGGTGTCGAGGGAGTTGTGCCAAGAGAGTTACGAGAAAGAAGAAGGGGTTTCACTATAGCACACAAGGTACATATAGCAAAGCAACAAAGAAGGTGCACCACCAACTCTTAATAATAATAACTACAGTAACTACAGCACGCAGGGTATATATTGAACATATTGTTTGACAATCCCAACTATCCTGGTGCTGTATATCCTGAGGAAGCTTCCACCTCGTCGGCATTTCAACACACAGCCCCTGCACTAGAGGCAGTTGTTTGGATACTGCATTTGCTTTTGTGCAGTGAGTAATTCATTTGCTCGACATAGAATGTAAATAATGGAGTGGTATCATGCAAATGCAGTGTCTTAAGTAGTGGATGGAGTGGAGGGCATGTATAAAGCAGCTGTGTGGAGCTCACAGATAACACATTAGGATGAAATTAGTCATACGGTAATACCGTAACATGAATAGAAGAGATGGAACTACAAAAACACGAATGCAGCCCTTAAGAAACGGGTTTCAATAATGTAAATGCACCGCACACTGCAATGCAGCTCCTCCCATCCCTACAAGCAGAACACCCTAACAATCTCTAACTTGAAGGTGTGAGCCATCTCCCGAGGTCAGTCACGCTTCTTCCTCCTATGCAGCAACTCCCTGCTGCTAGTGCAAGAAATGTCAGCGTATACGTGCTTTTTGCCCAGCCTTACACGCCCAGTCCCCATCCCTTACCTCCTTCCATCCAACCCCAACTCCCGGAGCCAGTCAGTAAAGATGACAGCCACTGAATGGTTGAAAACTCTTGATTTCAGCCATCCTTTTGTCCCTCCATGCCTCCAACCCCATCCAAAGTCACCTGCCTCTTCCCAAATCTGAATTCCTTCCCTCCATCCCCAAGGCGCATCTGTCCCGCACCTCCATGAGCCCTTCACCTCCACATGCTATCTGCTTCAACGTTCCAGCTCCAAGGAGCGACATCACCACCTAGTGTATGCACGCCTCATGTCTCCCATCGTTCTTCAACCCCTCCACCTCCACATTCTACTGCCTCAACTTCCCAGCTCTGAGGAAACACAGCAGATGCTAATGTGTGCACCCCTCGCGTCTCCCATTATTCTTCAAACCCTCCACTTCCACATTTATCTGCTCCTCCTCCGTCCCTGCCTTCCCGCCCCTGTGCGCAACTTCCCAGCTTCAAGGAAACACAGCACATGCTAATGTGTGCACCCCTCGCGTCTCCCATCGTCCTTCAGACCCTCCACCTCCACATTCATCTGCTCCTCCTCCGTTCCTGCCTTCCCGCCCCTGTGCGCTATCCTGTCCCACATCCTCTTAGCGAATTTCGTCTTAGCGAGGATGGGAATGAGTGTGAGCACCCCCAGCAAGCAGAATATGGCGATGGTGGCGGGATCGTAGAGGTCTGAAACGGAGTTGATTGTAGAGAGTACGCACCCAGCCTTCACTTGCACCACATTGTAAGGGAAAAACCCCAGGAATGTGCCTATAACGAAGGTTGGGAAGGGGATTCCGACCACTGGAGCACAGAGGTTGATCACCCAGGAGGGAAGCACGGGTGTGATTCTAAGGAAGATGATGTAATAAACGAGGCAGCTCTGGTTGCGCTGCACTTCGCGCCGCAGCCAATCGCAGCGCTCCGTGAAGTATGAGTACACCACATCACGAAGAATAAAAAGTGACACGGCATAGGAGAGGCACGCGCCGATGGTTATAAAGAGCGAGATTGTAAAGAGGCCGAGGGGGAAGCCGAAGAGAGACCCAGCTAAGATGTTGCAGAGGAGGGTTCCCGGAATTAGAAAGGTTTGAATAAAAAGGTAAAAGTTAACGAAAGTGAAGTACACTCTGGTGGGGTATGCTGCCATGTAGAGGTTGAGTGTAGATCGCATGGATTGGAGGTCTGAGATACTGTGGGGGAAGTGTAGCGTCGCGTATGCGACAGTTGTCGTATTGCCATTGGAAGATTCGGAACCAGGCGGATATGGATTGGATTCTGTCGAAGATGCGTTGAAGAGAGGATTATCTGGTGCAAAAAACGACACGCTTCCGCCGCCGATGCTGCTGCTGCTGCTGCTGCTGTTGGCGGGAATATCTTGACCTGAAGGGTCCACAACTAGGGTTTCGTTGCTCGGGCTGCTACCGTTGCTGCTAAAGCTGCCCGGAAAATTCCCGTTAATGCCGCTGACCTCGCTCCCATTGGCCGCGACTCCACCGAAAGGCGTCGCAGCCGATTCCGGCGACTGCAATGCGATCTGAACGGTGGCGATCGACGGCAGCGTTACGAAGCTAACGACGACGATCAGCGACCACCCGAGGAAAAGCAGCAGAAGGCAGGAGAGCCGCCGACATAGTTCCGAACCGACGCCCACGGAAGCAGGAGAAACGTCAGGATAGCCGGAAATTGCGACTATGGCGGGATCTTCAACGGACTTCGGTCGCAGGACGACGGTGCTGCAGTCTCTGCGACAACCCCCCTTGCTGCCGCAACAGTCGGAGGTGACGGAGTCGGGAGTGATAGTAACGGGGTCCAGCGTGATAGTAACGGAGTCGTCACTGATCGGTTTTAACCTAACGTGCGCGGAGTCTATATTAAGACAATGTATCCTGTCGCTGATGCCGTCGCCGCTGCTTCTTCTGCTGCTGCAGCCACTCCTGCTACCGCCTCCACCGCCGCCGCCGCCGCCGCCGCCGCTGCTGGCGCTGTCGTCGAAGCAGTGACTAGAGTCGAGGCCGAACGGGCACGTGACGAAATCGGCGTGTTCGTCAGCGTCACTTGCGACTCCGCCGGGGTTCAGCCGGGCGGTGCTCGGCGAATCCGGATCGCGTACGTGCGACATTGGGCTCGGCGACGTGCGACGCGCCACAGGATGTCCGACGGGCAACGATGATTCGTCTGCGGTGTCGTTGGCTTTCCCACAGAATTAGTCGACGTGCGGAGATAAATCGCAAACTTCTACGTAGAAGATGACGAATTAAAACATAGTCGAGACCGCATACTAACGTTCAACGACTCTGCCAACATAGCACTCGAACCAATGAATGAGGGAAGGACGGAGGCTAGAAATTCGGCGACAATTTGTGCCTGCTGTGTCGAGCACCAACGGCCGAAAATGCAACAACCCGCTGGCACTACAAGCGGCTTAGACGGGCTTGAAGTCTTCACGGATGATGCCTAGAAACTAAGGAAACATAATAGAAACAGACAGGATAGAATAAATAAAGACGGGCAAGGATAGTATTTTAGGCCAAGAAGACTTAAGTGTCAGTGAGTCGGATTCTCGCCGAGAACTCCGCAGGGCAGGTATGGTGGAGGGACCGCCACAGCCGCGCAGGTTTGTTTACGGTGCCTTGCTTGCCTCGGCAGGGCTTCGACAAACTCGAAAAAACCGGTTGGGGAACTACGGTGTGGCTGGACGTGATATTCTTTACCTACCACAACAGTAGTGAAGATCAGTGCAGATACTTTTAGCTAAACAGTGCTGAACATGCACCTTGGAGGTCGGGCTGGAGGTTTGGCGTTGTGGAACTCGGTTCAAGTGGCTTGGGAATATGGAACTGGTTCGGGAACGTGGTTGGTACGGGTACGTGACTTCCGTGTGGTTTGTGTGACGAAACACAAACAAGCCCTGGTCGGGTGAAGGCAGGGCGCCGAACGCGGCCCAGGCCTGCACCGAACCCAGCAGGTAGTTGCGATGGCTGAGGCGCAAGCGTGGACGCGGATTCGTGAACCGCAAAAAGAGTGAAAGCGAGCGATAGGGAGGGATGCGCGGGTTTGGTTTGGGAAATTAGGCATGCGGAAAGGAAGACCGAACGGGACAGGAAAAGGGGAGGGGAGACATCGAGGGGAGAGCTCAGGGCGTGGAATAAGGGCGAAAAGTTGGAAATTAGTTGAAAGAGCAAAACACTGATAGAAACTTTCAAGGGTACTCACCACGATACCCCACACACGCGCCCTGCCTGCCGGGGACATTTTTGTTTTGAAATGCCCATTCCGAATCCAAGCCTACTTTCCGAGTTTTGGCTTCAAAAGGGTGTGTGATGGTTTGGGAAACCTAGGGGTGGTGTCAGAGCATCATTATTGGGCTGTCGAACCTCTGATGACGAACCCCAAAGTTGACAGGCTGGGTAACGTTCACATCACCAAACGCGTTTTGACGAAGCACAGTCAGGAGCACATCACCAAGGGCAGACGCGTTTGTTCGCGTAGTAACCACCATGGGGTCATCATCAGAAACCGTTATGCAAACTCCCTTACCCCGCACCTCTCGCATGCTAAGCGAGCGCTCTACCATCTGTGCTACATCTCCGAACGCTCTGAAAATACTGAAGCTTTCCACATTCATTTCAGAGCAGAGCTTGAAGTGAAGCATTACAACACAGGGCCAAGGAGGCTACTGCATAGATTTTGCTATTGCTCTTATAAATGACTAGCACAATTGGCAGAATCCGAACATACAAATCTCATCCCTCCATCAATAACATATTATTTTCGTCTATCCATATCGCACGATTGCAGATGCCCATGTAAGGCCAGCACCGAAACCAGCCGTTGCGATAACGTCCCCAGACTTCACTTTACCGCTGCGCACAGCTTCGTCAAGAGCAATGGGGATGGAGGCAGCGCTCGTGTTGCCATAATTGGCCACGTTTGAGATCACCTTCTCATGAGGAATGCCCATCTTTGTTGCGACAGCGTCCATTATCCGTTGATTGGCCTGGATGGTTACACAGGGGGAGAACAGCAGATAGTTGCAGAACAGTGACGCGGACAAAATCAAGTAGCATGGCAAAGAGAGTTTGACACGGACCCAAGGAAACAGGTGCAACTGCAGAGCATAGCTGCACTGCACCAGCAGTGTGTATGATTTTGTTAGTAAAATGTGAAGTGGTGATGTGAAGGCTGGACTGCAAGTGAGAGGAACTAGATAATGAGCCGAAGGTGCGGGACGTTTTGGGAACTCCAAGCAATCCTGGTACGCCGGTGCCTATTAATTTTCTCCAACTGCTCTGCTTCCAGACTGTACCAGAAGAACAAGTTACCTGATGCTTTCAAGCGTTACTTGAGTGCATACCAAACAAGCTAGCTACCTGATGCAGCAGAAGCCAGTCCAATGTGGTGACTTTTGAGTCGACTCAAAAGTCATGCGTTACCTGAGTGCATACCAAACAAGCCAGCTACCTGATGCAGCAGAAGCCAGTCAATGTCGTCAGTCGAGAGCTCTGCCTCCTGAAGCGCTGCTTGTAGGACCTGCAGGGATGAGAGGCCAGACAGTGCGTGGTTGTTCATGAGTGGTAATGACAGGAGAGGAAGGGGGGGGCAAGGAAGCAGAAGCCAGTCAATGTCGTCGGTCGAAAGCTCTGCCTCCTGAAGCGCTGCTTGTAGAACCTGCAAGGGCGGCAAGCAGGGTGGGATTGTTTGTGAATGACAATGACAGGAAAGTGGAAGAAGGAGCAAAAGCCAGTCAATGTCGTCCGTCGAGAGATCTGCCTCCTGAAGCGCTGCTTGTAGGACCTGCAGGGACGAGAGGCAGGGTGTGGTTGTTGTGGGAAGGGAGAAGATGTGAAGGTGAAAATGGAAACAGACAGCGGGTTGGGAAGCTGCTTGTACGGCATGACGGGGCGAGGAAAAGAGGGCAGAGGGATAGGGAAAACAAGGGGGTTAGATTCGTTATTTGAGGGGCATGTACACATTGACAATAAACACGGCAGTGAAGGCTTTATAGGGCTATGTTAGTTAGTCATTTTTTGAGGGGCGACGGGGGGGGGGGGGAGGGGAACGAATCAGAACCTGGTCATCATTTTGTTTGTTTTTTTTTTTTATAGAGCTGCGGTGGGGCATAAAAGTGATATTGAGGGGGTCTCCGAGCATGACAGTGATGCCTGCTTGACTCACAAGTTGTGTTGCATACCTGGGGCACAGAGGTGACAGCAAACTTGTACACTTCCTTTCCGTTCTCACTATGGGCATCGCCACTGCCCTCCCTGCAATAGATCCGCTCTCTACTGGCGCTGGCGTCACACTGAAGCACGCTCGCAGGTGCCTGACTTAGCTTCTAGGTTGCATTGCTTACCTGGGGCACGGATGTGACAGCAAACTTGTAGACCTCCTTCCCGTTCATCACTATGGGGGTCGCCACTGCCCTCCCCGCAATGGACCCGCTCTCTACCGGCGCCGGTGTCACACTGAAGCACGCGTGCAGGTGCCTGGCGAGGGCGCATGGGGAAGGATATGGGAGAGGAAAAGAAAGTGAGGGAAGTGAAGAAGCAAAGGAAAGACGTGAGAGGCAAAGTGCATTGCCACCCGCTCTCTACCAGTGCTGGCGTCACACTGAAGCACGCGTGCAGGCGCCTGGCGAGGGCGCATCGGGGAAGGGACAGGGGGAAAGGATGGGGTGGTGGGGGGGGGGGGGGGATGATGTATGGTTTACAGTCAAACAGAGCAGAATGTGCTGCGGGGCCTCGCTGCTGGAGCTGGCATTGAGCTGCAGTCGGCTAGTGCACTTGGGAAAAGCATTGTGCGAAGTCAGTCAATGGTAATGAGTTCAGGGTTTATCAATGAATCCACCTTTGGATGGACCTGCTATCTGCTGGGTTGTCATTATGTTGAGGACAGAGCCAACAACAACTATTAGACAATGTTTGGGTAACGATTCGAAACTTTCTTACCAACACGCATGGAGAGCCAAACAGGCCGTTAGATTGAGTACCGTGATCCGTATCCGTCATCCTTGCAACTCCCCTCTCTGCTCTAAGCTTGTTTCAGAAAAAAACTCAAGGTTCCTTTCTAATCATTGGATATCGCTGAGGGCTACTCTACCTGGAGCCAACGCCATCGCTGTGCATGTCAAACCCCAGCATGCCGTCGCTCTCCCCCTCAGCTGCAGCCTGCACCAGCACGGCCCCACAGCCATCGCCAAACAGAATGCACGTGCCCCTGTCCGACCAGTCCACGTATCGCGACAGCCCATCCGCTCCCACCACAAGCACCCGCTCATACCCGCCTCCTGCAGGGTAGGTTCAGTGGCAGATGATGGACGGACAAAGTGAGAAGCAGAGAGGAAGGGGAACTATCAGAAAGAGCAGTCAAGGCAAACAGTCTGACCAGTCCACATATCGCGACAGCCCATCCGCGCCCACCACAAGCACTCGCTCGTACCCGCCTCCTGCAGGGTTGGTTGGTTCAGCGCATAAGAATGGACAAGCGGGGAGGGTAAGCATAGAGCATGTGGTGGACAAAGATTTAAGAGGACCAGTTCACGTGCTGAGACAAACCGTCCGACCAGTCCACGTATCGGGACAGCCCATCCGCGCACCGCTCGTACCCGCCTCCTGCAGGGATGGTTCAGTGGCCCAAGATGGATGGACAAGTGAGGAGCATGGATACGAAGCAAGAGAAGAAGTCACATACTCCATATAAGGAGAGGGGAATTGTTCGAGTTAACAACAAACACTCACTACGAACTGCCTCCTGCGGGATTGGGTTAATAATTGATGATTTAAAACCCCCGAGGCACTTATGAGGGGTAGGAGGGGAAGATTTATGTATGCAGTGGTTATGTAGCCAGGAGCGGGGAGTAGAATGGACATGACTGTAACAAGTATGAGGCATAATTGTTTTCTGAACCGCAGTATGTACAAACATTTAAGGACTCTGGTGGTACCTTGGATGAACCGGGAGGCGGTGACAAGGCCGAGAACAAAGCCACTGCATGCTGCGGTGAGGTCGAACGCCACAGCCCGTTTGCAGCCCAGGTCCCGTTGAACCTGGCAGCACGGGAGTGAGAGAAGCAGATGATCAGCAATCAGACTTCTGAGTCGACTTAACAAAGTCTTTAAAGCCACTGCACGCTGCAGTGAAATTGAACGCCACAGCTCGTTCGCAGCCCAGGTCCCGTTGAATCTGGCAGCACTGCAGCAGGGAATGGCGGGGAAAAGGCAATCAAAAATCGGATTAATGAGTCGACTCAACAAAGCCACTGCACGCTGCAGTAAGGTCGAACGACACAGCCCGTTTGCAGCCCAGGTCCCGTTGAACCTGGCAGCAAGGGAGCAGGGAATGGCGGGGAAAAAAAATAGCAATCAACTCGACCATAATGCTAACCAGCGGGTACATCAGCAACCCGCAACGCATCAGTGACCGCGTCCATCAATTGAGCTTGTGGGGTGCGCTCGAGTGTGATCGCCACCATCACGCGCAGACCTTCAGGGGTCGACGCCCAGAAAATCACTGAATTTCTTTCTCTCGGTAAACCATGTAGTTATGTGTCTTGTCTACGAGCTTCGTTAGCCGCCACCAGGAAGCTACTGCCTAAAACATTGTCGTCGAGGGTTGATGTGCGAATGAAGATCATGGTAACCAGTGATCGCATCCGCAATGCAAGATTTGCGCATGTATGAAACTCACCAGGCAACCGCCGCCGAAAATGTCGTCGGGGGTTGATGTGCAGAAGATGATCAGGTCCACGTCAGCAGGGTCCACGCCAGCCATCTCCAGAGCCTTCCGCGAAGCCTCTGTAGCCAGGCCGGTCATTGACTCGTTCTCTGTGCCACCGCCATCATGGAAGGGCAAACCAAGAAGCAGGGAAGAGACAAGGGACGGGAGAGGGGACAGGAGATTGAGGCGGGTAGCTCTCGAAGTTCGTGGTGAGAAAGAGAGAGAGTTCAGGGAGCTGAATTTCCAGGTCATTTCCTTCTCGTCGTTTCTTTGTTTCGAACTTGCTATACGACACATATATAGAGCATGTTACGGATGCTGGGTACGCGAAGAAGCAACAGCTTACCAGAGAGGACATGGCGGTTCCGAATGCCGGTACGGGTGGCGATCCATTCGTCAGACGTTTCCATCAGGGTTGCGAGGAAATCATTGGAAACGATCTTCTCCGGCACCGCTGAGCCGGTTCCGATGATTCGAGAACCACGGCCGGGCTTCCTGCGGAGTGGAGATGAATAAATGTAAGTTGTACGTTGTGCATGAGCGCAAATGACGAAGGGAAGCGCAAATTTTGCGAACAAGGAACCAAATTGTTGTTCTCAGAATGACGTAATTCAGCAGAAAGACACGGCGAAATCTACCGTTCTCTCAATCCTACGCTTCGATCTGACGTAGTTTAACACCTCATCCTGATATTCACCTCTTCCGAGATTTTTTCTCGCCGGAGTCAGCAGCCGGAGGTTCTGCAGTGGCTGAATTCACCACATTCAATGCTCCTGTGGAAGAAGATTTCAAGGCCTGGCGTTGCCATGTCCTGGAGCTTGATCCCGACAGAATTAATTTGCCGTTTCCGCGAACAGCAGCACACGACGACAATCTGTTATTCTGACAAATGAGATCGCTGCCTCTCTCAACAGACGCACAGCGTATGGAGACAGAGGAGGCGGCACTAACGGCCTGGGCCATGTCTGCTCGGCTAATCGGGAACGCCTGTTAGTGAACACTAGCACAGCACCTGCTAGAGAGCACTCAGCACAGCATAGGACGGCTGAAGGGTTTGTCAGAACCGTGGCGAAAGAAGAACGAAAGAATCAACCTAGGAGGCTATCTTAAAAGATGAAGAAATGGCTAAGAGTATTGTGCCTGCTGTGGCTGTCTGGGACCTGCTATGGCCGTCCAGACCAGTCTAGGAAACACGGCAGATCTGTTCGGGCAGTATGATGGGTCTTTTGTCAAGCAGAAGACCCACACACATTTGCCTCAAGGAACCAGCCAGATCAGGAGGACCAGGATGGTTACCAGGTCCCGATCAGGGTCAGCGGGTTCATCTGGCTTTCATCCATCGGACGGTGATTAGCACCTGACTGGGACTATCGAGGAGCATCCGGCCGTCAACGGATATCCTCGAAAATTGCTGTTTCCACGGTCAGAATTTTGGAGTGACGTTGGAGGCGACATCCGTGACATGGCGACAATCGCGAGATTCGTCATCAGAGGCTTGTGTGTCGCTGGGGATGATCACTATTGCGAAAGCTGTGATTGCGTGGCAAAGTTTCGATCAGATCCACGTCGGTAATCACCGCTATTAAAAATCTCGAATATATTACAATCCAACTCGACTAAACAGCGATACAAGACAGATGGGAACACGCAAAAGTATATATTTTACAATCCATGTACATTCTACCAGGCGATACATTGAGACGTTTGTTGTACCAAAATACCAACCTAAACGAATGTACTACAAATCACTTGCTCTATTGACAGTTGTGAAGCTGGAGAAGGAGAATCCCAACCTCCTCTTCGAAAGTGTAGGTTTGGACCAGCTTTGCCCCTTCACTGTTGCTCCGTCACTCCCGGTCTCAACTGTTGCCTGGAGATCACCTCCCTGAGAATTTGCTGCAGGAGGAATGCCTATCATCCCACCACGATCTCCACTGTGTTGTTGGCCATCACTGTTCACTTCACCAGTCCCAGAAACACCAGCATAATTAACCATGCTTTTACTCACCTCACCGCCAGCAGCACCCTCAGCACCGCCACCACCAGCAGTGCCACCATGCAAACCCCCAAAGCTAAGTGCATTATATGCAGCAAGTGCGCGGGTAGCAGCAGCAGCGGCAGCAACGTTTCTAGTCAGGGTAAGCGAGAGGCTGGTAGCAGTAGACGTTCGGCTGAAGCTGAAGGCGCTGCTGGGAGTGTAAGAGGCCAGTGAGGAGGCGAGGAAAGGAGGGGTGGAGAGAGCGGAGGGGACTACAGGGCCGTCGGGAGTAGCAGAGGCAGTGGTGGTGGCGGTGCTGGTGGTGCCGGTGATGTTAGTGGAGGGTGGATGGGGCGGGCTGATGGCTGTTGTGCTGACCGTGTGCCTTAGGGGTGGAGGCCTGGAGCGAGACACAGAGAGAGGAGACGAGAGGAGAGGAGTTGAGAGGAGAGGAGATTAGAGGAGAGGCGAGGAGAGGAGCAGTGAGGAGGAGAGGAGGGATTTGATCCATGGAAATAGGAAAGAAGACAAAAGTCATGGTGCAGTGATTCTCGCACGTTGCACATCGAAATCAATTCAGATGATAGATTGCATATTGCAAATAGCAAATTGAACAGCGCACGAACAAGGCAATCGCACCTCTCACTGCTTGATCCTGTAGCCTCTGTCACCGACACACTCCTTCCACTAACCCCCAAATGATGCCCACCACTCCCTAACTGACCCCCACCACCTCCCACCCTTTCCTCCTCCTCCTCTTCCTCCTCTTCCTCCTCCTCTTCGTCTTCCCCTTCGTCTTCCTCCTCCCGCACACTTCCATCAAGCATGCTTTCACTGAGACTGTTACCACCAGGAAACCTACTCTCCACAGAACTGCTACTGGAAAACCTACTCTCACAAGCACCGCCACCGCCACCAGCAAACATGCTGTCATTGAAGCTGCTCATTCCTTGCCCACGCAGCATCTGCCTTGACAGCTGCCCCACCCTCGATGCACCAGGCGATGGGGTTTCTCTATAGGCGCCAGTCCATCCCTCGTTATAAGATCCAAGCCTTGCCTCGTTATAAGCACCACCAGACGATGCCTGCGAATCTGCCCTAGACATTGCCGACAGTGGATCCTGCCCGAAAACTGCTGCTTGTGAGTCTTTTCCAGAGAAGGATGCTTGTGGTTGTGCCGAAGCTGCAGCTTTGTGTGAATTTGCCACAGAGGCTGCCCTTAGTGCTTCTGCCCCAGTCGTGACCCTCTCTGCTGCTGCAACACGCACAGGCACGCTGGAGATTGGCGTTTGGGGCGTCTCCTCCAAAGCTGGGCCTTTGCCTTTGTCTACGGAGTGCTGTGCTGCTCTAAGCGCATCGGCCGACCTTGCATTGCTCATAAGTGCATCTCCTGAACTTGAACCCTTGATAACCATACCTGCCGACCATGCATCCCTCATAACCACTTCGCCCCCACCTGTGTTGGTCCTAGGATTCATCGACAGATGCCGAGACATACCCCTTCCAGGCGGAACCTGGTGGAGGTCTCGACTGGGCAGGTCTGTGCCTTGCAGGTTTCCACCAGACAGGTTCCCGCTAGACAGGTGCTTTCTGGGAGGAGGTTTGGAGGGGGCTTGACCGGAGGGGCTAGTGAGGCTAAAAGAGGGGTTGCTGCTGCTATACTTGAAGGTTTTGCTCTTAGAGAACGGGCGTGTGCCCGTGCGTGTAACAAGGGCTGGCGGGCGGTTGTGATGCAACGCTTGGAAACTGGATGGGCTGGTGCTGGTAGGGTCGAAAGCAGCAGGGCTGCGTTTGAAGGTCCTGCTCTTGCTGAAGGGGTGTGGAGATCGGGGAGAGAAGGCATCTGGAAAGAGTGAGGGGGTCACACCGGTAGCACCAGCGGCAGCAGCAGCAGCAGCAGCATCAGCAGCAGCAACAGCAGCGTCGGCAGTGGCAGCAATACTGATAGGAGTTGAATCTGCAGTGCCATTGGCAATGCCACGAGCACCGGAAGAGGCACCAGATGAAACTGCTGCCACTGCAGCCGCAGCTGCTGACATGCTCATCACCGATTGGCTATATCTCAAAGCCCTTCCGCTCTGGCTCTGACGTTGTTGGAATCTCACAGTGTCAGATGGGCTATTTGAGAGTATAGCCTGGATATTAGGGGTGTCATGCAGACTTGCCGCACTCCTGGTATGGCGAAGGTTCCGAGAAGATTCGAACCGCCGGAGGTTCTTCCGGGAGAAATCCGGGTGCTGAAGGTTCCGGGAAGATGCGAGGCGCTGCAGGTTCCGGGAAGCCTCCAGGCGCTGAAGGTTCCTGGGAGATTCCATGCTCGGAAGGTTCCCAACTGACCCGCGCCGGCGGTGGTGGTGGTGTTGGTGGTGTTGGTGAATACCGCTGGGAGAATCCAGTTGCTGCAGGTCCGGAACGGACCTGTTCGAGGCAGATCGACGGAGCAGCCTATCCGAACCTGGGGATGGTGATGCCATTCTGGAAGACGGTGACATCATCCCAGGGGATAGTGACGTCACTCTGGGGGCTGGTGACGTCATCCTAGGGGATGGTGACGTCACTCGGAGGGATGGTGGCATCATGCGAGGGGATGGTAATGCGAGTCGGGGGGATGGCGGTGTGAGTCTGGAGGAGGATGGTGTGGATACAGCGAGGGCAGGGAGGTCTTCGTAGGATGCTAGGTTGCGCACACGGGTCCATTCCTCTCCCTGCCAAAGAAAACACGAGTGAGAGAGAGTGTGTGAGTAAGAGTGAGAACACAGCTGCATTCCTTGTTGGGAGATCCTCGTAGGATGTTAGGTTGCGCACATCGGTCCATTCCTTTCCCTGCCAGCACAAATACGAAGGGGGGGAGAAGTGAAAGTGAGAGTGAGTGGCGGTGATGTGAATCTGAGGGACGGTGGCATAATGAGTCTGGACTGGAGGAGGATGGTGTGGATACGGCGAGAGCAGGGAGGTCCTTGTAGGATGCTAGGTTGCGCACACGGGTCCATTCCTCCCCCTGCCAAAGAGAAAAAGAGAGTGCGTGCGAGTGAGAATATCAGCGCGCATATGTATGAGTACGAGGGTGCGTGCGCATGTGTGCGAGTGAGTGTGGGGAGGAAGAAGAGGGGGGGTGGGTGGGGAATGGGAACGAAAATAATAAAAGGGCAAGATAGCCGGTCTGCACTGCATGTGGAACTTTTTTTTTCCCTTCTTTTTTTGCAAATTCTGCTCAGGTTGCTCCAAAAAATTATTCCGGAGACACATGGCTAGCAACCTCACAGAAGTTCCACAAACAAGCACCCACTCACCAGCTGAAACTCCTCCTTCAAGTTTTTTTTTGAGAATTCTAAAAAACACACAGAAGTTCCACAACCAAGCACCCACTCACCAGCTGAAACTTCTCCTTCAAGTCTGCCATTTTTGCTCGAATCGCCTCTAGCAGCGGAACAGGGGAGGCAGCAGATTCAGCCACCCTTGCTGCTGCTGCTGTTGCTCTTCCTGCTCCCACTGCTCCTCCTGCCGCTCCTCCTGCAGCTTCTCCTAAGCTACCTTCTCTAGATAAACCCGCCCCGGAAATACCTCTCCCTGATACGGTCTCCCGCCCAAACCGTTCCTCGTGGTTCAGAGGAAAGTTGCTTGCTGGAAGATCAGATTGAAATGGTGCTGTGTATATGCCTTCTGCCGTAGCAGCAGCTGCAGCTGTGGAGGAGGAGGAGGAGGATGAGGAGGAGGAGGATGAAGGGAATGCAGCAAGAGTTGAAAGCGAGATGGGGAGCTTGAAGCTTAGGTTGTGGTGAAGGAGAGAAGGAGACGGCTTTTTGGAAGTGCTTGAGAAGCTCTTTAACGAGGATAAATACTTGTGGGGGAACTGCTGGAGAGGAGGGGATGGTGTTGGCGATGGCACTGCTGCTGAATCTGAAACATCCAATGCTGCTGATGCTGCTGACGGTAATGGTGATGGTGATGGTGATGCTGCTGATGCTGATGCTGCTGATGCTGATGCCGCTGCTGCCATTGCTGGCAATGAGGCTGCTACTGAAAACGATGGCAATGCTGTTAAAGATGCTGCTGCGGCTGAAGCTGCTTCTGTGGGTGCTACTGCTGCTGCCATTGCTGCTGCCACTGCTTCTGGTGCTGCTGATAGTGCCGATGCCTCATTGCTTTTCTCTTCCTCCTCGTTCTCCTCTTCCTCCCCTTCCTCCTCTTCTTTCCTTTCCTCAACCCCCTCCTCTTCTCCATCTAATTCACATGCATTGCCTTCTGTATATTCCCTTGTTGCCACGTCACACCCCTCCTTCCCTCTACTTCTATCTGCTTCATCCGTCTCTCTACCTGCTTCATCCGTAGAAATACCCCCTTCACCCTTCTGCTTATCTGCTTCAGTACTCTCATCACCACCACTCAAATGAACCTCACCACGCGACTTACCATCACCGTCACCATCACCATCACCATCACCATCACCATCACCATCACCATCACCATCACCATCACCATCACCATCACCAGCACCAGCACCATCACCATCACCATCAACAGCATCAGTACGTGCATCCTTCCACCCACCCTCCTTCTCCACATCTGTTTCCCATGCACCACCAGCTGTCGCCCTCCTACTCAACCCCACCGCCCCTTCTGAATCCTCAGGAGCTAACCGTTCAGCCGAATCAAAAGTCACCTCCTCACCACCAATTGCCCTCTGACTCAATCCCCCCAACAGCCTTTCTAGCTCCTCTAGAGTTGACCTCCCAGTCACCTCCTCCCCACCATCCAATGACATTCGATCAAACCTCACTGCCCCCTCGTGATTGTCCCGCCACGGGCCCCCATCAATGAATCCACCAGGCTCAGTTGGCGGAGTAAGAGTGACGTCTGTCCCGACCTCCCTGAAAGCAGCATCAGGTTTCAACTCCCTGTCACCCGAACAGGCTCTCCAACAACACAGAAAGCAATACAGCGCGGAAAAGTAGAGGGGAGCTTTGTCGCATGGGAAATTCCAGGAGATTTGAGTCGACTCAAGATGAAGAAGCAACTCCAAGTCACCTCCCTCAAAGCAAGTCTCACCTCCCTAAACCTTTTCAGCAGTGCAGCACAGCAGAAAATAGAGTTGAAAGCCACAAATCAAATCACAGCGGCACATCCACCCGCCCACCCACCCACCCACCCACCCACTCGCTCACCCACCCATCTACTCGCCCACCCCCCCACCCGCCCACCTGGCCGCCCGCCTCCCCAGTCACCCACCTGTGGGCGCGGTGTCCTCGGTATATAATGATGGCGATATACGCAACACAGCACAGCAGAGAAAAGGCACCGTAGACGATCATCAGCCCAGCCATGGTGGTGGCTGATATCTGCACCTTCTCCACCATCACTGATGCTGCATTGTCACAGTTAGATGTGTTCTGATGGGGGTCGGATGGAGGGACGGTAGGGGGAAGCAGATGGAGCAAAGTGGCATGATGCGCTGCTGTAGTGATTGCAAAGATCTGCACCTTTTCCACCATCACAGACGCCGCATTGTCACAGTTGGACGTGTTCTGATGGGTGTATGTGGGGGGTTTGGGAGGGTAGAGAGTTGTGGGGTGCAGGGCAACATAATGCCCTGCCATGGTGCTGGCTGAGATCTGCACCTTCTCCATTACCACCGACGCCGCGTTGTCACAGTTGGACTTGTTCTGACTGGTGGTAGGGGAAGGGATTTGCAAGGGGGTCGGAAGGGTGGGGAGTGCGAGAGTAGGGCAAAATAAAGGGGGGATGCGCTGCTGCCATTATGAAGATTAGAGCAATCTGCACCTTCACCACCAAACAAAAGCAGCATGTCATCAGAATTATGAGAGCCACACATCAGCCAGCAGCAGCACAACACGGAGTTGGACGTGTTCTGGATACGACGGAGGGAGCAGCGAGCAGGAGGGGGATGAGGGGGGGAAGGAGGGCATAATGGCCTTCTGCCATTGTGGTGGCTGAGACCTGCACCGTCTCCACTCCACCATCACTGACGCCGCATTGTCACAGTTGCTTGTGTTCTGTGCAAGGGATACATCAAACAAGGAGGGAACAGAGGGGGTATGACAATCACTAGCCCTGCTATCGTGCTGGCTGAGATGAGATCTGCACCTTCTTCACCATCACGGACGCTGCATTGTCACAGTTAGAGGTGTTCTGATAGGGGTGGGGGTGGGGGTGGGGGAGAGTTGGGGGAATTTAAGGGGGAGAGTTGGGGGAATTTAAGGGGGAGAGTTGGGGGAATTTAAGGGGGAGAGTTGGGGGAATTTAAGGGGGAGAGTTGAGGGAATTTAAGGGGGAGAGCTGGGGGAATTTAAGGGGGAGAGTCGGGGGAATCCAAGGGGGAGAGCTGGGAGAGTTGGACGGATTCTGCTATAGTGACCATCCACAGCACAGCAATATGCAATTCCGTCACCAACAAAAGCAACACATCGTCCGCATGACAGCGAGCGACACGTCAACAGAAGCATGAGAGTAACACATCAGCAGTGACATGTCAGTGGTGACACGTCAGCGCAGCAATGACACGCAGCAGCAGCACAGCACCTTAATGTACATGCTGCGTATGCGCTGCAGCTCGCCATTTTGTGCCAACTCCAGCAGCGCTTGAGAAATGTCCGCCCCGAAGAGAGAGCCCTTTTGAAACGCCTGATGGGACCAGAGAGGGCGAAGAAAGGTGGAAGAGGAGATGAGAAGGGGAGGGATGCAAACGTCAGCTCCAGCAGCGCTTGAGAAATGTCCGCCCCGAAGAGAGAACACTTCTGGAATGCCTGATGGGAAAGGGATGACGAACAAAGGTGGAAGAAGAGATGGGAGGTAAAGGGGGAAGTAAGGAAAGGTGAGCTCCAGCAGCGCTTGGGCTTGGGAGATGTCCGCCCCGAAGAGAGAGCCCCCTTTGAAACGCCTGATTGGGGCAAACAAAGGGGGAAAGGCAGAGAGGACGACGGAAAAAAGATGAAGAGGGAGGACGGAACGCAAAGGTCAGGTCCAGCAGCGCCTGAGAGAAGAGGGAGGAGGAAGAGATGATGACAAAAGGTGGAAGAAGAGGGTGGGGAAGGGAGGGGGAGGAGGAGAGGTCTGCAAGATGTCATGTCTAGGGATGAGCAAAGGGCGAACCCGAACATGTTTGCGTTCGCCCTTGCACGAACATGGCCGTTCGGCGAACCGAACAGTGTTCGGTTTGCCGAACGACTTCCCCAAAAAAGGGTGTTCGGGTGAACCTCGGACAGTGTTAAGCTAAAAAACAAAACCTGTTCGGTTCGCCTCGAACACGTTCGTGTTCGACACGGGGCGTTCTGCAGCAGCGCCACGAACACGAACGTGTTCGGCCGAACCTCGAACAGTGTTCGGCGAACATTTTAAGCTAAAAATCAAAACCTGTTCGGTTCGCCTCGAACACGTTTGTGGCGAACCTTCTTTGCTCATCCCTAGTCATGTCCGCCCTGAAAAAAATCAAGAAAAAGCTATGGTGAAAACCCAGTGCATTGTGTGCAAGGTTTAAGTGATATCAGACCTCGCCATAGAGATAAACATCAAGATAGTGAAAATCGTAAAATTGCAGCATAACAATTCTCTTGGCGTACGCTCTTGTGTTAGATGGTTTCGAGACCTTTCATGGTTGAGAACTGTGTGACACTGTTCCAACTCCCCGGACTTCGGCTCTTGGACAACAAACTGTGAGTCATTTTCAACCCGAAATTCCATGTTAAGGCTATAGTTGTTGCATACTGTTGTTCGTTCAAAGTTCCCTAGGTCCGTCATTTTCTCTATGAAATCGATTGATTGAACCATCAAGTTTTTGAAGCTGCTCCGCAGAAATCTGACTGTGCGTTTAAGTTTTGTTGAAGTCACATTTGAGCATATTGTGACTAAAACAAACAGGAGCACAAGGCTTCAGTCGAAACAACTCGACGTATGCATGCCCAAATGCCCTCTTGTGCCCCTAGGTGCCCACTGGTGCCCAAAGAGGCACCTTGGGGAACTTTGAGGACCTGGGGACATCAAGGGGAACCTGGGGGCACCTATTTGCACCTGGGCACCTGTTTTTTGGTCCAACAAACCGGTAAACCAACTGGCTAGTTGGTCCAACAAACCGGTAAACCAACTGGCTAGTTGGTCCAATAAACCGGTGGATCAACTGCTTGTTGGTCCAACAAATCGGTGGACCAACTGGCTTGTTGGTCCGACAAACCTACATTGGACCAACTGGCTAGTTGGTCCAACAAACAGGTGGACCAACTGGCTGTTGGTCCAACAAACGGTGGACCAACTTGCTTGTTGGTCTGACAAACAGTGGACCAAATGGCTTGTTGGTCCGAAAAACGGTGGACCAACTTGCTTGTTGGTCCGACAAATCGGTGGACCAATTGGCTTGTTGGTCCAACAAAACAATGGACCAAAGGGCTAGTTGGTGGAAGAAACGGGTGGACCAACTGGCTTGTTGGTGCAAACACCCCATAGTTGCCTCTAGGTGCTCCAGACCGCCCAAGCATCTTTCAAAGGCGGAGTTGAGGATGCAAAAGGCTTGTGACGTGCTTTGCCATGCACCTAAGTGCCCAAGGCCCCAAGCGCCCCATCATCTCATGAAGGGGGAAATGAGGACGCTGAAGTGCTGTGACATGCTTTGCCTTGTACCTAAGTGCCCCCGTGCCCCCAGCGGCTCACAAAGGCGGAGTTGAGGACGTTGAAGGCCTGGGACGCGCGGAGCACTTGGCAGTACTGCGAGGCAAAGACGTTCAGGTAGGGGTCCTCGTCCACTATCAGCGCCACCTTTTGCGATGTGAGCGCGTCATAGTAGTCCCGCTCGCTGTTCAAGGGCACTAGGCGGGACTGTGGGCGAGGGATGAGGGAGGGTACATGGGTGGTGGAGCCCCAGGCAGAGGGAGACGTTCAGGTAGGGGTCCTTGTCCACTATCAGGGCCACGTGCTGAGATGTGAGCGCCTCGTAGTAGTCCTGCTCGCTGTTCAGCGGCAATAGGCGCGACTGCGGGAGAGGTGCGGGGCTAGAAAAAGGGACGGGAAGGAGAGAAGACATGAGGGCAAAGTGAAAAAAGAAAGTGCAGGGAGCAACTAGATGAGAGTACCTCATAGTAGTCCTGCTTGCTGTTCAGCGGCACTAGCCGGGACTGTGGGAAACAGAAGAGGAGGGAAGAAAGAGGGTAGAGGTGACGGCATGAGTGACCATGAGAGGGATGAGATGAGAGTGGGTATTAACACAATAGCGCTTCAAAATGGTCCTGCTAGGTGTTCAGTGGCACTAGCTAGGACTGAGAGCAAGGGACGGGAGGTTGAGTGAGGGCGAGGGAGGGCGAGGCAGAGAAGAGGAAGGTTAAGTGAGGGAAGAGAGAAGGGAGAGATGCGAGCGAGCGTGAGTGAACATGAGAGGGCATGAGGGGCATGAGCGGGAGTCCCTTTTTCCTGGAAAAGCATAGAGGGCTAGACGAGAGAGAGACGACAACTGCACAAGATAGCCATGGACAAAGGAGCCGTACTGATAGCCCACCATTACCTTGGAGGAATTTTGAGACAACTAGAAGATCGACAAAAAGATTGAACCTAACACCCAGTCATTTATCGTACCGGAGAAAACCCAAGCTGAACGAGATAGCCGTAGACAAAGGAGCCGTACTGATAGCCCACCATCACCTCGGACCCCGCCGCGTCGTATATGCTCTGCGCGGGAGAGGGGGGAGAGAGAAGGGGGGTATGAAAGGTAAGAATGAGAATGCGATTGGCAAGTAGTTGTACTGATAGCCCACCATCACCTCGGACCCCGCCGCGTCGTATATGCTCTGCGCGGGAGAGGGGGGAGAGAGAAGGGGGGTATGAAAGGTAAGAATGAGAATGCGATTGGCAAGTAGTTGTACTGATAGCCCACCATCACCTCGGACCCCGCCGCGTCGTATATGCTCTGCGCGGGAGAGGGGGGAGAGAGAAGGGGGGTATGAAAGGTAAGAATGAGAATGCGATTGGCAAGTAGTTGTACTGATAGCCCACCATCACCTCGGACCCCGCCGCGTCGTATATGCTCTGCGCGGGAGAGGGGGGAGAGAGAAGGGGGGTATGAAAGGTAAGAATGAGAATGCGATTGGCAAGTAGTTGTACTGATAGCCCACCATCACCTCGGACCCCGCCGCGTCGTATATGCTCTGCGCGGGAGAGGGGGGAGAGAGAAGGGGGGTATGAAAGGTAAGAATGAGAATGCGATTGGCAAGTAGTTGTACTGATAGCCCACCATCACCTCGGACCCCGCCGCGTCGTATATGCTCTGCGCGGGAGAGGGGGGAGAGAGAAGGGGGGTATGAAAGGTAAGAATGAGAATGCGATTGGCAAGTAGTTGTACTGATAGCCCACCATCACCTCGGACCCCGCCGCGTCGTATATGCTCTGCGCGGGAGAGGGGGGAGAGAGAAGGGGGGTATGAAAGGTAAGAATGAGAATGCGATTGGCAAGTAGTTGTACTGATAGCCCACCATCACCTCGGACCCCGCCGCGTCGTATATGCTCTGCGCGGGAGAGGGGGGAGAGAGAAGGGGGGTATGAAAGGTAAGAATGAGAATGCGATTGGCAAGTAGTTGTACTGATAGCCCACCATCACCTCGGACCCCGCCGCGTCGTATATGCTCTGCGCGGGAGAGGGGGGAGAGAGAAGGGGGGTATGAAAGGTAAGAATGAGAATGCGATTGGCAAGTAGTTGTACTGATAGCCCACCATCACCTCGGACCCCGCCGCGTCGTATATGCTCTGCGCGGGAGAGGGGGGAGAGAGAAGGGGGGTATGAAAGGTAAGAATGAGAATGCGATTGGCAAGTAGTTGTACTGATAGCCCACCATCACCTCGGACCCCGCCGCGTCGTATATGCTCTGCGCGGGAGAGGGGGGAGAGAGAAGGGGGGTATGAAAGGTAAGAATGAGAATGCGATTGGCAAGTAGTTGTACTGATAGCCCACCATCACCTCGGACCCCGCCGCGTCGTATATGCTCTGCGCGGGAGAGGGGGGAGAGAGAAGGGGGGTATGAAAGGTAAGAATGAGAATGCGATTGGCAAGTAGTTGTACTGATAGCCCACCATCACCTCGGACCCCGCCGCGTCGTATATGCTCTGCGCGGGAGAGGGGGGAGAGAGAAGGGGGGTATGAAAGGTAAGAATGAGAATGCGATTGGCAAGTAGTTGTACTGATAGCCCACCATCACCTCGGACCCCGCCGCGTCGTATATGCTCTGCGCGGGAGAGGGGGGAGAGAGAAGGGGGGTATGAAAGGTAAGAATGAGAATGCGATTGGCAAGTAGTTGTACTGATAGCCCACCATCACCTCGGACCCCGCCGCGTCGTATATGCTCTGCGCGGGAGAGGGGGGAGAGAGAAGGGGGGTATGAAAGGTAAGAATGAGAATGCGATTGGCAAGTAGTTGTACTGATAGCCCACCATCACCTCGGACCCCGCCGCGTCGTATATGCTCTGCGCGGGAGAGGGGGGAGAGAGAAGGGGGGTATGAAAGGTAAGAATGAGAATGCGATTGGCAAGTAGTTGTACTGATAGCCCACCATCACCTCGGACCCCGCCGCGTCGTATATGCTCTGCGCGGGAGAGGGGGGAGAGAGAAGGGGGGTATGAAAGGTAAGAATGAGAATGCGATTGGCAAGTAGTTGTACTGATAGCCCACCATCACCTCGGACCCCGCCGCGTCGTATATGCTCTGAAAAGATCAGTGGGAAACAGGGAAGGGAGAAAAATACGAGACTGATATGCTGGCAGAAGGCAAGTAGTTGTACTGATAGCCCACCATCACCTCGGACCCCGCCGCGTCGTATATGCTCTGCGCGGGAGAGGGGGGAGAGAGAAGGGGGGTATGAAAGGTAAGAATGAGAATGCGATTGGCAAGTAGTTGTACTGATAGCCCACCATCACCTCGGACCCCGCCGCGTCGTATATGCTCTGCGCGGGAGAGGGGGGAGAGAGAAGGGGGGTATGAAAGGTAAGAATGAGAATGCGATTGGCAAGTAGTTGTACTGATAGCCCACCATCACCTCGGACCCCGCCGCGTCGTATATGCTCTGCGCGGGAGAGGGGGGAGAGAGAAGGGGGGTATGAAAGGTAAGAATGAGAATGCGATTGGCAAGTAGTTGTACTGATAGCCCACCATCACCTCGGACCCCGCCGCGTCGTATATGCTCTGCGCGGGAGAGGGGGGAGAGAGAAGGGGGTATGAAAGGTAAGAATGAGAATGCGATTGGCAAGTAGTTGTACTGATAGCCCACCATCACCTCGGACCCCGCCGCGTCGTATATGCTCTGCGCGGGAGAGGGGGGAGAGAGAAGGGGGGTATGAAAGGTAAGAATGAGAATGCGATTGGCAAGTAGTTGTACTGATAGCCCACCATCACCTCGGACCCCGCCGCGTCGTATATGCTCTGCGCGGGAGAGGGGGGAGAGAGAAGGGGGGTATGAAAGGTAAGAATGAGAATGCGATTGGCAAGTAGTTGTACTGATAGCCCACCATCACCTCGGACCCCGCCGCGTCGTATATGCTCTGCGCGGGAGAGGGGGGAGAGAGAAGGGGGGTATGAAAGGTAAGAATGAGAATGCGATTGGCAAGTAGTTGTACTGATAGCCCACCATCACCTCGGACCCCGCCGCGTCGTATATGCTCTGCGCGGGAGAGGGGGGAGAGAGAAGGGGGGTATGAAAGGTAAGAATGAGAATGCGATTGGCAAGTAGTTGTACTGATAGCCCACCATCACCTCGGACCCCGCCGCGTCGTATATGCTCTGCGCGGGAGAGGGGGGAGAGAGAAGGGGGGTATGAAAGGTAAGAATGAGAATGCGATTGGCAAGTAGTTGTACTGATAGCCCACCATCACCTCGGACCCCGCCGCGTCGTATATGCTCTGCGCGGGAGAGGGGGGAGAGAGAAGGGGGGTATGAAAGGTAAGAATGAGAATGCGATTGGCAAGTAGTTGTACTGATAGCCCACCATCACCTCGGACCCCGCCGCGTCGTATATGCTCTGAAAAGATCAGTGGGAAACAGGGAAGGGAGAAAAATACGAGACTGATATGCTGGCAGAAGGCAAGTAGTTGTACTGATAGCCCACCATCACCTCGGACCCCGCCGCCTTGTAAATGCTCTGTGAGAGAGGGAGATGGGGAAGCGGGGGTGTGATGGGTAGCGTGAGGGAGGAAGAGAGAGAGAATGGAGAGAGAAAGGGTGTCAAAACTCGGAATCACAAGTGGAACGCACATTTAAATCGATTGTCAAAACTCGGAATTGGAAGAAATCGATTAGCAGCTCAGAAAATTTGAGAAAAAAGAAAGAAAGAAAGAAAGAAAGAAAGAAAGAAAGAAAGAAAGAAAAGAAAGCAGGGACGTACGGATATTGGGAGCTGTAGCTTCTGGAGAACGAGAGCAGCAGTGAGGGCGGCAACATAGGAGCAGGAGACGACAATCATGAGCGCAAACCACGTGACTGTGAGGAGACGACCCAGAGACGTCTTGACTATGCCCCTCACTGATGACAGTAGAGGAGGAGGGGGGGAGTGGGGGGAAGGAGAGAAGGGAAAGAGAGATGAGAGCAACAGTGAGGGCAGCACTGTAGACACTAGAGACGACATGCCAGTACTGAGGGCGGACCAAGTGGAAAATACAACTGCAAAGTTCTTCTGACCACGCGATAAAAGTGATATTTTGAGGTGTCTCAAAATTGAACCACAAAGTTCTAACTTTTTTTTCCCCCAAAAAACGTGCTGCCAAAAGTTTAAATGCCACATGACGCTGCATTGTGCGCAACGATGGACTCAGGCAGTTGGTTACAGGTAGCTGGCTGGTTACAGTTGGTTACAGTTGGTTGCAACATCGCTGTTCACTTCATACCTTTTGCGAATCCAACAGGTGCAAAGGACATCCTGCACTCACACACCAAAATAGAGAGCGAAAGCGGGAGGGAAACCAGAAGTAACTTGATGCAGCTCATGCAGGTATTGACTACATAAATGTTCCATATGTGCAGGTACTCCCTACAGCTAGACCTCTGATCGAAGCATTTCCCTCCCCTCATACACACCACATGGTATGTTCCAACCCATCCCACACACCCACTATACGTCCTCGCAAAAAATCACCCATAATAACCCCTCGTCCCATATTTCCCCCACCCACCAGATGTCCTCCCCTCACACCCACCCACCATATGTACGACATGACTTCTTGATGCGGCCGGTCATGCTCCCGCCGCAGCAGGTGCACTCCCCTCATACACACCGCACCACCCCATATGTGTATGCTATGCATCAATACTATATGCATGATCCTCCCCTCCCCTCACACGCGCCCACCGTACGACATGACTTCTTGGTGAGGCCGGTCATACTCCCACCATATGACTTTTGAGGCGCCTCAAAAGTCACCGTATTTCACCCACACCATATGTCCTCCCTACCATATGTCCTCCCTCTTCCACCCACCCACCCACCCACCCACCATATGTAAGACATGACTTCTTGGTGTGGCCGGTCAAACTCCCGCCGCAACAGGTGCGCAGGGTGGGAACTTTCCAGGAAGCAGAGCACAAGGCCGGTGAAAACAATTAGGCAGGCAATGAGCAGCCACATTTGCCAGGAAAATGGGCGATAGGAGATCCAGGGGTTGTCGTTTGGTGCTACATAGGACACCAGGCTCAGCCCTGATTGCTGCTCGGGTGGTGGAGGAGGAGAGGGGGGGTTGGGGTGGGGGGAGGGGAAGATGGGAAGAGGGGAAGAGGGAAAGAGGAATGGGGGAAGGGGAGGGGATTTAGAAGAATGGAAGAGGAGGAGGAAGCAGGAGAAGGGGAGGAGGAAGCAGGAGAAGGGGAGGAGGAGGGAGCAAGGGAGGGGGGAGGAGGCCAGTGAATGAGATGAGACAAGTGAGCAGCAGCCACACTTGCCAGGAGAGGGGGCAGTAGAGGGGACAGTTGGAGATTCAAGGGTTGTGAGAGTGATATTATGAGAGAGTGACAATGTGGGTGCATGATGCCGTGTGGAAGTGAGAATGTGGTAGCGAGACGAGTCACGAAAGTATGAGGCAGCACGTGATGAGATAACGTACTGACTTTTGAGTCGACACTGACTTTTGAGTCGACTCAAAATAGATGAGATAACGTACCTGGATGGGGGCAGTGAAATCGACGGCTTCGCTGCGGAAATTGAGCACCGCAATGTCTCCAATGGCACCGTCGTATGTCTGCAGGGAGCACACAATTGAGAAAAAACTGAGCAACGTCTCAATGTCTCCGATTTTGAGCAACGAGCACCGCAATGTCCCCAATGGCACCGTCGTATGTCTGCAGCAGTGCACCCCCACACCAAAAGACATGGCACGCACACAACAGACATGGCACACACATGCACATGCGCATCACACGTGGCACGCACAGCACCACGCATGCACGCATGCACACAAGCATGCGAACATCAGGCAATGGGAGCAGCTGATCAGAGAGTGATGGTGTGCGATTGAAGGTGCAGGCAACCCCATACTGCAGAAACTCACGTGCGAGCACGACTGCACAAACTCACTTGCGACATACACATGCATACGCATGCCACTCACATTGTTCGCCACAGCATAGACCATCTCAGTGTAACTAGGAGTGGCATCGCCCTCCCCAAACTGCATGAACTCGTACAACAGCTCGTAAGGCACTGTGTCACACACGCGCATCACACTTACATTGTTCGCCACAGCATACACCATCTCAGAGTAACTCGGAGTGGCATCTCCCTCCCCAAACTGCATGAACTCGTACGACAGCTCGTAAGGCAGCCGCGCCACTGCCGCCCGGAACAGATCCAGACAAAACCCCGTGAAGCGGTCGTTTCCCTGAGCGGCGGTGGGTGGCAGGATCTCGACAAACTGGTTGTAGCCTTTCTTGTTCGGCACGGCTATGCGCAGCGGGTCCTGCTGACGAGCGAGCCACCCGGAGGGAGCCTGGAGGGAAGGAGGAGGGGGCATAAGAGAAGAAAGAGATGACATAACAGAAGGGTCTCGACAAACTGGTTGTAGCCTTTCTTGTTGGGCACGGCTATGCGCAGCGGGTCCTGCTGACGAGCCAGCCACCCGGAGGGAGCCTGGAGGGAAGGAGGAGGGGGCATAAGAGAAGAAAGAGATGACATAACAGAAGGGTCTCGACAAACTGGTTGTAGCCTTTCTTGTTGGGCACGGCTATGCGCAGCGGGTCCTGTTGGCGTGCCAGCCACCCGGAGGGAGCCTGGAGGGAAGGAGAGAAGGAGGGAGAGGAGAGGAGGAAGAGAAGAGATGAGCTTGGTTGTAGCCTTTCTTGTTCGGCACGGCGATACGCAGCGGGTCCTGTTGGCGTGCCAGCCACCCTGAGGGGGCCTGGAGGGACGAAGGGAGGAGTAGGGGTGATATGAGGAAGCATTGCACTTTCAAACTGGTTGTAGCCTTTCTTGTTCGGCACGGCTATCCGCAGCGGGTCCTGTGGTCGGGCCAGCCACCCTGAGGGAGGCTGGAGAGGGAAGGAGAGGAGGAGGGAGAGGAGAGGAGGAAGAGAAGAGATGAGCTTGGTTGTAGCCTTTCTTGTTCGGCACGGCGATACGCAGCGGGTCCTGTTGGCGTGCCAGCCACCCTGAGGGGGCCTGGAGGGACGAAGGGAGGAGTAGGGGTGATATGAGGAAGCATTGCACTTTCAAACTGGTTGTAGCCTTTCTTGTTCGGCACGGCTATCCGCAGCGGGTCCTGTGGTCGGGCCAGCCACCCTGAGGGAGGCTGGAGAGGGAAGGAGAGAAGGAGGGAGAGGAGAGGAGGAAGAGAAGAGATGAGCTTGGTTGTAGCCTTTCTTGTTTGGCACGGCTATCCGCAACGGGTCCTGCTGGCGGGCCAGCCACCCGAAGGGAGCCTGGAGGGAAGGAGAGAAGAAAGGAGGGGGAAGACGGAAGGAGGGAAAGGCGGAAGGGGAAGAGATGCATTTGGCTGTTAGCAGACTGAACTGTAGTGTAGCCGTGCAGAGATGACATCACGTTGCTATGTGCAAAATTAAGACCCAGCGAGGTTTTGCACACCATACAAGCCCCCCATTAATATGTGATAACACTGAAGAGTTTCATGCTGACCATATCAAGGTTGCCCGGGAACAGAGGTGACTTTTGAGCCGACTGAAAAGTCGACTCATGAGCGGATTTTTGAAAATTCTCATGAGTCGGCTCAAAAGTCACCAAACTGAAGAGTTCCACTCCACACTGACCTTGTCAAGATTGCCCGGGAACAGCAGGTTGAGGGTGGTAGAGCTATTGGCCTGCACGGCAGGGGCTAGTGGGTCCTGCAGGCAGGGAGAGAAGAGGTCGGCGGGAGAATGGGGCAGGCAGGGAGAGAATGGGGCAGGGGGAGAAAGGGCCGGGGGAGAATGGGGCAGGGAGAGAGAGGAGGCATGATGGGATGAGGCGCATGATGATGAGAAGTGTGTCTTTGACAAATCCGGAGAAGCGGTCTCTCTCTCTCTCACAATCCTGCCAGCTACGCTGACTCACATCGGAGGTAGTGAAGCCCTTGCCCATGCGCCAATACCCAGCAGTGACGAACTCGCTGCCCCGCACGTTCAGCAGCTGCACCGACCCGTCCTTCACATCCCCCTCCGGGGTGAGCCGCACCCTGTAGTGCGTGGGTGCGAGGGTGGGGGAAAAAGAGCAAGTCAAGAAATGTCTGAACAGAAGCACCACATCACAAAGACAAACTCACTGCCCCGCACGTTCAGCAGCTGCACCGACCCGTCCTTCACATCCCCCTCCGGGGTCAGCTGCACCCTGCAGTGCAGTGCATATGGTGAGTGGGTGGGAGGGTGGGTGGGGGAAACGGAGCAATACTTCAGATGTCTCAAAGCAAGAGGCGCGGTACCACAGGAACAAAATCACTGCCCCGCACGTCTGGGGCCCTTCACATCCCCCTCCGGGGTAAGCCACACCCTGTAGTAGTGCACATGGTGAGTGGGTGGGAGGGTGGAGGGAAATAAGCAAGTCCTGAGACATCTCAAACGCAATAACTGATGGCCATGAACCTGCTGCTGCCCCTCACGTGTCAACTACACACCTCCCTACCTCACCCACTCACCTGCCTGTGGCGTCCACTCACCCACTCACCCTTACCGGCCTCATCTGCCTGGAGCAGCGCATCCTTCAGCAGCGGCCCAAATGGGGGAAGCAAGGTGGCTTTTGAGTCAACTCAGCGACTTGAAGTCAGCTCAAAGTCACAAGTCAGCTTGTGGTCATCCTTTCGGCCCTCCCTCACCTGCCTGTGGCGCCCATTACAGACGCCTGGAGCAGCGCATCCCGCAGCAGTGGCCCAACTGAGGGAAACAGGGAGGCTTGCTTTTGACTGCATAAGGCAAACAGTCACCATGCTTGCACTAACCCTTTGGGCCCTCCCTCACCTGCCTGTGGCGCCCATTACGGACGCCTGGAGCAGCGCATCCCGCAGCAGTGGCCCAACTGCGGAGGGAAGAAAGGTGGTGGGGGAAGAAAGGTGGTGGGTGGGTGGGTGGGTGGGCGGTTGGGTGGGATGAAGTATGCATGAGGGATGAAGGAACAGGGCCGGTGGCTAGGAGGTTATGTGTGCGTGTGGTGGTGGGTGAGGGGAGGGGTGAGTGGGAAGGGGGTACGATAGGGGTTTGGTCAAAGGAGGAGAAGGGAAAGAAGAGAACGAGGTAGGACGAAGCCCCATTCAGGCAATCACACAAGCCACACTCGCAATTGCTCCTTTGAGGCGTCAAAAAAACTCACTCACTTCACGTGGACACTCACAATTGCTCCTGGCCGCGCCAGCGAGAATGGGGATGAGAGAGCTGGCAGGATCACCAGGCGCAAACACAGGCATGGGCACACATGACACTGACCCCCACTCACACCGCACTCAACCCACTCACACCGCACTCAACCCACTGACACCGCACTCAAGCCACACTCACAATTGCTCCTGGCAGCGCCAGCAAGAATGGGGATGAGAGAGCTGGCAGGATCACCAGGCGCAAACACAGGCATGGGCACACATGACCCCCACTCACACCGCACTCAACCCACTCACACCGCACTCAAGCCACACTCACAATTGCTCCTGGCTGCGCCAGCGAGAAGGGGGATGAGAGAGCTGGCAGGATCACCAGGGGCCACCACAGGCATGGACACATGAGTCCACGTGCCAGGCTCCTGGCCAGCAGCGGAACTGTTACTAACGAGGACAGAACTAGCAGCAGCGCCACTCCCACCACCAGCACCAACGTCACCAGCAGCGCCACCAGCAGTACCAGCGGCACGAGCAACACCACCACTCCCATCCCCTGGGAAACTCCCACTGCCGGCCCCATCCTCGTTATAAGCTCCTGGGCCTTGGGACGGAGGTATGGGCTCGACCAGAGCGTTTTGGGAGTCGGTGCTGTCAGTGGCGTCCCCAGATAGCACGTTGTGCACTGCCTGAGCCACCAGCAGCAGGGCATCGTATGCTGCTAGTGAATACACGTCCGCCTGAGGATGTGGGGTGGGTGGGGCAAGAGAGAGTAGGGCATCAGGTCAATGGTGCTTGAGGTAAGCACTAGCAGCACAGCACCACTCCCTGCCACTGGGAACCTCCCAGTTTCGTTATAAGCTCCTGGGCCTTGGGACGGAGGTATGGGCTCGACCACAGCATTCTGAGAGTCGGCGCCGTCGATGGCGTCGCCTGTGAGCCCGTTGTGCACCGCCTGTGCCACCAGCAGCAGGGCGTCGTATGCTGCCAGTGAATACACGTCCGCCTGGAGTGAGAGGAGGGGTGGAAGGAAAAGGGAGAGCAGGGCATCAGGGCGTTGCTTAAGAGCCTGTGCCACCAGCAGGAGGGCGTGGTATGCTGCCATGGAATACACGTCCGCCTGGAGTGAGAGGAGGGGTGAAAGGAGAAGAGAGAGCTGGTGCTGTCAGTGGCGTCGCCAGATAGCACGTTGTGCACTGCCTGTGCCACCAGGAGCAGCGCATCATATGCTGCTAGTGAATACACGTCCGCCTGAAGTGAAGGGGGAAGTAACCGGGGGGGAGGATGGTTGAACGAGGGATGTAGGGAAGAGTAAAGCATGAAGACAGCGGAATTTAAGGGGTGCTCCTAATACTACTCGCAGCTTTGATTACTCTCACCTTGGCAGATGTGGGCCCTTCCTGCCCCGACATGTGCTCCTTCCACTCTGCTCGGAAGACCATGAGAGCAGGCGAGGGCGGCACAAAAGATGCCATGGATATGAGGCCCTGCCAGTGGGGAGAGGAGGGGGAGAGGGGGAAGAGGTGAGAGGGAAAGAAGGCAACAATGCATGGCACGCATGAGAAGCGGGGAAGCAAGAGCATGAACCACAGGGCGGTACACAGGACGCCCTGGATATGAGGCCCTGCCACGGATGAGAGAGCAGAACGAACGGGCAGAGGAGAATGAGAGATGACCACGTGGGAGAGGAGTGGAGTGGAGTGGAGACTACACTGAGAGGGAGGCACGGACGCGGTATCATGTATATCACATATCATGCATATCACATAACATGTATGTACCATATGATGAATGTACCTGCACTTGCGGCATGAAGGAGGCAGTGGCGCCATCGTATGTGAAGGATTGGAGAGACGTGGGCTCCGTGGTGATCCACACGTAGCCTCGACTGAACATTCCCAGCTCCACCGCTGGTGAAGGAAAGGAGGGCGGGAAAGGCAGGAGGGAGTAACGGAAGATAGGTGTGGAGTGAGTAGTTGAAGAGGTGGGCTCCGTGGTGATCCACAGGTAGCCTCGACTGAACTGAACATGCCCAGCTCCACCGCTGGTGGAAGCACGAGGGGCGAAAGGCAGGGATATGAGTAAGGTTGGTTGGTGGTGGTAGAGCATGGAGTGAGTGACTAAGGGGAGGTGGGTTCAGTGTTGATCCAGACATAACCCCAGCTGATCATGCCCTATCCCCAGCGCATACCTGCTTTGAGCACAGCTTAATCAGACCCATCGTCCCCCACCCCCTTGGATGATCCTAACTGACGTGTGCGTGCACTGCATATGGTTGTAGCAGCTGCAACAGCACGTCTACATACAGTGTACCACCATATAGCACAGCATGTACCTGCTTTCAGCACGGTGTCAGGGCCATCGCCCCCTGCATGGATAACCATGACTGACGTGTCACTTTGCTGCACTTGATTTATGTGCAGGTGCGTCTACATGCGGTGTACCCACTACCTTCCTACAGCAGGTCTACGTACCTACGTACAGCAGGTACCGATGCCCAGTAGTGCGCACCTGCTTTGAGCACGGCGTCAGGGCCGTCGCCCCCTGCGTGGATGATCATGACTGACGTGCGCACTTGCTGCAGCTGCTCCAGGGAGGAACGTGCGTCGTCATACTCCTTCCCGCGCTTCAGCGCCACTCGTGCTACCACTGGGTGTTGCCAGCCCTGGTGGAGTGAGGGGAGAGTGAGGAGGGATACACGTCGTCTTACTCCAGAGAGGAACACTCATCGTCATACTCCTTCCCGCGTTTCAGTGCCACGCGTGCTGCCACTGGGTGTTGCCAGCCCTGGTGGAGTGAGGGGAGAGTGAGGAGGGATACACGTCGTCTTACTCCAGAGAGGAACACTCATCGTCATACTCCTTCCCGCGTTTCAGTGCCACTCGAGCTACCACTGGGTGTTGCCAGCCCTGGTGGAGCGGGGAGATGGGATGGGATAGACAGTAAGAAGTGACTGGGAGTTGTCTCAGCCACTCCAGAGAGGAACGTGCGTCGTCATACTCCTTTCCGCGCTTCAGCGCCACTCGTGCTACCACTGGGTGTTGCCAGCCCTGGTGGAGTGAGGGGAGAGTGAGGAGGGATACACGTCGTCTTACTCCAGAGAGGAACACTCATCGTCATACTCCTTCCCGCGTTTCAGTGCCACGCGTGCTGCCACTGGGTGTTGCCAGCCCTGGTGGAGTGAGGGGAGAGTGAGGAGGGATACACGTCGTCTTACTCCAGAGAGGAACACTCATCGTCATACTCCTTCCCGCGTTTCAGTGCCACTCGAGCTACCACTGGGTGTTGCCAGCCCTGGTGGAGCGGGGAGATGGGATGGGATAGACAGTAAGAAGTGACTGGGAGTTGTCTCAGCCACTCCAGAGAGGAACGTGCGTCGTCATACTCCCTCCCGCGCTTCAGTGCCACTCGTGCTACCACTGGGTGTTACCAGCCCTGGTAAAGAGGGGAGATGGGATAGACAGTAAGAAAGTGACTGGGAGTTGTCTCAGCCACTCCAGGGAGGAATGTGCGTCGTCATACTCCTTCCCGCGCTTCAGTGCCACTCGTGCTACCACTGGGTGTTGCCAGCCCTGGTAAAGAGGGGAGATGGGATAGACAGTAAGAAAGTGACTGGGAGTTGTCTCAGCCACTCCAGGGAGGAATGTGCGTCGTCATACTCCTTCCCGCGCTTCAGTGCCACTCGTGCTACCACTGGGTGTTGCCAGCCCTGGTAAAGAGAGGGGAGATGGGATAGACAGTAAGAAAGTGACTGGGAGTTGTCTCAGCCACTCCAGGGAGGAACGTGCGTCGTCATACTCCTTCCCGCGCTTCAGTGCCACTCGTGCTACCACTGGGTGTTGCCAGCCCTGGTAAAGAGAGGGGAGATGGGATAGACAGTAAGAAAGTGACTGGGAGTTGTCTCAGCCACTCCAGGGAGGAACGTGCGTCGTCATACTCCCTCCCGCGCTTCAGTGCCACTCGTGCTACCACTGGGTGTTGCCAACCCTGGTAAAGAGAGGGGAGATGGGATAGACAGTAAGAAAGTGACTGGGAGTTGTCTGAGCCACTCCAGGGAGGAACGTGCGTCGTCATACTCCTTCCCGCGCTTCAGTGCCACTCGTGCTACCACTGGGTGTTGCCAGCCCTGGTAAAGAGAGGAGGCGGAGATAGACGAGGGTGCGTGCACATCACAGAACGGTGAGACCTCAGACGCAGCGTCCGAAATGCAGGACGCGTCTTCTGCAACATAGCCACCCGATAACCCACTAATCTCCATCTCCTTATCCATTCTAACGTTTATTCTGCAGTTCGAAGCGCCCCAAACATCTCATCTGTATCGACTACTCATCAGCATTGCTACTGCTCATTCCACACCAGAAGCTGCCTACCCATCGGTTCTGCAGAATGTTCTCGAGAACGCTGATGCCGTTCCGCCCAAACCGGTCGTCTGTGAAGATGGCAACGAAGTGCTTGTAGCGATACAGCGCCAGGAGATCTGTGTGGAGCAGGAATGGTCAAGTGGACGAGGGGAAGAGAGAGAGAAAAAAAGGTGGGGTAGCAAGCAATGCCGGCTATTCCTCCGCCAGCTCTTGTCATTGCATAATGGGTGCCACTCACCAGCGACTGCCTCCATCTTTGGTGGCGCCGCGTAGCTGGGCCACTGGCGGGAGGTGGTGAGTGGGGGAGGGGTGGCGTAGTATGCTCCAAAAAGGCCAGCAAGAACCAGCCATCCTATTCCCGCTAGCTATTGCCATCCCATCCCAGTAGGAACATCACCCACCTGCGATTGCTTCCATTTTTGTAGCGTCGCTAGGAACAGTGCGCATGAAGTAGGGCCACTGGCGCGAGGTGGTGAGGAGGGGGTCAGTGGCGGAGTAGGAGAGCAGGGGGATGCGCGTTGTGCCCGCCAGCCCGCTCAGCAGCGCCACCTGGCTCGATGTGGTGGGGCCTATGATGGCTATTGGCTTTTCCTGCAGCATCAGGTGCAGGCCTGGGGGGGGAAGGGGAGGAGGGGAGGGGGGGAGGAGGGGAAGACGGGAGAGGGGGATAAGGGGAGGGTTTCTGTGTCTCTGATCAAGGAACCAGGAAGGGTTCTTTCTGAGGCTTGAGGTGGTGAGGAGGGGGTCGGTGGCGGAGTAGGAGAGCAGGGGGATGCGCGTTGTGCCCGCCAGCCCGCTCAGCAGCGCCACCTGGCTGCTCGTGGTGGGGCCTATGATGGCAATTGGCTTTTCCTGCAGCATCAGGTGCAGGCCTGTTGGGGGGGAGGGGAGGAGGGGAGGAGGGGGGTTGGGGAGAAGAGAGGAGGGAAGGAGGTGAAAGGGAGAAGAGTTTCTGAGGGAAAGGAACCAGGAAGGTTCTTTTGAGAGGCGCGAGGTGGTGAGGAGGGGGTCGGTGGCTGAGTAGGAGAGCAGGGGGATGGAGGCTTGTGGGGAGGGAGAGGGGAGGGGAAGAGGTGGGGAGGAGGGACCTCTGAGTCGACTTGGCTTGATGTAAAATGCCTCCATTGCCTACTTCTTCTTCGTTATTTCTTTCAGTTTTCTGTTTCCTTCACTTGTTGTCTGAGTCGACTCGACTTCTGCGTGTGTAATTAGGCGCTCTGCTGCGCACCTGCCATTTGGCCGGGGAAGGGCGTGTATGTGCAGTTGGCTTTTGAGATCTCTCAAAATTTCACATCACAAAGGACCGTGTGTGTTATTAGCTGTTCTGCGCACCTGCCATTTGGCCGGGGAAGGGCGTGTATGTGCAGTTGGCTGCAACCAGCCTGATTTTGAGTCGACTAAGGACCATGTGTTCATCTGCTGCTCTGCGTACCTGCCATTTGGCCGGGGAAGGGCGTGTATGTGCAGTTGGCTGCAACCAGCCTGATTTTGAGTCGACTAAGGACCATGTGTTCATCTGCTGCTCTGCGTACCTGCCATTTGGCCGGGGAAGGGTGTGTATGTGCAGTTGGCTGCGACCAGCCTGATTTTGACGCCGGGTAGAAGCGAGGGATCCTGGCTCACATGATGAACCGCCAGTTGAATGGCTGTTCACGGGTGGTCAGAAGGGCGGATGGAAGGGGAGGTGGCGGGAATGAGCAGAGGAAAGGCGAGTAGGTGCAGTCGGCTGCGACCAGCTTGATTGTGACGCCGAGGAGAAGCGAGGAATCCTGGCTCGCATGATGAACCGCCAGCTGAATGGCTGCAGAGGGATGAAAATGGGTTCAAGGTGGTCAACGTGCGGTATTAAGTATTGAAATAGAGGGGGATGGGTGGCCAGGTTGAGAGAGGGATAGGTGGAATCCAAAGGGGAGAGAGCGATGGGTTGAAGACGGGGGGAGAAGGAGAGAGATGGGTGGAAGGAGGAATTATGACTGCAGGAGGGGGGGGGGGGGGGGGGGGGGGGGGGGGGGAAGAGGAGTCCTCAGGCCTCAAACGACGGACGCGGAATGTTGGCGGAATTCAAAACTGGCGTCAGATACAAATTACAACTGAGCGCGACGGAGGTCTTATCAAATCCTTCAGTGCAAATGAGCGTTGGTCAGGAGCAATTGTCGCCCGACGACTGACATGTGGATGATAATTTACACTCGGGTGAGTGACTTTTAGGTACTAGGTCCCATTTTTGACCGACGAGGTACCCGTAATTTACGCAACGAAAAATGAAGCTTATGATTGACAGTCTGCATGATTTCAATCAGTCCGAATACGAATACGATGGTCAACGACGTTCACGCGACGCAATCTCATCACCAAGGCTGACAATTTCTATAAGACCTGATCGGAAAGGGTAACCCGGTAACCGGAATGCACCGAAATGCACATCATGGAGTAGATCTTCTGACCGGGAACCGCTAGAGGTCAACCCGACCGGCAAATGCCTAGATGGTGGCCAATAAAGAAAGCTCGTGAGCTCAACGAGAGACGTTGTTACTGAATCTGACATCGTTACTGCGAGACTACAATGGTTCCTGAATCTGGAGCCGCATTCGGTCCTCGCGTCTCACCGGAAAAGAAGGAAACCCCGTCGGCCGTGTCGAGCGGAACGAGGCATCCTATCGTTATCTCTGACGGAAAATTGCTCTTCTTGGACGGTAACTTTGACGGAACGTTATCATCTCGAGCCTCTACCGCTTCTCGCTGCTGCCTGACAGGAACGTCAGCCGAAACGTCCTTGCGAGTTGAAGCAAGGAGGAAAACAAGCGCTATCTGGAGCAGAAACCAAGCCTGCGGCGACCTCGAAGGTCGATGTCGTCTTGACATCCTGGCATTCTCCTGACGGAGCTTGTTCGGCTGAAATAATATTGACCCGAACGGGCAAAAAGTAAGTTATCGACGTCCAGGGTGGAACCTTGGGAACCTCGCGGCCATGAAAGTAAAAAGAAGATAGAAAGTTATCGAAGATGTGGCTGCCTGCTGCTATACTCAGTGAACTACAGCGATGTTAGCTGTTCTAACCACACCTATTCACAATGTCACTCTTGCTTGGTCTCTACATTGTTGTTTCCTTCACGTGCAAGCTTCAAGTGTCAGCATGAAGTGTAGCATACGCAGGGGTCTCAAAATGGAATGGCTACAGAACTGCAAAGAAGACGGACTGTTCCCCTTTCTCAACATTCTGCTTTCTAAGTTTCCCGCATGATCTGTTGGAGGACGTCAACGGCATCCGCAAGTATGCAACCCGCAAGAGCCGTCCTTACTGAACTCTTTTGGCGACTTCAGCGTTCAGCTGAATAAGAACCGGAAGAAAAAACCCACTGTCAAACAGCTTCAAGCCCTGCCCGAATACACAAACTGTTGCACTGCAGTCCGATTCGTCAAATAAAGCGGGTCAGTCCGTCCGGATTCCAGGACTGGTCGAAACCAAGCCGAGGTGGTCGGTTGGGGCACAGTTCGGTGGGATTCGAATATCTCGGTGTACACTCGCTAGTAACATTCCGTTTCTCAAACTAACAACGCAATAACCACTCTTAAAGCGGCGGTATACATTTGGCAGGGCCTGTGCCAAAAGTTTATAAAAGGTAACTTGGTGGTGACCGAGTTACAAGCCCACTCAAGTTCTGTCACGAGCGACGGTTCCCAAGTGTTCCCAACTCCCCTCACAAGCCGAGGCCACTCAATTGTCGAAAGTTTATACATGCCAAAAGTATACTGAAGGAGTTGCCTCCTCGCACTAGCCCCAAGCATTCTCGCCGTGAACAATTATGAAAACTAGCTACCGGGGGCAATATTTGCCATTACGATCAAGCTTGATCTTACGCTTAGGTCATACGTCGTCCATACCATGGCTTAGGTTTTGCATCGCCTCGTAAGACTTCGCGTCGTAGACTCGCCTCAACGCCCGTCGCGGCGTCACCTCTCGGCAAATCCGCTCCCGGCGTCGCCTTGCCGCAAATACGCACGCGACGTCGTATCGCCGCTAATACGCACGCGGCGTCGCCTCACCTCAAATACGCACGCGGCGTCGCCTCGCCGCAAATACGCACGCGGCGTCGCCTCGCCGCAAATACGCACGCGGCGTCCCCTCGCCGCAAATACGCAGCGGCGTCGCCTCGTCGCAAATCCGCTCGCAGCGTTGACTCGTCGCAACACGATGCCTCCTCACGCCACCGCGATCACGCTGGCCGCGCCACACGCTGCGGCCCTCGTGCTCCTCCCAATAAACCCTTTTCGCTGCCCCCCTTTACCGCCTCCCGATCTCCCTTTACCGCCTCCCGATCTCCCTTCCCGTCGCCCCATTTCCGTTCTCGCCGCCCGAATTCCCCTTCCCACCGCCCAATTCCCCTTTTTCTCCGCCCAAAGAACCCATTCCTGCCGCCCATTCTCCCCTTCCCGCCTCTCATTCAACTCCTCCCGCCTCCCTTTCCCCCATTCCCGCATCCCGCTCCCCCCTTCCCGCCTCCCATTCTCCCCTTCTTGCCTCCCATTCTCCCCTTCTTGCCTCCCATTCTCCCCTTCCTGCCTCCCTTCTTTCCCTTATCTCCCATCCCTCCCTTCCCTCCCTTCCCTCCCTTCTCTCCCTTCCCTCCCTTCTCCCCCGTCCCTCCCTTCTCCCCCGTCCCTCCCTTCTCTCCCTTCCCTCCCTTTTCTCCCTTCCCTCCTTTCTCTCCCTTCCCTCCCTTCTCTCTCTTCCCTCCCTTTTCTCCCTTCCCGCCCTTCTCTCCCTTCCCTCCCTCTCTCCCCCGTCCCTCCCTTCTCCCCCGTCCCTCCCTTCTCTCCCTTCCCTCCCTTTTCTCCCTTCCCTCCTTTCTCTCCCTTCCCTCCCTTCTCTCCCTTCCCTCCCTTCTCTCCCTTCCCTCCCTTCTCTCCCTTCCCTCCCTTCTCCCCCGTCCCTCCCTTCTACCCCGTCCCTCCCTTCTCTCCCTTCCCTCCCTTTTCTCCCTTCCCTCCTTTCTCTCCCTTCCCTCCCTTCTCTCTCTTCCCTCCCTTTTCTCCCTTTCCTCCCTTCTCTCCCTTCACTCACTTCTCTCCCTTCACTCACTTCTCTCCCTTCCCTCCCTTCTCTCCCTTCCCTCCCTTCTCTCCCTTCCCTCCCTTTTCTCCCTCCTTTCTTCTCTTCCGCGCCGTGCATTCCCATTGTCCCCTGCCTGCCTCACAATCTATCCTTCCAGCCTCGCCCTTGTCGTCCTGCCTGTCATTCCATCTCCCCTCCCTGCATACCCCTCTCTTCCTGTCCTCCCTTCTCTGCGCCTCTCCCCCTCACTGTGCCCCCTGCTATACTATTCCCTCTTGTTACCTTTCCTGCCACCCCTCCGAAGCTGAAAGCGATCTCAAAGTGCTTTTCCTCACATGCCTTCCAAAGCCGCCTCCTCCCCCTGAGTCCCCTCCTCCCCCTCGACCTGATTCCTCTCGACTTCTTCCTGATTCCCCTCATTTTCGTCCTGATTCCCCTCATTTTCGTCCTGATTCTCCTCATTTTCTTCCTGATTCCCCTCATTTTCGTTCTGATTCCCCTCATTTTCGTCCTGATTCTCCTCATTTTCTTCCTGATTCCCCTCATTTTCTTCCTGATTCCCCTCATTTTCTTCCTGATTCCCCTCATTTTCTTCCTGATTCCCCTCATTTTCTTCCTGATTCCCCTCATTTTCTTCCTGATTCCCCTCATTTTCTTCCTGATTCCCCTCATTTTCTTCCTGATTCCCCTCATTTTCTCCCTGGTTCCCCTCATTTTCACCCTGACTCCCCTCTTCTTCATCCTAATTCCCATCATTTTCTCCATGATTCCTCTCATCACAGCTTGTGGTTGAACCATTACCCTTATTTCCTGCCCTCGGATTCTTTCCCTTTCCCTGACTATTTCAGTGACTGACTGCTCTGAAGATTTCAAGCTTCAACATGCCTCACCCAATCATCTCATGTCTACCGCAGCTAATATTTGTTGCCAAAGGCATAGAGAAAGGGTCAATAGTACGGTACCTTGCTTGCTCCTCTTGGCCTTTGCCTATAGTCTAAAGTTATGTGAGAACATGTTTCTTTCTACCTGTAAGGGATGTGACACCTGTCCATGCATTGCACTGCTGAATCATGGTAGTACATAGTAAGCTTCATGACACATCTTTCTAGGAATAACTCACTACCATACTTGCATCACAATGCACACGAGACAGAACATAAGTGGTGACAAACCATCCACTAGCTACGCCTCTGCTTGTAATTGCTGCCCTCTGTATCAACACAGCCAATTAGCAGAGTAGGCAAAAACGAACCAGTAATGCTCCAGGGAAGGTGCTGTGAGGCAGAAGAGAAGCAACAAAGGAATTCAAGCACGTGATGGCACTACATGCACAGGAACTAGATTGTAGACAGTGACGAGTAAGTGAGGGGGGTGGGGAGGGCATGCAAGGGAAGGGAAGGGAGAAGGGATGGGAAAGGGAAGGGAACCCCAACTGGACCATGAACTCGTCGCGGTGTAACGCACTGCTTCACACGCACTCGCAACAGCGCAGTAGTGCTGACCACCAGGCCACGACACGGGAGGGAAGATGCGAAGGCAGGGAGAGCGGTGATGGGAAGGGAGGGATGGGAGATTGGAAGGCAGGGTTGCGTGTGAAAAGATGAGAGCAAGTGGGAGGAGCAGGAAGACATGTAAGTTGTGGGGCAATGATGGGAGAGGAGGGTTGACGGTTGAAACTCGGCTCTGTCTGCGAGCAAGGGAGTGTGGGTGCACGGCAGCAGTTTGTGTGTGCATAGGTGTGCACAGCAGCACAGTAGCGCCATAACACCCACCTGAACAATCAGGTCTCGAGTGGGCAACACAACGACCGCTCTGACTTGTCGCACCACGTGCCGCACCAGGGCCTGCATCACTGGCTGCACATACGCCAGCATCTACTGGGAAGGGGGAAATGACCGTATTACCCACCTAGGCATCCAGATCTCTGACGGGCAGCACTATCACCGCCCGCACCACACGCCCTGCTAGTGACTGCACCAATGGCAGTGCATACGATAGGGTAGCAGGGGGAAAACAAACCAGAAAGGAGGGGAGAAACAGAGTATAAGCTGGAGGGGAAGGAACATGGGGGAGGAGGGCTAGCACGGGTGAAAGGAAATGGTAAGCAAAGGTGGACTCTAATGAGGAGCAGGGGGGGAATTAGGAAAAGGAGGGTGGAAAAATAGGGGAAGCAAAACGGAAAAATGATGAGAAGCAAGGGAGCGAAGGCGGGACAGAGAGGAAGAGGGGAAGTGCGGAAGAGAGGAAGGGGGCAAGGGAGGAGATTGGTCGAGGTAGGGAACAGGGGGCTAGAAGAAGATTGGATGAGAGAGGAGATGGAAGGGAGGAGAAATGACGAAGAGGAGAGAAAAGGGAGGAGGTTGGACGGGGGAGGAGAGGGAAGGGAGGAAAATGGACGAGTGAGGGAAGAAAATGGATACGGAAGGAGAGTGAAGGTAGGAGAGGGGATGGAGAGGAAAAGGGGCAAGCAGAGGGGGGAAGTGAGGGAGGGAAAGGAGGGGATGCTGTGGGGGGGAGGACAGGAGGGGATGCAGGGAGGGGAAGGAGGGGATGCAGGGGGGGAAATGAGGGGATGCTGTGGGGGGGGGGGACAGGAGGGGATGCAGGGAGGGAAAGGAGGGGAATCAGGAAGGGAAAGGAGGGGATGCGTGGGGGGAAAGGAGGGGAAGCAGGGGCGGAAATGAGGGGATGCGTGGGGGGAAAGGAGGGGAAGCAGGGGCGGAAATGAGGGGATGCGTGGGGGGAAAGGAGGGGAAGCAGGGGCGGAAATGAGGGGATGCGTGGGGGGAAAGGAGGGGAAGCAGGGGCGGAAATGAGGGGATGCGTGGGGGGAAAGGAGGGGAAGCAGGGGCGGAAATGAGGGGATGCGTGGGGGGAAAGGAGGGGAAGCAGGGGCGGAAATGAGGGGATGCGTGGGGGGAAAGGAGGGGAAGCAGGGGCGGAAATGAGGGGATGCGTGGGGGGAAAGGAGGGGAAGCAGGGGCGGAAATGAGGGGATGCGTGGGGGGAAAGGAGGGGAAGCAGGGGCGGAAATGAGGGGATGCGTGGGGGGAAAGGAGGGGAAGCAGGGGCGGAAATGAGGGGATGCGTGGGGGGAAAGGAGGGGAAGCAGGGGCGGAAATGAGGGGATGCGTGGGGGGAAAGGAGGGGAAGCAGGGGCGGAAATGAGGGGATGCGTGGGGGGAAAGGAGGGGAAGCAGGGGCGGAAATGAGGGGATGCGTGGGGGGAAAGGAGGGGAAGCAGGGGCGGAAATGAGGGGATGCGTGGGGGGAAAGGAGGGGAAGCAGGGGCGGAAATGAGGGGATGCGTGGGGGGAAAGGAGGGGAAGCAGGGGCGGAAATGAGGGGATGAGTGGTGGGAAAGGAGGGGAAGCAGGGGCGGAAATGAGGGGATGCGTGGGGGGAAAGGAGGGGAAGCAGGGGCGGAAATGAGGGGATGCGTGGGGGGAAAGGAGGGGAAGCAGGGGCGGAAATGAGAAGATGCGTGGGGGGAAAGGAGGGGAAGCAGGGGCGGAAATGAGGGGATTCCTGGGGGTAAATCCGTGAGGCGAGCAGCGCGTTACTGATGGCTGCAGTAGGATGGCTATCACGCGCGCGCTTCTGGACTGAATTTCGATGGAGCGCGCGTGCTGTTTGCTGGGCATCTAAGCGTCACATGCGCTCGCTGTGCTGGTGCGCCGCGCGGTATGCAGGCCTAAACCGTATTTTTTTGCGGCGCGCGTCTTGCTGGCAAGCTTCGCTCTGCTGAGCGCGCTATGCTAGCGCGCGGACGGAATGCCAGCATAGCGCGCGCAAGTGCCGCGCGCGGATGCCAGCACAGCGCGCGCAAGTGTTGCGCGCGGAATGATAGCGTAACTGGCGCAAGTCCCGCTCACGGAATGCCATCATAGCTGGCGCCAGTGACGCGCGCGGAATGACACGACGCACACGGAGTGCCACCATCGCTGGCGCTAGTGACGCTCGCAGGCGTCGCCTGTTCTGCAAATGGCTAAATACTCACCCGCGTCTATGTATGTGGTCGCGCTGCTGGCCTAGCACCCTCCGGCCTGCTGTACCTAAACTAGTAGCTACTAGATGCGTATTCTCCGTAGTGTGATGTAGAAGGCAAGTTCGGTGACGGGAGTTTTTTCCCATTTTGTGACCCACAACCTACCCAACCATGTTCCCCTTACAACTGAAGCGCTCCAGTTTTTCGCCAACACTCTCGCTATTCTGTTTACATTTTCGTTGAGGCGAAATCGCCTGGCACACTGTGCAGAAACAACAGTGCTGCCAAATGTATACTCCTGCTTTAAACAATCTAGTTACTAAACGCACAACCTGCACGGGATGGGGTGCAATCTCGGGGGAAGAAGATCACTGCAGCGTTCATTCCACCTCTACAAGGCCTTGCTCCAACAACAGCTTCAGTAGGGTTCACGCATGCCACTGCTCTGAACTGTTGATTTTACCGTATGTCTGAATTACTGACGATGTATTTTTTTGTACTAGATGCGGCGGTGGGGTGAAATCTCGATTATTGTGGCTTCACTATGGCCTATCCCTTCTCTCCTCCCTTGGCATGTGCGATTCCACGGATTTCTTTTACCCATTATTAGCCATCACCCATCAGTCATTGGCCTCTGCAAGTATGCAAGTAAGAAGAAAACTTGGAAACTATCACAGTCATGCATCATTACAATGGACTGTCAGAAGCCTAAGTTGAGTTAGGACTTGGGTTGAGGGTAGAACGAGAGTTACGAGAGGAAGGGATCGAGAGATTTGCCAAAAGAGAGAGTTCACTATAGAGCGAGCAGTACAAATAGGTAAGAATCAGGAAAGGTGCACCACCAATCAGAAAGTTATATGACTACAGTATTCTACACTACAGGCAGTTATAGAACAATATATAGAAATATATATTATTCTGACATGGACAAATGGAGAGATCAGAAATAATTGGGTCTTGATTTCGAATACCGAAAACCGTAAATCTCTGGGCAGAATAAGAGCCGCAAGCCATGCATGAAGGTATATGCACTCGATACACACAAACGCACACTTAGAGCACATTGCACACGTCACATTGCGCACGTCATATTGCATACGTCACATTGTACATCAAACATTAAACACACAAGGCACACGCACCTCTCACTGTTGATCTTGCCGATACACTCCTCCCACTGTTGCCCACATAGTGCCTACCACTCCTCACTTGCTGCCCACCGCTCCTCAATCAATGCCCACCAATACTAAATTAAAGCCCACCATTCCTACCCACTACTGCTCAATCAATGACCGCCACCACTCAATATTAGCTCAACACTCTTTAATTAATGTCTACCAATGCCCAATTAAGGGCCACCACTCCTTAATCAATGCCCAATACTGCTCAATCAAAGCCCAATACTTCTCAATTGATGCCAACCGCTCTCCAGTTGATGCCCACCACCCTCACCTCCTCTGCTTCCTCCTCCTCTTCCTCCTCTTCTTCCTCCTCTCGCATATTCCCTTCCAACATGCTCTCACTGAATCAACCACAGAAAGACATCGTCTCACGAGCACTACCCCTACCAGCACCTGTGCTACTGTTGAAGCCGCTCATTCCCGGGCCCGATAGCAGCCATCGTGAAAGCTGCCCCCTGCTGGACGTCCCAGGCGATGGGGTCTCATTATATGCGCCAGCCCATCCCTCGTTATAAGATCCAGGCCCTGCCTCGTTATAAGCACCACCAGCGGATGCTTGCGAATCTGCCCAAGAGGTTCCTGACTGTGCATCCTGCCCGAAAACTGCTGCCTGTGAGTCTTGTCCAGTAGAAGATGCTTATGCACATGCCTCACGTGCGAGCTTTTGAGTATCTGCCCCAGTAGCACCCCTGTGTGTATCTGCCCCAGTAGTGCGAAGATTCACTCTACAACGGTAGTGAGCTAGACTACGGGGGTTGGCACGAACTACTAGGAGTGATCGTAGCTTTGCTTGGTTCTTTAAAGCGAGCAAACAAAATTATGACCCCAAATTCTAGTTGGGTCCAACTTGATTCACTGATTCAGGGGTTCCGTTTTTTTCAAGCGCGATGATTTTTTCTCGACTTTTTTACAGACACTGATTGAAGTGAACTTGTCGCATGATAGAGCACATGTATCGCAAAACAGCGACGTGACACTCTCACTGCTGCATCCAAGCAAAATCCCCATTGACGTAGCACCAAGGCTAAAATCCAACTACAAAGACAAAGCCCCCTTAAGCTATGAGCCTTTTGCAAAGCGCAAGTGTGGCAAGGAGCGTGTTTTGCGGTAGAAGAACCACCCTGAACATGGGTCTCAAAGGAGGACGATTACCGTATGCGGAAAAACGAAAAGCAGGGGGTAAAAGAGAAACGCATGAGGGGAAAACATCGAGCAAAAATGTGACGGGAGAGGAGATAGTGATGGCGAGGGAAACAATGATGCGAGGAGAAAGATGAGTGGGAAGAGTGTGAATGTAACGAGACGGGATGGAAGGGACTACTGGAAGTGTATCGAGATTCCCATTCTCCGCTATCGAACAGCAATAGTCTATACCTTCGGAAATATCCCCGCAAGCCCAACCACGCAGTGACGCGCGGTTCTCGTAAATTTCTGCCCCCCCAGAGAGCGAGATGGAGACGGAACAGGAGGGGAGGGAACGAAGGCGATGGGACGCGACGTGAGGGTAAAAAACGAGGGCGTCGGAACGGAGAGAAGACGCGGGCGGCGGGATGGGAGGGGAGAAAACGAGGGTGACGCGACGGGAGGGTAGAAAATACGGGCGTCGAAACGTGAGGGAAGGGAACGAGAGCGACAGGACGGGAGGGTAGAAAACGAGGGCGTCGGCACGGGAGCGGAGGGAACGAGGGCGACGGGATGGGTGGGGATAAAACGAGGGCGTCGGTATGGGAGGGGAGGGAACGAGGATGATAGGACGGGAGGGGAGAGCGCGAGGGCGACGGGATGGGAGCGGAGGGAATCAGGACGCGGGATTGGTGGGGATAAAACGAGAACGAAATCGATGGGACTGGAGAGGTGTTTCAGGGACCTCGTGAGGGGGACGAGGTGGGTGATGGGAGGGGAAACGGGGGGGGGGCTACGAGGAGGTGACGCGAGGGGCGATGGGAGAACCGGAGGGCGATGATGATGAGGGGAGAAAGGCGGCGAGCGGAGAGCGCGACGGGAAGGGGAAGGGAGATAGCGAGCGCGATCCTGAGATAGCTATGGCGACGTGAAGGGGAGGGGAGATAGCTATGGCGAGTTTGAGGGGAGATAACAAGCGCGACGGGGAAGGGAGGGGAGATAGCGAGGGTGACGAGAAGAGGAGGGAAGATCAAGAGCGCGGTACTGAGAGAGATGAGATTACGAATGCGCTGTCCAGGACGGTGAGCTCGTTCATGAGCACCTTGCTCACGAAACCGTCGTAGACGACGAACGCGATGGAGTGCACGTACGCGAGCTCCATCTTCTCACGCGACTTGCCGATGTATCGATTGATGCCGTGCACCTTAATCTCGCCGACCCATCCTAGCTTGTCGCCCGAGGTATCGTGTCGGATGCCATGACCCCGCCTCTCCTTGCTCTTCCCCCCCTCCTCCTCCTCATCCTCCACCTCGACCTCCTCCTCCTCATCGTCCTCATCCGCCTCCTCCACCTCCTCCTCCGCCTCTTCTTCTTCCTCCTGCTCGACGTCCTCCACCTCCTCGACATCCTCCTCCGCCGCCTTCCGCTTTCCCTTTCTCCCTTTCGACGAACCATCGCCGACCGCCTTCTCCTTCCCCTTTCTCCCCGTCGACGCACCTTCTCCTACCGACTTGTCCTTCCCCTTCCTCCCCGTCGACGTACCCTCGCCGAGCGACTTCTGATTCTCCCCCGCTTTCCCTTTCACCCCCGTATTGCCGCCTCCATCCTTGTCAGCCGCCGTCTCAGCCGCCTTCCCCTTCCCTCTATCCGCCGCCTTCGCCTCCGACTTCTCCCGCGTCTTCCGCTGTGAGCCTGCCTTCCCCTTCCGTTTCGCCTTCTCATCGCCGACAGCATCACCGGTCGCAGTCGGCTCTGCTGGACTGCCGACGAGACCCGCCGAAGGCTCCACATGTGCCGTGTCGGAGATGGCCAGCGGTCGGGGATTGGCAGCATCCAGGTGGGCCTGTATGGCAGCGATATCAGCATCACGGGGCGCCTGCTCGACGGGGCCGCCGCCGGTGGCAAGGGCGGCACGAACGCCCTTCTCCGCCGCCTTCTCAACCTCAGCTGCCACAGGGGTGGGTGGTGCGACTTTTGCCGACGACGTCTTAGCGCCGGAGGCAGAAGCCTGCTGAGTTGGCGCAGTCGACGCTAGTGCGCCCAACTGGGCGCGCAGCAACGCGGACTTTGGGTCTGCAGGAGCACGGGCGGCGACGACCGGCGACTTTGGGACACTGGCAGATGGGGCGTCGTCAGCAGCAAGGGGGTTTTGAACAGCCTTGTGGCCGGCTAGGCGCCTGAGCTGCTCCTTGAGCGCGTCCGCAACTGCCGCCCCTTTCCCCGCGCGGCCAGCCTTGTCGGCAGCCGGGACGTCGGCAGAGCGCGGGACGTCGGCAGGTCGCCCGGCAGACGGTCCGGTCGGAGGGCGTGCACCAGCTGGGGGCTGGTGAGGAACCGCTGACGCCACCGCGACCCCTGTCTTCGGGCCCTGGCCAGCTGGGGCCGTTTTTGCGGCCGCCTTCTCCTTGTCGCGCAGCCCTTCTTCACCGCTACCCTGTCGTGGTGGCTTATCGGCGACCGAAGGCGGAGCCCTTGGCAGTGCGTCATCAGTGGCATGCTCGTCGGCGGGACCCCCACCACCCTGATCAGTGCTGGCCGCTCGAACCCCAGCCCAGTGCTTCTTGAGCATGTCGAGCACGCTCTTCCCCGACTGCTTCCCCGAACTGCCTTCCCCGGCTCCCTTGCTCCCATCGCCGGCGACGCGAGAACCAACCGCTCCCTTGGTCTGCCTCGCGCTCGCCGAATCGTCTCCATCCCCCCCCCCCCTCCTTCTCCGGCCTTGTTGCTACCGTCGCCGGCGACGCGAGAACCCCCCGCTCCCTTGCTCCGCTTCGTGCTCCCCGCGTCGTCTCCGTCGCCCCCCCCGCCGCCTGCCCCCCTCTTCAGACCCTGCTTCGTGGCCTCCATAGGTTGCGCATGGCCGGCGTCGTTGGCCGACGGCGACGACCCACGCCGAGCTTGGGTCGCCACAGTGCCGACCATCTCGGTCATTATCTTCAAACCGGAGGCGAGGAAAGACTGCTGCGTGACCTCCGTCACCGCCTTCAGCAGATCCTCCTTGAATGAATTCAGGAACTCTTCCGGCAAGGCCTGCGCTGGGGTGGTCGGCGGCGGCGGCTGCACGACGAGGCGGGGAGACACGGCGGCTGCAATGTTGGTCTGCGCGGCGCCGATGTATTTTATGAACGTCTCCTCCAAAGCCTTCCTCGCCTCACCCACCTCACCCGTCACGTGGTCGGCCAATTGGTCCACCGCGGTCGCTCGAGCGACCGCCATTCGTCCGTTGGGGGCGTCAATATCCAGCAGCATCTGCCTCGCTAGCTCGGCAAACCTCTTGCCCGATTCAACTGCGTTCTCCAGGTTGCTGGTGAGGTCCTCGGTGATTGTGGCCGCCATGGTCGACGTGGCCTCTTTGAGGCGCTCCACCGATTTCCGGTCGGTGTCCGCAACCTGGGCGGTCAATGCCGTGAGCTTGTCGAGGATCCCAGCTACCGCCGCCGCCAAGCAGTCGACCCGCCCCGCCTGATCACCGAGCTGCCGTTGCAAGCGTGCATTGTCGGCACGCAATTGTCGGTTCTCCGCACGCAGCTGCTCGACGACGTCCGGCATCGCCTGCCGACCAACTGCGGTGGAACTTGGATGACCGCTCACCGCCTTCTTTTTCCTGGACCGCTCCCCCCCGGCCTTCTCTGCGGTAGCATCGGTATGCATTTCCACGCCCGTCTGCTTCGTCGCCGCGGCGAAATCCCCATCTTCGTCGGCCTCGAGGTCGACAACTTCCCTAAACCCTTCGCCGACAACGACCATCCCACTCCCCCCGTGAGCCGCCTCCTCGCCGACCTCCTTGCTGGGTTCCGCTGTCGCCCCCTTCCCCTCTCCTTCGATTTCCGCCGATCTCCCACCCGTTTCCGCCGCTCCTTCTGCAACGTTCCCCTCCGCCATTTCCACGTCCACCTCTTCGTCATGCTGCTCCTCTTGCTGCTCGTGGTGCTGCCTCTCGTGCTCCTGCTTCTTCTGCTCCTGCTGCTCCTGCTCCTCCACCGACTCCGACACCGACTCCGACTCCGACTCCGACTCCTCCGAGCCCCCCTCATCCTCACGATCCGCCTCACGACCCTGGACCCCATCATCATCCCCATGAACAACCTCGTCCCTATGCTTCTCCTCGGTCCCGGCCACCCCATGTCCTGCTGCCGCATCGGCCTCGTCGACGCCGCTACCCGGCTTCCCGACCGAGGTGCCACGCGCATCAGCGACGGCAGGGGCGACACCGCCAGCTTGGGGCGCCGACTGAACCTCCTCGCCGTCGTCGTCACAGACGTCGGCCGCAACTACGTTTCGGCCCGACCGTATGAGCGCGACCTGCTTCTTGATGAAGGCTACCATCTCAGTCGGCAGCCCCTTCAACCCCGCAACGACAACCTTGTCCATGCTGGTGGCACTGCGACGGAGGGCGCCGGCCAACCGATCCTTCCGCCTCACCGCCCAGAGCAACGCGCTCATTGCTAGCAGGCCGGAGCCCGCGTCCCCGTCCCGGACGGTGTCGGGCACTTTCTGCACACAACACAGGAGAGCGCTGATATGAGCACCGAGATCGGCAGTCGCATCTCGCAAGGACGAACGGCAGTTGCATCGCGCAAGGAATTGACACCAAACGTACGAAACTCACATCTCGAAGGGGTTCGTCGCAGTCGGCGAGCCTCGCATGCACCTCCTCCTCGGACGGCTTCGCCCAGTCCCATTTCCTACCTTCGCGCCGAAGCTCGGCCATTACAGCCGCCCGGAAAAACCTGCAAAGCATGGCACAGACGGTCAGTTAGCACAATGCACGCTAAGCATTGACAACGCAAGCGGCGTCGACTACACTATTGAGCTCACTCCAGCACGCGTTTCGCCTCTTTGATGTGCCACTCCTTCACAGTCTGCGGGTCGGCGTGCCGGATCGAGGTCCTGAACAACTGGCCCGATGACTTCAACAAGTCGCCGAAGCACAGGATGATAATGACGCTGCAATGTGTTCCCGGAAGCGGTGCGATGCTGCACAGACAATGGACGTCGACATAGATCAGAACACATAATCGACGCAGGTTGCACCACACGCGCGACGACCCCGAACACCCTCACCTCGATATCAGTGGGATAACCGCCACGTCGGCGTCAAAAACCTTCGCGAAGACGGTATGGTCGTTCTGACCCATCGCCGCCCTAAGACGGCCGACTCCTATCGATTACAGCCGCTGGTCCTCCTCCGTTCCGCGCAACCATGCGTGCCTGCACGCATGCATGATCAGGAGGAGTGCGTGAAGATGTGGTCGAAACGCCGGCAGATACTACGGTTGCGGCAATAACACGACGGGTCGGGGATTCGACGAGAGCCGAATGAATATGGCACAACGCATCGCCTACGCCGACCAGACACCTTACATCAGCGCCACCGATGTGATCGACATCCCTAATCCCTAACCCATGAGTCCGTCGACCTAAAAGACGGGTATTATGAAACCACGCTAGGGCTATCACCAGCATGAAATAACGACGCCGACATCCCCATACGTCACTCACTTGAGGCCGAGTCCCAAGCAACGGGATTAAACTCTAGCATAGGGTTTGTCAGAACGGCGTAGTCGTGTTCCTCGAACTTGGATGTGAGTCCTCTACCGACGCTTAGATACAGGGGGAAGTCGCGCGAGGTCGGCGTCGCTTCGTCGGCTTTCTGGTCGGCCGCCATGGCGGGAGAGCGAGGATGCTATGCTACGGGCTAAGGGAAGAAACGGTGGGAGAATGGAAGGCGCAGAGGTGGGAAAAGAACATGAAAGAGAAACGAGAACGCGAAAATGAAGGGACAGCCCACCTCCGACGAGGAAAAGCCAGGCGGAGCCTCGCAGGCCCGGTTGAGCGTCGCCCAGGGGGCCGTGGTCCCTGGCTCGGCAGGGCTCGTGCACGGGTGGCGTGGCACAAGTGCACCCTCGCCGCCGAGCCAGCAGGTCGACGTCACGTCCCCTGGCCTCGGTCGGCCAGGGGACGCAAATTCGCATGCACGCGGTGCGACGTTTCGGCACCACGTGTCGATTTCGCAGCGGGTCGCGAAAAATGTGCGCCTTGGTGCAAGCAACCCAGAGGTTCGCTCGATTTTCGGCGGGTACGAAATGTCGCATGCATAGAAAAAACGATGCGAAACGACGGGCGGGCACGTGGCGTCACCGCAACGGGTCGCGAGATCGCCGATCGTCCCGAGGGGAGCCCCCGAATTTCGCACGGGCCTCGCCTGCCCGTACGGGCAGGCCGCGATGGGTTACTAGGACCTCGCGGGCAGGAGGGACGGGTGGGCTGCCTTCGCGCCGGGGTTACTTTCCCTCGCACGAGGTGTCGCCAGCTCGCCGCCCCCACCCGGTAACGTGGGTCGTGTCGAAATGTTATATTGTCTAGCCTGCAGTGGGGTACTCTATAGCGAGTACAGCCCAATCTAGGGTTTGCTATTTGTACTCAACTGCCTGCTAGTTCAAACCCTCTTTCTGTTCCTAACTTCTGCCTAGCTTGTTTCGACATGCTATCAGAGCAGGTCGACCCCCTTGGGTCGATCCTGTGGGTGGGCCCACCACCTAACTGCTTCCGCTGCTGTTATGCTTCTCGCGCGCCTCGGGCGTGCGTCGTCTTCTTCCTGCCGTGAAAAATTTTAGGGTTTTCATCCCGCCGTGCGCTCGGGGCGCGCGGCGGTTTTCTGCCCGCCGTGCGCTACCGTGGGGGACCCGCGCGCGCCCCCGCCCTGTCCGTCGCGTCGCCCTAGGGGACCCGCGCGCTGCCCCCGCTGCCCCGTCGGTGGTCGCGTCGCCCCGCCACCCCGTCGCGCCGCCCTGGGGAGCCGCGCGCGACCCCCCGCTGCCCCGTCGACAGTCGCGTCGACCAGCTGGAGCCGCGCGCGGCTCCCGATTCCCCGTCGCGCCGTCCCCCTCGCCGTCCCCCGCGCTCCTTCCCCCGTTCCGCCCGTTTTAGGGTTTGGGGGTGGGGAGTGTGGGGGTGGCGGTTGTGGGGGTGCCGGTTGTGTGCCCCGTCCCCTCCTCCTCCTCCTCCTTCGTCTCCCGCTGCTGCAGCTGCCGCTCAGGGGGGTGGTTGTGTGGGGAGCCGAAGGAGTGGTGCTAGGGGGGTGAAGGGGGAGTGGAGCTAGGGGCGCAGCAGGGGGTGTGTGTCGAGGGGTGTGGGACTGTTGGGGGAGATTGAGTGGAGGTTGCCGTCGTGTCGTCCGCAGCGCCTGTATTCCGGGGTTCTGATAGCCACCGGTAGCTCAGAGAGCCGGTTGCACCTGTCGCCCGTAGATCCGTTGCTCCTGTCGCTGCTGATCAGACGCAGAGCCAGTTACTCCTGTATTCCGGGGCACTTGCTCCCGGTAGCCACTAGCGTTGCACCAGAGCCGTCTGTTGCCCGTGTGTCTGCAGCTTCAGTCGTCGCCTCCCATCTACTCTCCTCTCGCTAGCCCTCCTCCTCCTCACTTGCCCTCAGTGACTGCCTCTACCTTTGCTCATAATTTTATGAACTATTGCTATTGTGACTGCTTGTTGTGCTGATTACACCCCACTTTGGCTATGGGGGTGTGTCAGAATGTTATATTGTCTAGCCTGCAGTGGGGTACTCTAT